TAGTTCTGTTCAGGAATTTCATCTCAGGTTTGGTCGAAGGGTCGGTGCAGGTTCTGGTCTCAGGTTCGAAGTAGTTCTGGTCTGAAGGTGTGGTCTCAGGTTGTCTAAGTTTCTGGTCTGAAGATCGGTCTCAGTTCTGGTCTAGTTCAGGTCTCAGTCTGGTGAGTTTTGGTCCAGGTTTGGTGCGAGGTTCTGGTTAAGACCGTTCAGGTTTGTCTCAGGTTCTGGTCTAGGTTCGGGTCTGAATTCTAGTGCTTCAGGTTTGGTCTGAGTTCTGGTCTAGGTTCAGTCTGAAGGTTCTTTATGTCCCCTGCTGGTTCCATCCCAGCATCTGGGTCTATTTTCTAGTTGGTGTAAGTTTAGGCACCCAGGCTGGAAAGTTGCTCTGAGAAAGAACCTTTAACTCAGATTCTCCCTAGGTGCGCACAATGCAGGCCCAACCCGGAGGAGGGTTAAATGCAGAATAGTGATTTCATCTGAGACAGAAGAAGCCGTTATTCCGATTATTATATGCAACGAACCAGAGAGTAAAGTGTATTTGGAGGAGCGAGTACCAGAAGGAATCATAAGACCAGGAGAGAACGTTTATAACAAATGCTAAAAGGAGACCAGTTTTTCCGAAAAAAACAATAAACACTAAGGAGATGAGACTGAGAAATGGAAGAAGTGAAATGATGGAAAAAAGGGGGGGGGGGCCCCCAAAATTTTTTTTCAAAAAAAAAAAGGGGGGGGGTTTAAAAAAGGGGTAGAAAAAGGGGGAAAAATGGGGAATTTAAAAAAAAAAAAAAGGAAAAGGAAAAAAAAAAGGGTCCAAATGGGGGACACTGAAGGGGGGGGGGCGAAAAAACATTTTAAAATTTTAAAAAAGGTTTGAGGAAAAATTTGAAAAAATTTATAAAACGAAATTAAAAAGATAAAAGGGAATGGAAAAAAACCAAAGGGGGAAAAAAAGATTTTTTTCCCCCGGCTTTTTAAAATTTAAGCCTAAAAGGGGAATCCCCCCAACCCCCCCCCCCCCCCCCCCCCCCTTTTTTAAATCAAAACCTAGGGGCCCGTACGGGCTTTTTCAACATTTTATAAAATTTTTTTTTGAAAAACCTTTCGCCCCCCCCAAACTTTTTTTTTTTTTTTTTTTTTTTCCTTTCACTGAACCCCTTTAAACAAATTTAAATTTTTTCCCTAAAAATATTTTTTAATTTTTAGGAATAAAAAAAATTAAATTTCCCCCTTTTTTTCCCCCCTCCATCCTTTTTTTTTTTCTTTTTCCCCTTTTTTTTTTTTTCTTTTCCCCCTTTCCCTTTTTCCCCCCCCTTCCGCCCCCAGGGATTTTGGGGGGGAAAAAAATCCAAAAAATTTAAAAAGGAAAAAAAAAGGATTAACAACGTCCCCCCCCTGCTTGGGGACTTTTGTCCCCGGGGGACCTCTTCCCTTTTTGGGCCCGGACGGTCCAATTTTTTCCCCTCCCCCCCCCTTCTGCTCGGGTCCCCAAGCCCGCTTCTGCATGCGGGAGTCCGGGTCCAAAACCCGGGGGGCCCCGGGCCGGGGCCCTATTGGGCCTAAAGGGGGCTCGGGGGGAAAAGCCCTTCGGGGGTCTCGGGGCGGCCAGGTTCTGGTTCCAGGGTTTTGGGGTTTGGGAAAGGGGGGATCAGGGTTCGGGGGTGCCCCAGTCCTTTGTGTCTGAAATTGGTTTTTGGGTTTGGGGGGGGCCCGGTTCCGTTTTAGGTCGGTGGAACCCGGGAAAAAGGGGCGGTTTGGTTCCGTCTCAGGTTCTGGGGGTTCTGGGGGGGGGGTTTTTTCCGGGGGCCCCTTTTGGGTTCTGGGCTTTTTCGGTTTAGTTTTTGGTTTCAGGTTCCGCTCTCCTGGGAAATTCGGGGTTTTTTTATTTCCTCTCAGGTTGGGTTTAAGTGGCCTTTTTCAGGTTCCCCCTTCGGTCTGGTTGGTTTTGGGGTTTTTTGGGCTCAGGTTCCCTCTAGGGTTTTTTCTGGGTTCTGGTCTAGGTTCTGGTCTAGGTTCGCTCTCGGGTTTTGGTCTGAAGTTCGGGGTCTAGGTTCGGGTTTCTCGGGTTCCCGCTCTCAGGTTCTGGTTGAAGTTCTGGTTCAGGTTTGGTCTCAGGTTCCGTCTCAGGTTTGGTCTGAAGTCCCGGTTGGGGGTTTTTCTGGTCTCGGGCCCCGTCTCGGGGTTTGGTCTAAAGCCCCGGTCTCAGGTTCTGGTCTCAGGTTCTGGTCTGAAGTCCCGGTCTCAGGTTCTGGTCTCAGGTTCCGCTCTCAGGTTCTGGTCTGAAGTTCTGGTCTCAGGTTCTGGTCTCAGGTTCTGGTCTGAAGTCCCGGTCTCAGGTTCTGGTCTCAGGTTCTGGTCTCAGGTTCTGGTCTGAAGTTCTGGTCTCAGGTTCTGGTCTCAGGTTCTGGTCTGAGGTTCTGGTCTGAGGTTCTTTATGGTCCGCCCCTGCTGGGTTCCATCCCAGCAGAATCTGGGTCTGGCTTCTCTATGTTGTGTATTTAGGCCCTCGCAGCAGTGCCGTCGCTGCTTGTGCTCTGAGAAAGAACACTTTAACCTCAGATTGCTCCCAGGGTGCCGCACAATGGCAGCCCAACCCAGGGGGAGGGGTTAAATGCAGAGTGAATTTCTCCAATCTGAGATCAGAAAGTTGAATTATTATTATAAGCAACAGAACCAGAAGCTAACAGTGTTTTTGGAGGAAGCTGGAGTACCCAGAGAGGAAGTCCACATGACCAGGGAGAGGAATCGCTTTATAACAAACTTCGCCTTCAAGGAGATCCAGTTTTTCCTCAGTAAACAACAACAATAAACACTGAAAGATGAGCTGCAGAACTGAAACAAATAGGGGAATCGATTGTTGAAATAATTGATTAACTGCAGCTAGATCAGCCAATCAGAGCAGCAGCTGTCATTTAAGACCAGAAACATTTTTGTCTGTCAATAAGCTCCAAGTTTCAGCTCCAGCTGGTTAAAGAACTTTTATAACATCTCATTTATTGGAAAAACAACAGACAGATTAATCAGTGCATCTATGCTTCTTTTTCTATGTCTGCTTCTGTCTCCTTGAACCCCAGTGGGCCTCAGCAGATGGCCGCTCACACTGAGCCTGGTTCTGCTGGAGGTTTCTTCCTGTTCAAAGGGAGTTTTTCCTCTCCACTGTCGCTACAAGCATGCTTAGTGTGAGGGATTGCTGAAGAGTCAATGAGTCGATGCAATCAGCTGGTTTTCCTTAGATAGAAAACTTTGAATCAATCTGACTGGATGATCTGGTGAACTGGAAAGTGACCTGAGATGACATGATGTGAATTGGAGCTATAGAAATAGACTGAATAGAATAAATGAACAGTTTGTTGCGGCGCTATTCTGTTGCACAGATGAGCGTCTGTGATGCTCGGTGACCCTGCAGAGGAGGTAAGTGGAAGACAAAGGGTGACCTGCACTGCCAGTGTCCTCCTCTGTCTGGGGGAGACAGAGGAGGCTCCCAGCACTCTATGTGGGGTCAAAGGTCAGTGGGTCTTTGATTTGGAAGTAACCAGTGAGTAGACTGAGTCTGACTTCAGCCCCGATCCACTTCCTGTTTCTGCCATTCTGTAAAAGGGTTCTAGTAGAAGCGGCTTCCATTACTGGAACCGGAGCAGGAATCTGGTCTACAGTCAACAGCAGCTTTTCTCTCAGCAGGAACCTTCTCCGGTTACTGTTTCCCTTTCAGGTTCGGCTCTTTGTCTGAGTGTGCAGGACGGCTGTGGGTTTACGTCACACAGCCTCACAGGTGTGTGTGTGTCCAGGTGAGCAGAGCTGGAGGCCTTCAGCAGCGCCAGCCTCCGGAAACGTGTGGCAAACAGGACAATGGCTGGTTTAAGCCTGGAGCTGGCAGCGCCAGAGACAGACTGGGGAGGAAGAAGAAAGGAGGGGGGGGGGGGGGGGGGGGGGGGGGGCAATATGAAAGGAGCTGAGTCGGGTTTCTCCATCCTGTTGACAAGAGCTTTGCTGGATTAAAACAGGAGGTGGAGATGAAAAGGAGGAGGGTGGGGGCAGGAACTGGAGCAGGTCTCAATGAAAACAGTGGAAAGGCTGAAGAACTGACCAATCAGAGGACGGCTTCAGATAGAGGGGCCGACCAATCAGAGGACGGCTTCAGATAGAGCGGCCGACCAATCAGAGGACGGCTTTAGATAGAGGGGCCGACCAATCAGAGGACGGCTTCAGATAGAGCGGCCGACCAATCAGAGGACGGCTTTAGATAGAGGGGCCGACCAATCAGAGGACGGCTTCAGATAGAGGGGCCGACCAATCAGAGGACGGCTTCAGATAGAGCGGCCGACCAATCAGAGGACGGCTTTAGATAGAGGGGCCGACCAATCAGAGGACGGCTTCAGATAGAGCGGCCGACCAATCAGAGGACGGCTTCAGATACAGCGGCCGACCAATCAGAGGACGGCTTCAGATAGAGCGGCTGACCAATCAGAGGACGGCTTCAGACAGAGCGGCCGACCAATCAGAGGACAGCTTCAGATAGAGGGGCCGACCAATCAGAGGACGGCTTTAAGTTAGATTAAATGTCAGGAAAAATTAATGTTTTTCTATAAGGTCATCTTTTGGGCTCCAGTGGCCTTTATTTAGTTATTTTTGAAGGGATGGAGACAGGAAGAGGAGGAGAGGCATTCAGCAAAGGTCAGCAGGGCCTGGAAACCAACCTGCATCAGCCGGTAAATGACTCAGTGATCCGTTTCCAGAGAACTCAGTGATCCGTTTCCAGAGGACTCAGTGATCCGTTTCCAGAGAACTCAGTGATCCGTTTCCCGGAGGACTCAGTGATCCGTTTCCAGAGGACTCAGTGATCCGTTTCCAGAGTACTCAGTGATCCGTTTCCAGAGGACTCAGTGATCCGTTTCCCGGAGGACTCAGTGATCCGTTTCCAGAGGACTCAGTGATCCGTTTCCAGAGGACTCAGTGATCCGTTTCCAGAGGACTCAGTGATCCGTTTCCAGGAGGACTCAGAGATCCGTTTCCAGAGGACTCAGTGATCCGTTTCCAGAGGACTCAGTGATCCGTTTCCAGAGGACTCAGTGATCCGTTTCCAGAGGACTCAGTGATCCGTTTCCAGAGGACTCAGTGATCCGTTTCCAGGAGGACTCAGAGATCCGTTTCCAGAGGACTTAGTGATCCGTTTCCCGGAAGACTCAGTGATCCGTTTCCAGAGGACTCAGTGATCCGTTTCCAGGGGACTCAGTGATCCGTTTCCAGAGGACTCAGTGATCCGTTTCCAGAGGACTCAGTGATCCGTTTCCAGAGGACTCAGTGATCCGTTTCCAGAGGACTCAGTGATCCGTTTCCAGGGGACTCAGTGATCCGTTTCCAGAGGACTCAGTGATCCGTTTCCAGAGGACTCAGTGATCCGTTTCCAGAGGACTCAGTGATCCGTTTCCCGGAGGACTCAGTGATCCGTTTCCCGGAGGACTCAGTGATCCGTTTCCAGAGGACTCAGTGATCCGTTTCCAGGGGACTCAGTGATCCGTTTCCAGGAGGACTCAGTGATCCGTTTCCAGGAGGACTCAGAGATCCGTTTCCAGGAGGACTCAGTGATCCGTTTCCAGAGGACTAAGGGTGAAGACACAAACACAGTTGTGAAGTTCTTATTCACAGTAGATGCTAGTATTTAGTGGGGCCCATACTTTTAGTTCAACTCTCTGAAAATCACCAGAATCTAGAAAATAATGTATTTTGTGTGAAAATGTTCCACATAACTACAGATCACTTATTTTTATTCAGAAACATTTACTGCGCTTTGAAAAATTCCACATTTTGCCAGTTTCATTTAAATGGTCTGAAAGCCTCCAACCTTTAGCTGCAGCGCAGAGCCTTTCAATCGAACCCTGACTGGGTTGCCTGTTCAAATTATTGCAAAATCTCACTCCAAGGTTTGATGAAAAGTTGTCAGCCTGTGAAAAGTAAAAATCAGAGATTAAACAGTCGGACTCAACCTGTGTGAGCAGCAGTTGAACCATTGTAACACACTGGTAGCCTGGAGACACAGTAGTGATCACACGTGTTCGTAGTTACATGGCAGACGATCGTTGCACAGATTATCTGATTGGCCACATGCATGTTCCTGCGGTTTCCTCTCAGTGCAGACTTTCCGTTAGCAGCTACAGCAGACCCCCCCTCAGGGCCCCTGGTCTCCCTGAGCAGCTGCTGGGAGTCAGAATGGCAGCGTCCTGCTTTCTTTGGACAGGTTGCAGCAGACATGTGAACCCCTAGCTTCCCGCAGGCGGCCTGTTAACATTTAACCGCCAGCGTCAGCCGGCCGCCACAGAGGCTAGCTCACATCAAACCGCTGTGATTGCTGATTAGCAGGCGGCACCAATCAGCCATGTTTACAGGCAGCACATCCCTTCATCTGATCGAACCATAGCAATAATCTAAAGAAGACGCTTGCATGGGCTCAGAATACGGCTGCAGGGTTTTCCTAAACATCTAAATAAATGATTTTTATCAAAAAAAATTCTCTTTTGCTTTTTAGTTTAAATATTCCTATTTATAAACAGATTTATAGACAGCATCTGATTAAAGAAACTGAGCAGCGGTCTCTCTTGATTCAAACATCTCTGTTGGGGTTCCTGCTCACAAACAGAGTCCAGTACTGGATGGTGGTGCGCGTTTCAGCTCCCAGTACTGGATGGTGGTGAGCATTTCAGCTCCCAGTACTGGATGGTGGTGAGCATTTCAGCTCCCAGTACTGGATGGTGGTGAGCGTTTCAGCTCCCAGTACTGGATGGTGGTGAGCGTTTCAGCTCCCAGTACTGGATGGTGGTGAGCGTTTCAGCTCCCAGTACTGGATGGTGGTGAGCGTTTCAGCTCCCAGTACTGGATGGTGGTGAGCGTTTCAGCTCCCAGTACTGGATGGTGGTGAGCGTTTCAGCTCCCAGTACTGGATGGTGGTGAGCGTTTCAGCTCCCAGTACTGGATGGTGGTGAGCGTTTCAGCTCCCAGGACTGGATGGTGGTGAGCGTTTCAGCTCCCAGTACTGGATGGTGGTGAGCGTTTCAGCTCCCAGTACTGGATGGTGGTGAGCGTTTCAGCTCCCAGGACTGGATGGTGGTGAGCGTTTCAGCTCCCAGTACTGGATGGTGGTGAGCGTTTCAGCTCCCAGTACTGGATGGTGGTGAGCGTTTCAGCTCCCAGTACTGGATGGTGGTGAGCGTTTCAGCTCCCAGTACTGGATGGTGGTGAGCGTTTCAGCTCCCAGGACTGGATGGTGGTGAGCGTTTCAGCTCCCAGGACTGGATGGTGGTGAGCGTTTCAGCTCCCAGGACTGGATGGTGGTGAGCGTTTCAGCTCCCAGTACTGGATGGTGGTGAGCGTTTCAGCTCCCAGTACTGGATGGTGGTGAGCGTTTCAGCTCCCAGGACTGGATGGTGGTGAGCGTTTCAGCTCCCAGTACTGGATGGTGGTGAGCGTTTCAGCTCCCAGTACTGGATGGTGGTGAGCGTTTCAGCTCCCAGTACTGGATGGTGGTGAGCGTTTCAGCTCCCAGTACTGGATGGTGGTGAGCGTTTCAGCTCCCAGTACTGGATGGTGGTGAGCGTTTCAGCTCCCAGTACTGGATGGTGGTGAGCGTTTCAGCTCCCAGTACTGGATGGTGGTGAGCGTTTCAGCTCCCAGTACTGGATGGTGGTGAGCGTTTCAGCTCCCAGGACTGGATGGTGGTGAGCGTTTCAGCTCCCAGTACTGGATGGTGGTGAGCGTTTCAGCTCCCAGTACTGGATGGTGGTGAGCGTTTCAGCTCCCAGGACTGGATGGTGGTGAGCGTTTCAGCTCCCAGTACTGGATGGTGGTGAGCGTTTCAGCTCCCAGTACTGGATGGTGGTGAGCGTTTCAGCTCCCAGGACTGGATGGTGGTGAGCGTTTCAGCTCCCAGTACTGGATGGTGGTGAGCGTTTCAGCTCCCAGTACTGGATGGTGGTGAGCGTTTCAGCTCCCAGGACTGGATGGTGGTGAGCGTTTCAGCTCCCAGTACTGGATGGTGGTGAGCGTTTCAGCTCCCAGTACTGGATGGTGGTGAGCGTTTCAGCTCCCAGGACTGGATGGTGGTGAGCGTTTCAGCTCCCAGTACTGGATGGTGGTGAGCGTTTCAGCTCCCAGTACTGGATGGTGGTGAGCGTTTCAGCTCCCAGTACTGGATGGTGGTGAGCGTTTCAGCTCCCAGTACTGGATGGTGGTGAGCGTTTCAGCTCCCAGTACTGGATGGTGGTGAGCGTTTCAGCTCCCAGTACTGGATGGTGGTGAGCGTTTCAGCTCCCAGGACTGGATGGTGGTGAGCGTTTCAGCTCCCAGTACTGGATGGTGGTGAGCGTTTCAGCTCCCAGTACTGGATGGTGGTGAGCGTTTCAGCTCCCAGTACTGGATGGTGGTGCGCGTTTCTGTGATGGAGGATGGAGCAGCTCTCACCTCTGCATGAAACAACCACAGAGGAAGAGTTGTGCTTCGCCTGTATGATAGAAAACAATAAACATGGTTGATTCTCGCTGTTCGGAGCGTCTGGAACGGGTCGGCTTCAGGAAGTTACAGTTTTTTATTTTTTTTAATGCAGTTCCTTAAAGTTTAATTAAAATGGACTGTGAGGCGGTTAAAGGAAATCAGAGAGCTGGTAGAAAACTCCCCATCTGAGCTGATTCAGTTAAAGCTACTCAAAATGAAAATATTCATTAAAGTCAGACATTGAATCATATAAACGCTCAATAAATGTTCCCATTGGATCATTGCTACGTTTCCTGCTGAAGCCTGATCCCCACATCACAGTGGAAAACTTCACTTTCTGTTTTTAGGGGCTGCTGGAGGTGAGGAAGGTAAAGAGCCTGGGAGATCCAGAGCTTATTAGAGGAAGAGAGAAACAGGCAGAGCAGAGAGGCCAGAGAGAAGAACCAGTGAGCCTGGAGGAGCCGACAGTTTCTCTGCTTGCTGTTCAATCATAGAGCTGAAACTATTGATCAGATTAATCGGTTAGTTAAACATAATGGTCGTTTAGTTTAGAAATGGATTAATCGTTAACTGCAGTATAGAGACTCTAAAACACGCTAAAGCTGACAGATCCACCCACTATAGAAGAATTATGAAAAACTGCTGAAACATTTTTCATTTCAGATAAAGCAAACTATTTCATCTGTCAATCTGCTCTATCCAGAATTCCTTATGTGGAAAAGTTTAACTTTCAACTGGTTTCATTTTATAAAAAGTCTTCTTTCAGGAACTTTTGGTGAAATAATTGACAGATTAATTGGTTTGCTGTATAATGGTTAGTTCCCGCCCTGAATCGGATCTTTGAACGATTTCTGGCTCCAGGTCAGGTGATCCTCCAAACCTCCTCCTGTCGTTTTTCTTTGTCTTGTCGTCAGACTGAAAGCTTTGCTTCCTGTGAGGCTCCTTCTGCCAAATGTTGTCCCTCCGCTCCGTCTCTCAGGAATGTCTCACCTGGATGTGACGTCTCACCTCTCTCTCTCCAGATGGGTTTGTTTGCTGCTGACAAATCTAAATGTTGTTTTACTTCTACAAACTTCAGCAGCTGTGTTAGCCTGAGCTAATCAGGTTAGCCCTGTTTAAGGGGGGCTCACCAACATGGTGCCCACTGCCCACCACCACCATACTGGACCAGAACCTCAGACCTCCGTCACCCAGTCCACCACCACCATCCTGGACCAGAACCTCAGACCTCCGTCATCCAGTCCACCACCACCATCCTGGACCAGAACCTCAGACCTCCGTCACCCAGTCCACCACCACCATCCTGGACCAGAACCTCAGACCTCCGTCACCCAGTCCACCACCACCATACTGGACCAAAACCTCAGACCTCCGTCACCCAGTCCACCACCACCATACTGGACCAGAACCTCAGACCTCCGTCACCCAGTCCACCACCACCATCCTGGACCAGAACCTCAGACCTCCGTCACCCAGTCCACCACCACCATCCTGGACCAGAACCTCAGACCTCCGTCACCCAGTCCACCACCACCATACTGGACCAGAACCTCAGACCTCCGTCACCCAGTCCACCACCACCATCCTGGACCAGAACCTCAGACCTCCGTCACCCAGTCCACCACCACCATACTGGACCAGAACCTCAGACCTCCGTCATCCAGTCCACCACCACCATCCTGGACCAGAACCTCAGACCTCCGTCACCCAGTCCACCACCACCATCCTGGACCAGAACCTCAGACCTCCGTCACCCAGTCCACCACCACCATCCTGGACCAGAACCTCAGACCTCCGTCACCCAGTCCACCACCACCATACTGGACCAGAACCTCAGACCTCCGTCACCCAGTCCACCACCACCATACTGGACCAGAACCTCAGACCTCCGTCACCCAGTCCACCACCACCATCCTGGACCAGAACCTCAGACCTCCGTCACCCAGTCCACCACCACCATCCTGGACCAGAACCTCAGACCTCCGTCACCCAGTCCACCACCACCATACTGGACCAGAACCTCAGACCTCCGTCACCCAGTCCACCACCACCATCCTGGACTAGAACCTCAGACCTCCATCACCCAGTCCACCACCACCATACTGGACCAGCACCTCAGACCTCCGTCACCCAGTCCACCACCACCATCCTGGACCAGAACCTCAGACCTCCGTCACCCAGTCCACCACCACCATACTGGACCAGCACCTCAGACCTCCGTCACCCAGTCCACCACCACCATACTGGACCAGCACCTCAGACCTCCGTCACCCAGTCCACCACCACCATCCTGGACCAGAACCTCAGACCTCCGTCACCCAGTCCACCACCACCATACTGGACCAGAACCTCAGACCTCCGTCACCCAGTCCACCACCACCATCCTGGACCAGAACCTCAGACCTCTGTCATCCAGTCCACCACCACCATCCTGGACCAGAACCTCAGACCTCCGTCACCCAGTCCACCACCACCATCCTGGACCAGAACCTCAGACCTCTGTCATCCAGTCCACCACCACCATACTGGACCAGAACCTCAGACCTCCGTCACCCAGTCCACCACCACCATCCTGGACCAGAACCTCAGACCTCCGTCACCCAGTCCACCACCACCATCCTGGACCAGCACCTCAGACCTCTGTCATCCAGTCCACCACCACCATCCTGGACCAGAACCTCAGACCTCCGTCACCCAGTCCACCACCACCATACTGGACCAGAACCTCAGACCTCCGTCACCCAGTCCACCACCACCATCCTGGACCAGAACCTCAGACCTCCGTCACCCAGTCCACCACCACCATCCTGGACCAGAACCTCAGACCTCCGTCACCCAGTCCACCACCACCATCCTGGACCAGAACCTCAGACCTCCGTCACCCAGTCCACCACCACCATCCTGGACCAGAACCTCAGACCTCCGTCACCCAGTCCACCACCACCATCCTGGACCAGAACCTCAGACCTCCGTCACCCAGTCCACCACCACCATACTGGACCAGAACCTCAGACCTCCGTCACCCAGTCCACCACCACCATACTGGACCAGAACCTCAGACCTCCGTCACCCAGTCCACCACCACCATACTGGACCAGAACCTCAGACCTCCGTCACCCAGTCCACCACCACCATCCTGGACCAGAACCTCAGACCTCCGTCACCCAGTCCACCACCACCATACTGGACCAGAACCTCAGACCTCCGTCACCCAGTCCACCACCACCATACTGGACCAGAACCTCAGACCTCCGTCACCCAGTCCACCACCACCATACTGGACCAGAACCTCAGACCTCCGTCACCCAGTCCACCACCACCATCCTGGACCAGAACCTCAGACCTCCGTCACCCAGTCCACCACCACCATACTGGACCAGAACCTCAGACCTCCGTCACCCAGTCCACCACCACCATCCTGGACCAGAACCTCAGACCTCCGTCACCCAGTCCACCACCACCATACTGGACCAGAACCTCAGACCTCAGTCACCCTGTCCACCACCACCATACTGGACCAGAACCTCAGACCTCCATCACCCAGTCCCCCACCACCATACTGGACCAGAACCTCAGACCTCCGTCACCCAGTCCACCACCACCATACTGGACCAGAACCTCAGACCTCCGTCACCCAGTCCACCACCACCATACTGGACCAGAACCTCAGACCTCCGTCACCCAGTCCACCACCACCATACTGGACCAGAACCTCAGACCTCCAGTCACCCAGTCCACCACCACCATACTGGACCAGAACCTCAGACCTCCGTCACCCAGTCCACCACCACCATCCTGGACCAGAACCTCAGACCTCCGTCACCCAGTCCACCACCACCATACTGGACCAGAACCTCAGACCTCCGTCACCCAGTCCACCACCACCATACTGGACCAGAACCTCAGACCTCCGTCACCCAGTCCACCACCACCATCCTGGACCAGAACCTCAGACCTCCGTCACCCAGTCCACCACCACCATACTGGACCAGAACCTCAGACCTCCGTCACCCAGTCCACCACCACCATACTGGACCAGAACCTCAGACCTCCGTCACCCAGTCCACCACCACCATACTGGACCAGAACCTCAGACCTCCGTCACCCAGTCCACCACCACCATACTGGACCAGAACCTCAGACCTCCGTCACCCAGTCCACCACCACCATCCTGGACCAGAACCTCAGACCTCCGTCACCCAGTCCACCACCACCATACTGGACCAGAACCTCAGACCTCCGTCACCCAGTCCACCACCACCATACTGGACCAGAACCTCAGACCTCCGTCACCCAGTCCACCACCACCATCCTGGACCAGAACCTCAGACCTCCGTCACCCAGTCCACCACCACCATCCTGGACCAGAACCTCAGACCTCCGTCACCCAGTCCACCACCACCATCCTGGACCAGAACCTCAGACCTCCGTCACCCAGTCCACCACCACCATCCTGGACCAGAACCTCAGACCTCCGTCACCCAGTCCACCACCACCATCCTGGACCAGAACCTCAGACCTCCGTCACCCAGTCCACCACCACCATCCTGGACCAGAACCTCAGACCTCCGTCACCCAGTCCACCACCACCATCCTGGACCAGAACCTCAGACCTCCGTCACCCAGTCCACCACCACCATCCTGGACCAGAACCTCAGACCTCCGTCACCCAGTCCACCACCACCATCCTGGACCAGAACCTCAGACCTCCGTCACCCAGTCCACCACCACCATCCTGGACCAGAACCTCAGACCTCCGTCACCCAGTCCACCACCACCATCCTGGACCAGAACCTCAGACCTCCGTCACCCAGTCCACCACCACCATCCTGGACCAGAACCTCAGACCTCCGTCACCCAGTCCACCACCACCATCCTGGACCAGAACCTCAGACCTCCGTCACCCAGTCCACCACCACCATCCTGGACCAGAACCTCAGACCTCCGTCACCCAGTCCACCACCACCATCCTGGACCAGAACCTCAGACCTCCGTCACCCAGTCCACCACCACCATCCTGGACCAGAACCTCAGACCTCCGTCACCCAGTCCACCACCACCATCCTGGACCAGAACCTCAGACCTCCGTCACCCAGTCCACCACCACCATCCTGGACCAGAACCTCAGACCTCCGTCACCCAGTCCACCACCACCATCCTGGACCAGAACCTCAGACCTCCGTCACCCAGTCCACCACCACCATCCTGGACCAGAACCTCAGACCTCCGTCACCCAGTCCACCACCACCATCCTGGACCAGAACCTCAGACCTCCGTCACCCAGTCCACCACCACCATCCTGGACCAGAACCTCAGACCTCCGTCACCCAGTTCCCCCCACCCATTCTGGACAGAACCTCGAAACCCCGTACCAAATCCTCCCCCACCATCTGGGGCCAGGGAAAACCCCAGACCCCCGTTCACCCAGTTTACACACCACCATACTGGACCAGAACCTCGACCCTCCGTCACCCAAGTCCCACACCACATACTGGCCAGAACCTCAGACCTTCCGTCACCAGTCCACCCTACCCTCCCGGCCAGAACTCAGACCCCCCGTCACCCAGTTCCGCACCACCATCTGGACCAGAACCTAGGGCCTCCGTCACCCAGTCCCCCCCACCCTCCCGGACCAGAACCTAGGGCCTCCCTCACCCAGTCCCCAAACCCCATCCCGGACCCGAACCCCCGACCTCCCTACCAGTCCACCCCCCACCATACTGGACCCGAATCAGCCCCCGTCACCCAGTCCACACCCCATTCTGGACCAGAACTCGACTCCGTCACCCAGTCCTCCAAAATTTGGACCAAACTAGAAAACTTCCGTTTTTTACCCAAAGGGTTTCCTTTTTTTTTAAAACTTTTTGCTGGACAGGGAAACCTTTTTTCCAAAGGGGCTTTTTTTCCGTCACCCCAGGGTTTTTCCTTTCCAAAAAAAACCCTTTTTGGGAAAAAGAACCACAGGGGCTGCCCCCTCCCCCCACCCCAACCTTTGAAAACCCGGGGAACCCCCCTTTGTTTTCAAAGGTTTAAAACTCCCCCCCTACCCGACCTCAGACCCGGCCCCAGGCCCCACCACCCCCTGGACCCAACAAAAAACCCGGCCCCGTTTTTCCCCGTAAAAAATTTTTGGAAGAAACAGAACCTCAAGTCCCCCGTAAAACCCCCATTTTTGAACAGAATTTTTTTTTTAAAATTTGTACCCCGTCAACTTTATACGGACAAAAATTTTATGGGTTCCACGTCCAAACCCCCATTTTTCTGGAAAAGAAAAACCCCAGCAAAAAACCCTTTGGTTTTTTTTAAACCCAAAATAAACAACTGCCCCAGAACCTCGGCCCCCCGTTCTTTTTTTCCCTCCCCGAGATTTTCCTCATATCGCTAGCAAAATGTGTTTCTTGGGGCTTTTTCGATCTTTTTGCTGTATTCAGAGCAGTGAAGTCTGGATCCTTCTTGAATGAATCAGTTTGGCCAATGATCAGGTTCTGATTCTGTATATAAAGACGATGGTTTTGAAATCCGTTTTCTCTAATCGTTGAGTTCAGATATGTTGCTGCGATGAGCGTAGCGTCAGCCTGCATGTTGTTCTCTGTCTGAACGAAGAAGAGGAACACCTGCTGTGGAAAAGCTGTAGACTGACAGCAGGAACATGCCCCCCTCCCCCCACCCAGAGGGTGCATTCAGTCATATATCCAGTGGAATGTGTGGCGGCTGCTGCTGGTTGTCATGAAGGTTTATTTTAACTCCCACACATAGCCAGACCATGCAGTCACACCATGGCTCCTGCAGGACTCCCATCCACACTGGCACTGCGACCCATAGCAGAAACGGCCGGCCTCTGTTTTCATCTCATTTGTAAAAATATCAGTGAATGAAGGATGCATGAAGGCCATGCTATACTGTCCTTCCCCTCTGCCTAAACCCTGATCTCTACTAATTTTAGAATCTTTGATGATTATTTGTAGATTTTATTACTTTGTGATTCTGGGCCGTGAACAGGTAGTGTTGGTCAGTTTATGCAGGCAGAATGAGGTCAACTCATCCACTGGATCTCCTGCAGCTGCTCTTCTTATCCTGAGGTTTCTTATCTTATCCTGAGGAAGAGATAAGAACTTTCCCAGCAGTGAAGAGCACTAATTAGGTTTACTTTATTAAGCAGCTGAATGAATGAATGGACAGCTGCTCCGTTAGTCAGCGATGCCTCTGCTGTTTCCTCCTGCTCTCTGTAATCCGTCTCCTGCTTTGTCCCTGCAGGCCTGGCTGCGGCAGTGGGCCAGGAACCGGACCAAGCCCATGGCTGTGCCTACGGCAGCTGTTATCCAGCCACCGGAGACTTGTTGGTGGGAAGGGAAAAAAACCTGAAGGCCTCGTCTACATGTGGCATGAGAAGGAAGGAGCCGTACTGCATAGTCAGTCACCTGCAGGTGAGGTTTCCTACATCTTTGTTTGGCTGAACTGGTTCTCTTCGTGCCACGTCATTTGATGTGATTCTGTCCTGCCACAGGATGAGAAGAAATGTTTTGAGTGTGACTCCAGACGGCCATATGACCCCGTCTACAACACCATTAATCACCGGATAGAAAACGTCATCACTACATTCAAGCCACACCGCAAAGAGTCCTGGTGGCAGTCTGAGAACGGTCAGTGCTTAACTTCTCCTTTACCTGACGGTGTTCTGTCAGACCAGCATACCCCGTCAGACCAGCATACCCCGTCAGACCAGCATACCCACAGTCAGACCAGCATACCCCATCAGACCAGCATACCCCATCAGACCAGCATACCCCATCAGACCGGCATACCCACAGTCAGATCAGCATACCCGTCAGACCAGCATACCCACAGTCAGACCACAACCCAGTCTCATGGGAAAATGTACCCCCACTACGTTGGTCCACACTGCAAAACGTAGTGGAGGTACATTAATGGCCATTTTTTTGTGGTACTGTTACGTTTCTTCTGCCTATACGCTTTCTATTGTTTTATGTCCTAGTCACGTGACTTTCAAGATTCCAGCTGGGAGAAGAAAAAAAATAAATATATGGCCGACATTCGCTCATTTTTTGTGGAAAGATTAATGACTTGAGTTTGTTTTTGCATTAAAATGAGTTTTGATTATATTTCTAGTGAGAAATGTATAGTTTGTTGCCAGAATATTTACTCAGGGAATGTACATATTCACTTGCTTGTTCGTTTCTTGCAAAGATTTTTCAAGATAATGTGAAACTGTAACATTTTGGTATAAACATGGCTGAGATTTCTCTAACTTTTAGTGGGAAAATCAATAATTTCAATCAGTTTCTGCATTTAAATGGGTTTTGATTACATTTATAGCGAGAAGTGTAGGGTTTATTTACATAATATTTACTTAGTGAACATACATAATCACCCGCTTGCTAGTTTTTGCTACGTTTTTCGGATCTCGTCAGGATTATGTGAAATTGCAACGTTTTGGCTGCTACCCATCGCCTAGCATTTAGCTGCCACCCCCGATTCAACATTGAATTCTTTGTGATTTAACTCCATCTGACGGATCAAACCCTCGCCACTGCGGCGTTGCGTCTGAGGTTGATTTTCAGATCAATGCATTACGTCGTGGCATACGGGAGAAACTAATTAAACTAGTTAAAAAACGGATCATGGGTTAAGATCGGATGTGTTTTATTTGGAAATCTACCGGATCCTTTGTGCATTTCACTTCCTGTTTGGTGCGATCTCATTGATGGGTTTTGACTAGATTTTGACCAAAGAGGAACTAAAAAAAACAAAACAATTTAAATACACAACCAGCATATCTGGAATCAGTGACAGAGAGCGACTGGGACCAAAAGTTTATTAATTTCTCCCCACTGATTTCCATTCAAAATGTTTTCGATCCCACCGGGCTCTAGGGAAGGGGCGGGCATACCGCCACCTACTGTTCATGAGTGTGTAGCAACATTGTTTTACATCTATTAAATTCTATTTTTTTATTTTGTATTCTGAAGATAAATAAATAATGCTTTCCTTAATCTATAAATATCTTTTATATTTCCTTTATTTCCCAATAATTCTTTAAGACTCCATTCTTGGCCTGTCCTCTTTTCAATTTCTTCCTTTCAGGTTCATATGTTTTGCAGTTCATCAATACATCTACATTTTCTATCTCTCCACATCCTTCACATTTATCATTATTTTTCCTCCCTATTAAGTATAAATTGTCATTTAAATAAGTATGACCTACTCTTAATCTGATCATTATTATTTCTTCCCTTCGGTTTCTCTCATTAATATTTCTATTTAATACTGACTTTTGTACTTTATATAACCTTCTTCCTTTTTATCTTCATTCCACCTTTTTTTTTGCCATTTTTCAATTTCTTTCCTCTTAATAAATGATTTTCCTTCCCCTTTCCCTAAAGGAATTGTAATTGTTATTTGTCTACTTTTCATTCCAGCTAACTTTCCATTAATTAGCTTGAAAACAGCACTTTGTAGGCACCCAGTTTCTCTAACAATGGCCCTTTTTGGGTTACCCTCCATGCATTGGGTGTCAGTTCAGTGGCAGTTCCAGAACATTTTCTTAGGGTTGACCAGGCAGCACAATAATGTGCATGTGGCCAAAAAGTAATAGGGATCAAATTCGGTTCAGAATCAAGCTATTGGGATCAGGCATCAGGTTCAATTTGCATATTTTCTTAGCCAAAACAAGGATTTGTTGGGCTACTGTAATTTTGAATTGAAAAACGTCCTGAATGGGAAGTCTTCAAACTTGAAAAACAAAGTCCAAAGTTTTTTTGTTTTTTTTTTTTGGAATGATTATGACCTGGATGGCTAAGAATCTTCACCAGCTTATCAGGGAAATGAATGCCCACAATGTCTATATTCTCCAAAAGAGAATAACAGAACAGACCTTCATGAGGCCCTTGTTAAAGCTATGCATATATTTATGCATCTATGCTCATCAAATAACTTTCTGGTTCGACGCAACATTTACATTAAATGGGTTGAGAGGTTGTTCTTTACCAGTAAATACATAAAAGATTCCCAGATGACTGCCGATACAAACTCTCCCCTATAAAACCTGAAACTAATTCTTATAAGAGAGTAAAATCTGTATTAGTCTTCATTAAATGTAGCATATTGTTGTAAATAATCGATTGCTTTATTTTTGGTGTCAGCTTTTGGTCAATATGCTAACCTTAAAAGGTCAAAGTGGGAAAATGTAGTAGTAGTAGACAAATTAGCAATTAGAGGAGGCAATAACAATTACAATTCCTTTAGGGAAAGGAAAATCATTTATTAAGAGGAAAGAAAATGAAAAATGGCAAAAAAAAGGTGGAATGAAGATAAAAAGGAAGAAGGTTATATAAAGTACAAAAGTCAGTATTAAATAGAAATATTAATGAGAGAAACCGAAGGGAAGAAATAATAATGATCAGATTAAGAGTAGGTCATACTTATTTAAATGACAATTTATACTTAATAGGGAGGAAAAATAATGATAAATGTGAAGGGTGTGGAGAGATAGAAAATGCAGATGTATTGATGAACTGCAAAACATATGACATATGAACCTGAAAGGAAGAAATTGAAAAGAGGACAGGCCAAGAATGGAGTCTTAAAGGATTATTGGGAAATAAAGGAAATATAAAAGATATTTATAGATTAAGGAAAGCATTATTTATTTATCTTCAGAATACAAAATTAAAAAATAGAATTTAATAGATGTAAAACAATGTTGCTACACACTCATGAACAGTAGGTGGCGGTATGCCCGCCCCTTCCCTAGAGCCCGGTGGGATCGAAAACATTTTGAATGGAAATCAGTGGGGAGAAATGAATAAACTTCTGGTCCCAGTCGCTCTCTGTCACTGATTCCAGATATGCTGGTTGTGTATTCAAATTGTTTTTTTGTTTTTTTTTTAGTTCCTCTTTGGTCAAAATCTGGTCAAAATCCATCAATGAGATCGCACCAAACAGGAAGTTAATTGCACAAAGGATCCGGTAGATTTCCAAATAAAACACATCCGATCTTAACCCATGATCCTTTTTTTAAACTAGTTTAATTAGTTTCTCCCGTATGCCAGGACGTAATGCATTGATCTGAAAATCCACCTCAGACGCAACGCCGCAGTGGCGAGGGTTTGATCCGTCAGATGGAGTTAAATCACAAAGAATTCAATGTTGAATCGGGGCGGCAGCTAAATGCTAGGCGATGGGTAGCAGCCTAAACGTTGCAATTTTACATAATCCTGACGAGATCCGAAAAACGTAGCAAAAACTAGCAAGCGGGTGATTATGTATGTTCACTAAGTAAATATTATGTAAATAAACCCTACACTTCTCGCTATAAATGTGATCAAAACCCATTTAAATGCAGAAACTGATTGAAATTATTGATTTTCCCACTAAAAGTTAGAGAAAACTCAGCCATGTTTATACCAAAATGTTACAGTTTCACATTATCTTGAAAAATCTTTGCAAGAAACGAACAAGCAAGTGAATATGTACATTCCCTGAGTAAATATTCTGGCAACAAACTATACATTTCTCACTAGAAATGTAATCAAAACTCATTTTAATGCAAAAACAAACTCAAGTCATTAATCTTTCCACAAAAAATGAGCGAATGTCGGCCATATATTTATTTTTTTTCTTCTCCCAGCTGGAATCTTGAAAGTCACGTGACTAGGACATAAAACAATAGAAAGCGTATAGGCAGAAGAAACGTAACAGTACCACAAAAAAATGGCCATTAATGTACCTCCACTACGTTTTGCAGTGTGGACCAACGTAGTGGGGGTACATTTTCCCATGAGACTGGGTTGCAGACCAGCATACCCCATCAGACCGGCATACCCCATCAGACCGGCATACCCCATCAGACCAGCATACCCCATCAGACCAGCATACCCCATCAGACCAGCATACCCCATCAGACCAGCATACCCCATCAGACCAGCATACCCCATCAGACCGGCATACCCCATCAGACCAGCATACGCCATCAGACCAGCATACCCCATCAGACCAGCATACCCGTCAGACCAGCATACCCACAGTCAGACCAGCATACCCACAGTCAGACCAGCATACCCCAACAGACCAGCATACCCACAGTCAGACCAGCATACCCACAGTCAGACCAGCATACCCCATCAGACCAGCATACCCACAGTCAGACCAGCATACCCCATCAGACCAGCATACCCACAGTCAGACCAGCATACCCACAGTCAGACCAGCATACCCCATCAGACCAGCATACCCACAGTCAGACCAGCATACCCCATCAGACCAGCATACCCACAGTCAGACCAGCATACCCCGTCAGACCAACATACCCCCAGTCAGACCAGCATACCCCCAGTCAGACCAGCATACCCCCAGTCAGACCAGCATACCCCATCAGACCAGCATACTCACAGTCAGACCGGCATACCCCGTCAGACCAGCATACCCCCAGTCAGACCAGCATACCCCCAGTCAGACCAGCATACCCCATCAGACCAGCATACCCACAGTCAGACCGGCATACCCACAGTCAGACCAGCATACCCACAGTCAGACCGGCATACCCACAGTCAGACCGGCATACCCCGTCAGACCAGCATACCCACAGTCAGACCAGCATACCCACAGTCAGACCAGCATACTCACAGTCAGACCGGCATACCCCGTCAGACCAGCATACCCCCAGTCAGACCAGCATACCCCATCAGACCAGCATACCCACAGTCAGACCGGCATACCCACAGTCAGACCAGCATACCCACAGTCAGACCAGCATACCCACAGTCAGACCGGCATACCCCGTCAGACCAGCATACCCACAGTCAGACCAGCATACCCACAGTCAGACCAGCATACCCCATCAGACCAGCATACCCACAGTCAGACCAGCATACCCACAGTCAGACCAGCATACCCACAGTCAGACCAGCATACCCCATCAGACCAGCATACCCACAGTCAGACCAGCATACCCACAGTCAGACCAGCATACCCCATCAGACCAGCATACCCACAGTCAGACCAGCATACCCCATCAGACCGGCATACCCCGTCAGACCAGCATACCCCGTCAGACCAACATACCCCCAGTCAGACCAGCATACCCACAGTCAGACCAACATACCCCATCAGACCAGCATACCCCATCAGACCGGCATACCCCATCAGACCAGCATACCCCATCAGACCGGCATACCCCATCAGACCAGCATACCCCATCAGACCAGCATACCCCGTCAGACCAGCATACCCCGTCAGACCAACATACCCCCAGTCAGACCAGCATACCCACAGTCAGACCAGCATACCCCGTCAGACCAGCATACCCCGTCAGACCAACATACCCCATCAGACCAGCATACCCCATCAGACCAGCATACCCCGTCAGACCAGCATACCCCGTCAGACCAACATACCCCATCAGACCAGCATACCCCATCAGACCGGCATACCCCATCAGACCAGCATACCCCATCAGACCGGCATACCCCATCAGACCGGCATACCCCATCAGACCAACATACCCCCAGTCAGACCAGCATACCCCGTCAGACCAGCATACCCACAGTCAGACCAGCATACCCCGTCAGACCAGCATACCCCGTCAGACCAACATACCCCATCAGACCAGCATACCCCATCAGACCGGCATACCCCGTCAGACCAGCATACCCCGTCAGACCAACATACTCCCAGTCAGACCAGCATACCCACAGTCAGACCAGCATACCCCGTCAGACCGGCATACCCCGTCAGACCAGCATACCCCATCAGACCAGCATACCCACAGTCAGACCAGCATACCCATAATCAATACCCATTTATCCGTTTACTTTTGTACGAAACATAAACTCTAAACTACCTCAATGGGCGTTTATCCATTTAGTCATGTACGGAAAATTTTTTATCTAATTACTTTTTGGTGTTTTTGAAGCGTATGGCGATCTGACCGTAGTTTTTTTTCTACATGAATAAAGGGATAGTTAGTTTAAAGTCTATTCTGCCTACAAAACTAAAGGGATAAACAGAAATGGGACGTCTTGCTTATGGACTATAGGTATGCTGGTCTGACTGAACGACACTGTAAACTACAGGAAGTGATATCAGCCGGTCTACCGTCATTCTGGGAAATGTTAAATAAAAAGTGTTCGGTTCTGAGAATAGATTAGAACTTTCTTCTTTTGAAAAGCAACCAGCAGCTGTAGGAAATGTGGTTTAAAGCCTCCAGCCTGCAGCTTCACATCAGCCTAATGACAGAGCAGGAGCAGCTGGGGCGTCTCATCACAGGGAGGGAAGGAGGACAGAAGCTTATCCCAACGATAAACCCTAACTGTGGTCTGTTCACTTACATCCAGGGCCGTAACTAACATTGAGGACGCCAAGGTCATGTCCTCTGGATTTTTTTTATTTATATTTTGCCTAAATTGTGATATACAAACTAAAAATAAATTACACTGAAAATGGCTGTTGGACGACGATCTAGGTCTCCCACAAAATTGCGAGATGTTTGAAGAGCTAATGCTACATTCAGACGAAACGCAGAGGAAGCTAAAACGTGCGTGCTGCTTCACTTTTGATGCTTGTACCAGTTTAGTTCTGATGCACGGCTGAAGTATCTTTGCTGCTCTGGCTGCGCAGTGGAAAGGTGGGTCTGATGCGTGGTGGGCGGAGCTACCCTATCCTTTCTCTGCCTTGAACAATAGCGGATGAAAAACAAGAGCTGCTTGGCTTCTTTGAACTAATAATGCTACGTTTAGACCACAACTGCTGCAAGCAGCAAAGAATCGTCTGCTGCTTCATTTGTTCACATTAAGGTCAGCCGCCCAGTTAAGTGAGTCCAGATGCTTCTGCTGCTCCTGTGTTCGATGCCAGAGAGCAGCTTTGCTATATTAGCTGTGATCAGCGGGTAGAAAGTAGTTAGAATCTATGTTGAAGTGAGAAAGTCCTCCTGAAAACATGGTCTGTGCAGTCAGTTCATCCAGATTACCATCCTGCCTTCAAAGATTATTTCTCTGTGGGAGCCGCTCAGACCTAGCCTGACGTAGTCCGACTCAATTCTAGTCAGAATGAGTCTGATGCTGCTCCATAGAGCTGTGATTATGGGGCGTGTTTCCAACGAACCAGGAAAAAAATGCCTCTGCACTCAATTGGATAGACCTACAACCAATAAGAGCAACGGAGTGCGTGACGTATGTTAAGCCACGCATAGTTGTTGTCAACAAAAATCAAAGCGTGCAGTTTCACGCCTAGAATAAGAAGATGAGCCTTGATCGCGTTTCTCTGTTCCTCTTTTAAAATTAATTTGCTGTCGATATCTTCTAGAACAGACCTAATAGCAGAATCTACTCACCTCAACTCTCCAGCGGCAGCCATTGTTGTTGTCACCCAAGCGCGCTTTGGTCACGTGGTTGATTACATTACTGTTGATCATCTGTCCATCATCGTATAAAGCCCGCCCTGACAATTTGATTGGATCGCCTGACAGTGGGCTTTAATACTCGCGCTACTATGGAGCAGAGCCAGACCGAACTTCCTGACCTCAAACCTTGTGGGCGGGACTAAGTTCGGAATGGCACCCAGGCTAGCTCAGACCCCCACATACTGACGCTGCGCTGTCACTGGAAATCCCGTTTAACCTCAGCATCTGGCCCAGTCGCCACTTTTCAGTTTTTCGCTACTGTTTGGGCGGCTAGAAGGCATTTTTCTCATTCTTAATCCAAACTGCAGGCACCAGAAAACAAAATCTAACATATTCTTTCAGCAGTTTTCTACATTTTCAGGTAATTTAGGCATTAATAAACTGTTTCAGAAGAGTGATCATAGCGCTCTGCATCAGCAGCGCTGTGTCTGACTCCCTGCCAGCTCCCAGATCAGAGATAAAAAAGGCAACTGTCAACCAGCTCCACAGGCGGCCCCGTCCAGGAAACACACAGCCAGGCAGACGAGCTCCGAGCCAGCTCCCATGTCAGAGGATGAAGAGAGCACATCCAGTTAGTCACAGTCAGAGAAACAGGACTACACTGGAAAACAGGCCAAGCTCCAACATCTAGAAACAAAGGTGTTGATGGAAGCAGCACAGCTGATATAAATCTAGTGTCTGAACAATACTAGGACAGAAAAATTCACATTTACGTCACCGCGCATAATTAGAAAGAATATAAGGAAAATACCCTGATTTCAGCTTCTGCATTTGAACGAGGGATGTGTCTTAAATACCGTAATGTTTTGGTCAGAGGAAGGATGGCTTCCTAGACAGAAGACGGCAAACAGAAGAAAAAACGTGGATGAAAAGTTCAGCTGGCAGTAGCAGGACCGCTGGCAGATCCTGTTTTAAGCCCTTTTCTCTGGATTTCCACTGTAACGTCACAATGAAGCCGCTGTGTTTTTATCAGATAAGGCCACTTTGTGCAACATGGAAATGCCACAGCTGTCATGGAAAAGCAGGAGTATAAATAGGTCGGACTTCCTGTGCCTCTTTCAGGCCTTCGGTTTTTTCTGCTTCTATTCCTGGTTTTGTTGCAACATGAATGGGAATCCATGGTCCAATTAAATGAGAACCATGACCACCAACACTCATCTCATCGTTACCTTTAAGAACAATTAACTCTTCCAATTCTTCATGAAAAGCCTCAAATTAATACTTGTATCAGTTAAAGAAATCTAAGCAGATAAGCAGTTTGTTAAAGGAAAAGTCCGGTCAGTTAATGGTGATTTAATGAATTTAGCCTTAATCAGTAAATCAAAATAATAATTTTCTTGGTGATCACTGAGTCTGGGAGCGGCCATCTTTGCCCAAATATAGTAGCCCCTCCCTCCTGCCATCTTCCAGCAGTGACGTCACGGTGCGGTAAGCCTAGCGCCATTCTCCCCGCTTTCCAAGCTAAATCAATGGGAACTACTAGACACATCTGCAATCAACAACAATTATTGAAGATTTCCAGAGGACTTCACCATTGAAATTCACCAGAGCTATAGTGAAACTGACAATGCCCACGTGCATGGCAGCTGGATGCTGGAATACATCGGGTAAAAGTGAAAAAAAGAGTTATTCCACCTTTCTGATTCCTGATCCTCCACGGACGGGTTGGTCGTTGGATCGCCAACTTGAAGAGGGAGGATTTGCCATCGAACTTCTGGCCAGAGAAAAAACCCGTAATATGTAGCCAACATTTGGAAGAAGAATGTTTTCAAGATGACTTGGATAATAGCGCGTTGTGACAAACACCAGATACAGCACTGGGACTTGATCAACAGCCGATACCGCACCGTGACAATGTCACTAACCAGTAGGTGGCAGTAGTGTTCTTTGACAAACATGGATGCCTCCAGTAAAGCACATTCACAGGAAAATTACTCTGAATTAAAAACACTGATCATTTATTGAACAGGATGGAATCATTTCAGATTTAAAGAACTTTCAGAAGTTTTTATTCTGAATATCAGCGACTTTTCCTTTAAATGTTTTTTAATCGGTGCTGTTTTTAACAGCAGAGGTTCAGATGTTATTTTTATAGACGTGCTGCTTTCGGAAACATCTGTCAGCACCAGATGACCTCTAAATGACCCCGTAAGGACGAACTGGGTCAGCTTTTGGTTAACTTGTCCTCCTAACCCCCCCCCCCCAGGAAAGCCAGATGTTTTCATTGAACTAGATCTGGAGGCGGAGTTTCATTTCACTCATCTGATCATGACATTTAAGGTAAGAAACTTTCTGAGGTTTCCTGAATGAGTTGGTCAGTTTGAAAATGAGCTGATTAAAGGTTTTCATGATTTCTGCTTGCAGACTTTTCGCCCTGCCGCCATGCTGATTGAGCGATCAGCAGACTTTGGTCGAACCTGGCAGATCTACCGCTACTTTGCTCATGACTGCGCGGCGTCCTTTCCTGGAGTGTCCACGGGTCCACTGCGTAACATCAATGATGTCATCTGTGAGTCGCGCTATTCTGACATTGAGCCATCGACAGAGGGCGAGGTGAGGCTCTGTGGCATCCGCTGGTAACCGTTGGTAACCGCTGGTAACCGTTGGTAACCAAGGCCACGCATGGTGACCCATGGGTTAATCTTAGAAAGGCAAACAGAGATCCTCTCTCTATGCAGTCAGAACTCTGAGCTACAGATAAATGCTCTATTCCATAAGATCATTGGTCCAGCCTGTTGTCCATAGCAACCAGGTTAGCAGTTAGCTTCGCTACGCATTGATGAAGACGTAATGAGGAGCATTAAGTTTCTCACTGATTCCTGATTTATAGCAGGCAGACAACTTATCACTGTTTTAACAAACTGAACCAACCTGAGCTATTGGATCAGATGGAGCCCTCTGTTAGCTCAGTCTATTATTAGTTCTATAATTAGTTAGCTTATATTATTATAATTAATTCTATAGTTATATTAGTTTCAAGTTAGAATGATAATAACTGTGGGACACAGTGGATATGAACCTATTGGCTAAAGTTGGAGGCTGCTGGTGTTGTCAGAACAGCATACCCACAGTCAATTATCCCTTTAGTTTTGTACAAAAAATATACTTTAAATTACAAAAAAAGTATTTATTGACATACTTTTTTATCTTTTTTGAAGCGTATGGCGACCTGACCTTAAATTTTTGTTTTGTTTTTTTGTACATGACTAAAGGGATACACGCCCGTTGAGGTAGTTTAAGGTTTATTTTTCGTACAGAACTAAGACGATAAACACAAATCTGAGGTTTTGCGCTGCGTATTGACTGTAGGTATGCTGGTCTGACAGAACTCCGCCTGCATCCGTCAACCTGGAAGAGGAAAAACAGCAGCTTCAGATTCAGACTATCGCTTCCTTACATATCGATAAAGCAGTGAGAGAGACGACAGACACCTCTGTCTGCTACAGGTGAAGAACCCGATCATCTTCACTGGACGCCGCATCAGGAAGGCGGCCATCTTTAGTTCACCTAAAGCAGAAAGGCTGATGGTCTTAGCCATGTCACTTATATATTAGTAGCACTATTTCATCATATTCTTGCTCACATAAATTAAAATGTAACCTTTAAAGAAATTACTCAAGTTTTAAAGCTTTTGTTTTTGGGTGAATGGACGTAATTTTTTTTGGGGGGGGCGAGGGGGCACATCCGTTTTTTGTCGCCCATGCACGGATTCAATGTGAAGTTTATAAACAGCTCTGTTGACAGGATATGAGGGGTTGTTCGATATGAGCGACATGCTGCTCAACTTTTTAATTTTTTTTTTTACAGTAGATAAAAAACGATTAAAATTATGTTCAGGTTGCACATAAATATCTTCATTAATTCTGCAGGTGAAAAAGGAATGAGCTGATGGTTAGGATTAGAGTTCATTGGGTGATAACAGCCTACTGAGCCTACTGGAAGGTAGGAAGCGATTCTATGGGACTGATCACCTCTAACAACAGACATTTAATGTGATGATAACATCCGCAGCTACATCAGGTAGAGCAGCAGCGTCTAGGAAACTTCATCTAATGAAATCTCTGAAGATGGATGCTTTTCCTTATCATACAGCTTTTAGCAAACATCATTTAGTCCCATTAGATCTCCATCCTATCCTACTGCCCCCCCCCCCTCCTGGCTCCAATCTATGGGCCCCCAGCAGAACTCCTGACACCTAAGACTATCAGTTAGATCATGTTGACAGTTAGAGCTTTAGTTTATGGATGAAACAGGTTTTATTAGAAAATCCAAACTGAGGAAAGCAGTTGTTGAACCAGAGGGAAAGGTTTGCTCTCCCAAGGACACATAGATCCAACCAGCCGGTGTCCATTTGGATCCGGACCGGGTTCCTTTGGAACCGGACCGGGTTCATTTGGAACCGGACCGGGTTCATTTGGATCCGGACCGGGTTCCTTTGGAACCGGACCGGGTTCCATTCCTACCTCGGTCACCTTCACTCTGCACCACTAGACTACAGACCAAAACAACCCAGATCTCCTCCAAAACATCTCAGAACTGCCTCTTTATGGCTGAAATGGACCCAGTTCTGGTCCAGATGACGACTGAAGGCTCCATCCAATCACCTTCCTGTGAGGTCCTGAGCTGCATTGTGGGTAAACAAACTGCTGTACAGACTGAGCTCCATATAGAGACGTCTCTGTTCTGATGGTTCTGACTGAAATTAAACCGTATTGTTGAGGTTTGGTTCTCCAACGTTCTGCTGGCTCAGCGGTCTGCTTCCTGGATTTCCACCTGGTTCTCCTGCATCAGACCAAAGACCAGTCTTGACCATCTCAGGTGGTCTGTACCGACAGGTTCTGTTCCCCACAGCTTTCTGTAAAGAAACTGAACCATCAGAGAAACCCAGTTGGTAACTGATGACAGTTAAACCTGGAGGTGTTTGTGGCACCAAGCCGCGTGGTTCCAGGACCATCATCTGACTTTCCTTTCTTTCACCATGTTGATGTTTTACACTCTTCCTCAGTGGTTTTATATTTCCATTTCTCTACTATTAAACTTTGGAATGAGGGGTTTGCCAGATTAGAATCTGAGTGCGGTCCTAAAACCCTGAGCCTTGAAGTGAGAGTGGGGCTTAAGCAGCCTGTCTGGGCTCTGAGTGGATTTGGGCCATAATCTGTGTTTTCCTGACTCAGGTCATCTACAGAGTGCTGGACCCGGCCATCAGGATCGAGGACCCGTACAGCCCCAGCATTCAGAGTGAGTCGCCCTCAACATTTTCACTGCAGCACATAGAAAAACCTGTTTTTAGAGAGTTTCTATGAAACATTCCAGAAATATGTAAAACTCCTGCCTTTGGCGTAGTGATCTGTAGACCCTGGAGAGAACCAAGCCGAGGAATCACCTGCCTTCCATCTGTCACCATACATCAGAGCTGATCCTCCAGCCAGCAGTGACACACGGGGTCCTGCTGAGCGGAGGACGGTGAGATGGGAAGAGCAGCTGTTTCTCTCCCACTCAGCCTTCATGTTTAAGCTGGCAGGACATTAGAGCCGTTCCCAGAAACCTCGGCTTTGTTTCCAGCAGAGCTGCTCTCACTCTAACCCCTCCCCTCAGAGAAATAGGTTTGCTACAGTAAAGCTAAATCGAGCCCTTCAATAAACTCTCACCTCCTTCCTGCTCTCAATGCTCGATTAGTTTGCTGAAGCAGCATGTCCGCCATGTTTACGCTCAGTGTCTATAAGGCTATTGGTCACTCAGCTCTGAACATATTGAGCTTCTCTTCTTCTTTTGTCTTCATCAACAAACCTCTGAAAATGTTTGTCCTTGAGCCGTTTGCTGTCAGATGATACCATGTGTACCCTGATGACCTCCACACTTCATCCTGAAGGAACCTTAGTGGTAAAGGATCAACCATAAAGCCTGTAATGGTTCATATCCAGTGTCTGAACCCACAGTTTGCTCCTCGGACTGTGGACAGGGTTGGAACTGGGTGGGTTGGTCCATTAGTTAGCTCATGCTGTCTGTGAGGCGGGTGTGTAATGGAAGCAGCGATGGGCTGAACATCGTTCTTAACATGGCAGGCTGTCCCACTCTGGATGCTGCAAGCATTAGAAGAAGTCCTTCCGATCATCAGGGCCTCTAATGCACACGCTGGGATTCCTCCGTTAAACATCACAGCTTGTAAAGACCTGCCATCGGAGCAGCTCAGAGCTACGGTCAGGAAAGTGGACAGCTGGACTCTAACAGCAGAAACGCTTCACTCGTGTTTCCGACCGCCCCTCTTCAATTCAATTCAATTCAATTCTTATCTTACTGTCTTCAGAATGACACAGAACAGATTTGGCTGCAGTCAGGAACCAGTTTGGACAGAAATGCCTCTAAAACGGATCGATGCGTCATTTTGATCCGGTCATTCATTTAACATTTGATCTGACACGCCGTCACATTATTAATCCACAGACTAGGAGAACGTCTCTAAATTTCTGCACTGCTTCTATAGACCTGATCTCATGCTACACCATGTAGATGCTCTGTCTGCGCTGATGAAAAACATGCAATCAATCCAGGTATTGCTTTAGCCTTTCTAGCAGGCACCTCTGCTGCCCAGTTCAAGGCTGCTCAGGTGACTGGAAGCTAACAGCTCAGGGTCAGACATCCAGAAGATGAAGTTGTTTTCTGGGAGAAAAGAAAAACATCTGTTACCTTTCAAACAAGGACCCTACAGAGGGTTTTCCTTGTTTCTGGTGTTAAAAATGAAAATGACCCTTTATGGTTCGATTTAACAGAGATTCTTATAACTTGCATTGACCAAACATTTACAGCATTCGTTTATCTTGTTTAAAGCTACTGGGGAGACATGTGGTGTCAGTCTGTCCAATCCCAGTGACGCTGTTTGGTGAGGCTTGAATTTACTATCTGTAAGCCGGGCGTACAGTCTACGATTTGTTGCCCTTTTCAGGCGATTCTCCAGTGCGAGAATTTTTCGATCAGGCCGACTTTCAGCCTAATCGTGTTGTATACAGGGGGTAACGAAGGGAAATCTCACGACCGCGACCTCATCAGGAAACATAAAGTCAGGAGAAAATCAAACGTTTGAAATTCAGACGGCCGTCGTAAGGTTGCATCAGAGCGTCGGGCCGCACAGTGTGAGAACATGCATCCTGAACTTTTAAACCCTGTGGTTTCATCATTGAAAATATTGCACATTATATGCCCGGCTTTAGAAAATAAATCCAAGGATAAATAGTTGGACTGAAACAATAAGGCACCATGAACCCCCTGACCTTTGCTTGGTTGGAGTTTAGGCTCTCTCCATCTCTGTCTGGGTAATTAATCTGCTGATGAACTAACTCATGCTTGGTTTCAGATGAACAGATCAGAGATCCTGGATACTGATTCCTAAGAGTGGCTCTGACCTGAAGATGACTTTCTAAATCTGTGATCTCCATCAGACCAACTGAAGATCACTAACCTGAGACTGAACTTCACCAAACTTCACACACTTGGAGACAACCTGCTGGACCCCAGAGCTGAGATCAAGGAGAAGTACTACTACGCTATCTATGAGCTGGTGGTTCGTGGAAACTGCTTCTGCTATGGCCATGCTTCAGAGTGTGCGCCCATCGAAGGCATCAGGGGTGACGTAGAGGGAATGGTAAGAGCTCACTACCCATTTCCCTCCAGGCCCATTTGATCTACATCCTCTGGTCTTTTCAGGTTCATGGCAGATGTGTTTGCAACCATAATACCAAAGGTCTGAACTGTGAGCAGTGTGATGACTTCTACAACGACCAGCCTTGGAGGCCGGCGGAGGGCCGCAACACACACGCCTGCAAGAGTCAGTCCAATCCGATCAGCTAAATGTCCCGCTGGGAGCGCCGCAGCTTTGGCATCTGAGGAGAACTTCCACAACGTCCTGACTGTTTGTTTTCTTCCAGAGTGTGACTGCAATGAGCATTCGGAGAAGTGCCACTTTGACATGGCCGTCTATCTGTCCACGGGAAACGCCAGCGGAGGAGTGTGTGACGACTGTCAGCATAACACCATGGGCCGCAACTGTGAGCTCTGCAAACCGTTCTACTACAGGGATCCAAGCAGACACATGAGGGATCTGCGTGTTTGCATCGGTGAGTCTGGATGGGAAACCCCCCCATCATCAGTCTACACCTCCTGAGATAGACCTTCTGAAATTAAATAGCTGCATACATCCCCCCACCCCCCCCAGCCTGTGATTGTGACCCAGATGGTTCAGAGAATGGAGGGCTGTGTGACAGCCACAGCGACCCGTCCCTCGGCATGGTGGGAGGTCAGTGCCGCTGCAAGACCAACGTGGAGGGACTGCGGTGCGACAGGTGCCGGTCCGGCTTCTTTGGGCTGAGTGCAGAAAACCCCTTTGGCTGCCAGTGTGAGTGAAGCCTACAGTTAATCATCCTGTTGGGGGGGCAGCAGTCCTCCACCAATCAGAAGCTCTCATTTGGCTTTAGGGCTGAAACTTCTATGAGGCTAAAACAAAAACTAAAGCTCTAAGTTATAAAATAAAAGGCATTATTTATGATGAATTAGTCTTTTTCACCCAATCTGCCGTCTTTTCTCTGACCTCCAGCCTGTCGATGCGACCACAGAGGAACCGTGACGGGCAGCTCCATGTGTGACCCAGTCACCGGAGCCTGCGTCTGCAAGCGGCTCGTCACGGGACGCAACTGTGACCAGTGTCTGGTGAGGACGGAATGATGCGTGAAGATTTCACTGCTTGACACCAGTCCTGTTAGTGATCCAGTCACTAGTAACACCAGTAACTAGAGCTGCAATGATCCAGTTTTATCCCATTCAATCCGATACCTGGGCTGTCTGATACGATCGGATTCACCTGTTCAATGAACCACATATCTGCCATGAGAGTGAAGGCTTTAGCCTCGGCATAAACGTTGTTAACAAAGATATAAACATACCTTATATTATTGATCAGAGGTGTCAAGTTACTGTACCTAAGTACACTTTTTAGGTAAGTATACTTTACTCCATTACTTATTTTTCTTCCTACTTCTGACTTCTAATCATTACATTTTCACACCAGTATCTGTACTTTCTATTTCTTACATTTTTAAAACAATCGTTACTCGTTACTCTTGGCTTCGGTTTAATGCAGAGGTCACTGGTATTGATTGACAAATAAGAGCAAAAAAAGAAGTAAAGGTTTCATGTAAAGTGCTTTAGAATGGATTTCAGAAAGTAAAAAAAAAGACAAAATGACTTTAAAAGTCGAAATTCTGACTTTGTAACTGGAAATAAGACTTTGAATCTCTTAATGATGACTTTTTATTTGGTATTTCCTTACTTTCATGTGAAGGAATGCCATTTTTTTACTTCCATGTAGCGGAATCAGGTTTCAGCTGAGATGTTGACCAATCAGTTGGATCGGACTGCCATAAATATTCTATATCCGATATCCTATCCAGCTAATTAGTCGACATTGGGGCCGATATCCGATCCAGGTATCGGATCAGTGAATCTCAGTAACATGTGTCTTCCATCAGTCTGTGTCTCTTTATCCTTGTTACCTTTATTATTAATATTTCTTAGACTGGAAGGAGGTGAAATGGGGAAAGATGGACGACTGGAACAGGTTGGTTCAGAGCAAAGCTCCTCTGGAAGCTTCGTTTAGGAGTCCTAGTCCGAACATTTAGTCCCTTCCACTTTATTCAGTTCGAGGAAGCGAGGCTGCAGTGTGTGCTGGTGACAGAACGACACGTCAATCTGTGAAAAGACCTTTTTTCATCCAACCCTCTGGGTGTTAAACAGCCTGCTGTTGTTCTGAGCCCACTCTGCATGCTGCTCTCTGGGTCACGGCTCTAATTTTAGCCGGGGGGTCTGAGGTTGGACGGACTGGTGTGACTTACAGCGGACCTAAAATGGTCAGGCCTGTTTTTATCCCATAACTCCAGAAACGGGAGGAACAGGGAGAAGAGAAACTGACTGGCTGTAGGGAGTCGGTTTAGGTCACTTTAAATGTCTCTCAAGTCAGATTTATGGATCAAGTCCTTAGATTGATTGATGGTCACAGATTTGAACCGTTAACCTTAAGCAGGGGTCGGCAACCCAAACTCACTAAGAGCCATATTGGACAAAAAACCCAAAAGATAAATCTGTCTGGAGCCGCAAAAATGTAAAAGTCTTCCATGAGCCTCATCTGTCAACACAGACTCTGAGTGTTTTATCCCACTATAGAAAAGGACTATATGGCTTAAATATATAATAAACATTCATGATTAAATGTTTATCCTGAAGCAAAGGTAACTTCATATGACGACTCTGCTGTAGCATGTTTGCTTCTTTAAGTCCATAGTAGCAGGAGGTGAGGGAGGAGCAGGTGATGAGGTCACCGCTCGCTGATGTACCGCCCTTCACTGCGCGGTTCGTATGTATAAGGTTTATGTTGCATTGATGAAATGATAGAAACAGGATAAAGGAATCTCTCTATGGTGGACGTGTTTCTGTTGGGAGGAGCTGATGGAGGAACCAAGCAGGAAGTGACATCATCAGAGCAGAGCTCTCCGTCGCCAGCGCTCCTCGGTGGGATTTAGATTTTCAGGATTTAGTTCCCATCCCTGCATCAGAGCGCTACCTGTTCAATCTATGAACCGTTTTCTATGCTTGCAGCCAAACTAGCAGCAGTAGTTTGGAGATGCAATCTACTTCTTAAATCTATCTTTACTTTCCTCTAATTTATCCAGAGGTTCTGCAATCAAACCTTTTCTCTCCCTCCCAGCCTGGTGGTCGGCTGCATATTCAGCAGCTTTTCCTAACGACTCTTTTTATTATGTGACAACTTCTCATTCAAAGCAAACATGCAGGCAATCCTTCCTCGTTGGTAATGAAAGTAAACGATTCGCTCCATTCTTCTCTGAATCCTCTGTTCTCTTCAGAAATCTTCCTTTTTTCCCTTTGGGATCCATGGAGACGCACCCGTCGCTTTGTTTACAGCAGCCACCTGCCTGCCTGGCGCCGCGCCGCGCTGAAACCTGCAGTGGGCTAAGATGCTAATGTTCATTGACAGAAATGTTTACATGTTTTAATGTATATTTTATTCAACATTTTGCTGCATTGGAAACAAAATTAATGGTTTTTGACCTCCTGCACACCTTATTAAAAAAAAAAAAAATCCATCTTCTCCCATTTACATACATGTTTGAAAAGGCTCCAGGGAGCCTAAAGGGGGGGGGGCATTAAAGAGCCACAGGTTGCAGACCCCTGTCTTAAAGGAACCACGTCCTTTGCTTAAGAAATAAGACTGATAACGTTCTGCAGAGAACAAGAATGCTGGTTTACAGGTTATAAATCAGCTAGTTTTTCTGTAAAGGAGGAAATCTAAAGCATGAATGGAACCTAAGAAGCATGGAGGACGTCCTGTTTGGAAGTTGCTCCTCCTTCTGGGGCGTCTGAACAGCTGTTATCCTTTCCTCTCTCACACTGTGTCCTCCTGTTGTTACCGTCCATCATGTCTCCTCTCTGTCCTCTGAGTCCAGCCAGAGCACTGGGGGCTGAGCCACGACCTGAGCGGCTGCAGAGACTGCGAGTGTGACATCGGGGGGGCACTGGATAACCTGTAAGTGGCGCTGTGACCTCATTTGTACATCGGTAAACTCACCCGATCGGCAGAGAACTAAAGCTAAAGTTGTTTACCTTAAACAGCAGCGATGCTTCGTTTTTATTCATTAATATTTTTAGATTTTTTAACCATCATTAGAAAATTTAATGGAAAATTACTGTCAGATTTTATTACATTTTCACTTTTCTTTCAACTCTTCCTTCTATGTTAAATGTTTTTAAAAACAAGCGGCACCAAATGAGAACAGAAACACGCATCCTTCACCCTTAGTTTTGCTTTTTTAAATTTATTTATTTTTATTGTCAAACATTTCTTTTCCATATTTCCTTATTTGTTTGTGATTAAAAGCCTTACAGCCTCCAGAAGCGATCCTATTAAATAGAATTTGATAATCTTACCATCCATGTCCAGCTTTACTTTCTGTACATAAATCTTTCCCATCTGAGGCTTTTTGAGGGTAAAAAAATAATATACCAGAGTAATAATGGAGAAAATATTAGTCAACTTAATATTTTTTAATATTTAAAAACTATTTTCTGAGAATGTGTTTATTTTAGAGCAACTTTGCAAATGAACAAACCTAACCCTAACCTAGAAAAAGTTCACTACATCCATGTGAATCCCAGATCGTTCCTTTTTTCTAAAAAGTGCTTTAGCCTCGCTGCATGCAGTTAGCCAAGCCTTGTAGCCAAACCAGGTCCTGGAAAAGGACGTTTCTTGCACCATTTCTCTCTCTCAAGTGCGTCTCCAACTTTTGTGACTCAACCTGTAAATCACCTGCAGAACATCTGCGCTGTGGCGCCAGGTGCTGAGCAAATACGCTTCCTGTCACCTCTGGGCGCAGCTCACGTTTTTTCACGTTTTTTTTTATTATTATTTATTTTTTTAGCCAAACAAAGCAGAAATAATCTGTTTTCAAACCGAAAATGATCCTTTTAAAATGGAATAATAATTAAAAAGTATTGTTACTGTCCCAATTCAACAGGTCTTTAAACATGATGTGAAATGATAGAGTGTTTAGAGCTTCAGACCATCTTGCATCCACTCCCCCGATGTTCGTCCTGTGAGTTTATGATCATTTGATCCTGTTTGGACTCTGTCTAGATGCTCCATGGACATCGGTCAGTGTCGCTGCCGCAGTCACATGACAGGCCGCGACTGCACTCAGGTTGAGTCTGGATATTTCTTCATGGCTTTGGATCACTTCCTGTATGAGGCGGAGTTTGCTGAAATGGGTCAGGTGAGTTTGTCCCCAGAAGCCTTTTATGGTTGGTCTCTGACCTGACTCATTGTGGTCTGTGTTTCAGGGTTGTACCTTAGAGACCAGAGAACATCAACCCGGTCGCCCCGCCCAGTGGACCAACATCGGCTTCGCTAAGGTCCCTCTAGGTGGCACCCTGGAGTTTGTGGTGGATAACATACCGTACTCCATGGAGTACGATTTACTCATCAGATACGAATCCCAGGTGTGCAAAGTGACTTGGCTGGTTGCTAAGCTCCTCAGGTGGAATGGGAAGGTGAACAGAACCCATCCAGACTTTGATTTCAGAACAAATCCAGGAACATAATCTTCAGACATGGGTTTGGTTCATCACATGACATGAACCCCAGATGTTGGTCACATCTGTTTCACCCTCCTTCAGTACAAAGACAAAACCGAAAGGTTTGGACAGATTATCTGATGGTTCTGTTAACTCCTGGACCATCGTGAGGCGCCAACTAGCTGTTTGCCATGAAATATGAATTCATCCAGTTTTTAATCTCAGAGTTTTTGACTGAAATGGAAACTATTGATGTTGAATGGGTGGAGGTGTGGGTGTACTGGTCCTATGGGTGTTGAGTAAACAGAAACCACTTTGTGGAAGATCAGGGTCAAGGCAGAGAATGTCTTAAACAATTTAATTCAGTTTATTTATATATTTCTAATTCACAACACATGGAAACTCAAAGCTCTTTACAGATACATTTTATCCAGATCATCCAGTCAGATTGATTCAGAGTTTTCTATTTAAGGAAAACCAGCTGATTGCGTCGACTCATTGACTCTTCAGCAATCCCTCACACTAAGCATGCTCCCTTTGAACAGGAAGAAACCTCCAGCAGAACCAGGCTCAGTGTGAGCGGCCATCTGCTGAGGCCCACTGGGGTTCAAGGAGACAGAAGCAGGCATAGAAAAAGAAGCATAGATACAAAAGGCAGCTGTCAACCAGCTCCACAGGCGGCCCCGTCCAGGAAACACACAGCCAGGCAGACGAGCTCCGAGCCAGCTCCCATGTCAGAGGATGAAGAGAGCACATCCAGTTAGTCACAGTCAGAGAAACAGGACTACACTGGAAAACAGGCCAAGCTCCAACATCTAGAAACAAAGGTGTTGATGGCAGCAGCACAGCTGATATTTCTCTCCAGGATGGAGTCACAGCCAAACAGGAACAGACCAGATGAAGCTACTATGAGAAAAAGCAGAGAGAGCAGAACGTTAGAGATTGAACTAACAGATTCTGCAGAGTGGGAGAATAGAGATAGAATGAAGCAGAATGATGAAAAAGGGGTCCCTATGTCCTCCAGCAGTCTAAGTCTATAGCAGCATCTGTACATAGATGTCTTAACTCATAACTCATAACTCCAGATGCCCCGGGACTGGGAGGAGGTGCGGATCACTGTGATCCGTCCAGGTCCGATTCCCACCAGCAGCCCCTGTGGAAACACCATCCCAGACGATGACCAGCTCACCGTCTCACTGCCAGCTGGAGCCAGGTGTGCGATTCTTTCACTCATACTCATTCATACACCTGTGAGCCTGCATGCTGATGGATTCTGTTTCCGTCTATCCCAGGTTTGTGGTTCTTCCTCAGCCAGTGTGTTTGGAAAAGGGCGTGACCTACAGCCTTCCCCTTGAGTTTAAACGCTATCAAGATGCTAACAGCATCCCCAGCGGCACAGACTACGCCGTCGTCCTCATCGACTCTGTGAGATGAAGTCTCCTCTGGGATTGTGGTGTTGGTGTTCCGCTCTCGTTCTAACGGCCGTCTCTGCTCCAGATCGGTCTGATGCCGCGTCACTCTTCCATGGAGATGTTTATCTCCGGGGATCTTGCTTCAAACGTCAGGAAGCAGACCTTCGAGCGGTACCGGTGCCACGAGGGAGCGAGGAGCGTGATCCGCCCACAGATCAGCGACACGTGTGCTAAACTCATCAACAGCATGTCGGCCATCATCAACGATGGGGCACTGGGTGCGTAAGGGGGGAGTGGGGGGGTGGGGGGGGTGTAAGGGTGACTTTAACTGCTTGGAATTGACTCCTATGTCTGTTTTTGTCCCAACAGCTTGTGACTGTGATCCGCAGGGATCCATCAGCTCCCTTTGTGATGTCCGGGGGGGCCAGTGTCGCTGCAGGCCCAACGTCATTGGTCGACGCTGTGACAAATGTGCACCAGGAACTTATGGCTTCGGGCCGTCAGGCTGCATAGGTGAGCAAGTCCTTTAACCTCTGCTGCTCTCTTCCCAACCACTGACCTCATACTGGTTCACTGGGATTTTACTGTTAGACAAACTGGTCCGTCCTCTGCAAAGGTTAAAACTAGCATATTTAAAGGGACAGCTCCTGATACACACCAACAGTCCAGCTGTTCTAAGGCATCAGATGTTTGACAAAGAACACAGAGGATCCAACGCTTTTGGTCATTACACTTTTCATCCATCACCTAAATATAGAGAAAATGCAAACATAACGAGGAAAACTTTTTTCTCCAAAGTCCATCAGAAAACATCTGCTCTCATTACTCTGGATTTTTTGAACAGTGTCTAGAAGAAATACATTTAAAACTCAGACCAAAGCTTCGACGTCACCACAAACTTCCCATGAAGCAGTAAAAATATGGTGGTGGCAGAAGTATGCTGAGGGGATGCGGTGCCTTACCTGGGATGGGGAAGCTGATGGGAAGAAAACTCATCAGAGACTCAGAAAATGGCCGAAGATTGAGCGGAACATTCATATCAAAGGATGTTCTCAGTCAAAGTCCAGCTTTTACTTAGAAACTAAAAATGATTTTCCTTTTCTTCTGTGTTGCTCTGCCACCGTCCCGCTGCACGGTGCTGCTTTCTCTTAAGATCCAATGAACACCGTTGAAGTTTATGTTTAAACAGGTAGGAAATGTCGGTCCTTGGCCGCCTCCGTCTTCCAGCTGTTGATGGATCCCTTCTTGGGATGTGGTGGCCTACTGATGAGGGCATACAGCTTGGAATTCTGAAGTTGTGAGTTCGAAACCCACTCCCACAGACTGCCACTCTGGCTCTCTAAGCGAGACTCTCAACCCTTTATTGCTCCCCGGGCGCCGCATGATGGCAGCCCCCTGCTTCCCAAGGGGAGGGGTTAAATGCAGAGGTAAATTTATCCAATGTGAGATCAATAAAGTTCAGTTCTATTATTGTTTTATTCTTCAAAGGTCAGGTCTCTGGTGCCCTTTTGTTTCAGGTGTAAAGGAGCTGCAGGACAATGTCAATGACGAACGTTGCCTAACCAATGACGAACGTTGCCTAACCAATGACGAACGTTGCCTAACCAATGACGAACGTTGCCTAACCAATGACGAACGTTGCCTAACCAATGACGAACGTTGCCTAACCAATGACGAACGTTGCCTAACCAATGACGAACGTTGCCTAACCAATGACGAACGTTGCCTAACCAATGACGAACGTTGCCTAATCAATGACCAACGTTGCCTAACCAATGACGAACGTTGCCTAACCAATGACGAACGTTACCTAACCAATGACGATCGTTGCCTAACCAATGACGAACGTTGCCTAACCAATGACAAACGTTGCCTAACCAATGTCGAACGTTGCCTAACCAATGACAAACGTTGCCTAACCAATGTCGAACGTTGCCTAACCAATGACGAACGTTGCCTAACCAATGTCGAACGTTGCCTAACCAATGTCGAACGTTGCCTAACCAATGACGAACGTTGCCTAACCAATGTCGAACGTTGCCTAACCAATGTCGAACGTTGCCTAACCAATGACGAACGTTGCCTAACCAATGTCGAACGTTGCCTAACCAATGTCGAACGTTGCCTAATCAATGACGAACGTTGCCTAACCAATGTCGAACGTTGCCTAACCAATGACAAACGTTGCCTAACGGCGCTTTACAACATGCAGAAACTTTAAAAGAGAAGATTTATTTTACTAAAGGTTCTTTGGCCGATGACGCTGTAACACGTCGCCATGTCCTCAGATACTCCTTCATATAAGGCCTACAGATACAGGCCTCTGTTCGCCCGTTAGGAAGTATCCTCTGTGTGCTAATGTATCCCATGGTTCATTGCGGGTCAAGTTAAATGTAATACTACAGTATGTGAATAATTTTGTCTGAAACTAATGAAAATAGCTCATGGTCAGTGAGTCAGATATGTTGCAGATATTTTTTGTATATGCATGTTGGGACTACAGATCTGATATAGGCAACGACGGCGCTGCTGCACCAAAATGATATCAGCACACAGAACAGTAGTGAGTCGCTCGGCATCCATTCTTTGCCTGCTTTGTGCTTAAACTCTCACTGTTGCTAGGCAACAGCGCTGAGTTTGCGGCGGTGATAGCTGGGTAAGGCCAGACCTTTTCAGATCTGTAGTCAAACTCTTCCTGCTTAATTTTCACGGCCCAGAAGGACCCAGTCACAGGATTCTAACACACAGCGCTCATGTACTTATTGAACACCTCCAGGAAGTTAAAAAGTTCGGGTTTGGTGATAACTGTTCATAGAGAGATATCCCTAAAAGCTACTGTCTTCCTACGCCACCTGATCGATTCACCCTCTTCTGATTGTTCCAGCATGCGAGTGCAGCCTGGACGGCTCAGTGACCCGACTCTGTGACAAGTACAGCGGGCAGTGCCAGTGCCGCCCTGGAGCGTTTGGGCAGCGGTGTGATGGGTGCCAGGCAGGTCACTGGGGATTTCCCAGCTGCCGACCATGCCAGTGTAATGGACATGCCGACCGCTGTGACCAAAGAACTGGAGTCTGTATCGGCTGCAGGGACAACACAGGAGGAGATAAGTGTGACAGGTGATAACCCACAAGTCAAGTAAGATAAAACACAATCTAGCAGGAACACACTTAAAAACATGGAAATCCTGGCAGACATGATTAGCCTAAGATGCAAACACATATCTCAGAGTACTTTAGTACTTTACAGAGACAATGAAATCAGATAATGGTTAAAAGTTTCTGTCAAGGAAAAGACGTGCTCCTCCTGAATGAGCTTGCATTTTTCAATTGACTCTGCAGCAATCCCTCACTCCAAGTATGAACGTAACAACAGCCAGGCAGACGAGCTCCGAGCCAGCTCCCATGTCAGAGGATGAAGAGAGCACATCCAGTTAGTCACAGTCAGAGAAACAGGACTACACTGGAAAACAGGCCAAGCTCCAACATCTAGAAACAAAGGTGTTGATGGCAGCAGCACAGCTGATATTTCTCTCCAGGATGGAGTCACAGCCAAACAGGAACAGAGCAGATGAAGCTACTATGAGAAAAAGCAGAGAGAGCAGAACGTTAGAGATTGAACTAACAGATTCTGCAGAGTGGGAGAATAGAGATAGAATGAAGCAGAATGATGAAAAAGGGGTCCCTATGTCCTCCAGCAGTCTAAGCCTATAGCAGCAGAACTATAGAGATAGCTCAGGATAACCTGAGCCACTCTAACTAGAAGCTTTATCAAAAAGGAAAGTTTTAAGCCTAGCCTTAAAAGTAGACAGGGTGTCTGCCTCACGGACTAAAACTGGTAGTTGGTTCCACAGGAGAGGAGCCTGATAACTAAAAGATCTGCCTCCCATTCTACTTTTAGAAATTCTAGGAACCACTAGTAAACCTGCAGATTGAGAGCGAAGTGCTCTGTTAGGAACATAAGGAACAATCAGATCTCTGATATCAAAACACTCTTCTTCTTCCTCTCAGATGAAAACCCAGAAGCATGGGGTTCTGTCAGATTGACAGACCGTAGTAGCCACGTTAGCTCAGCCATGTCTTTGTCCAAATACGTCGTCTCCTTTTCTTTTTAAGTCTTTCAGCACTAAATTGCCCAAATATCCAAGGCAGCACGTTTCACTCTAGTGAGCTTCATGTTCCTCTGCTACTGGTTTGTCTTCCAGATAGACGAGTCCCAGTAGCGCCATCTCACTACGGAGCTGAGTCCCACCTGGTTTTTAGACGTACAGTGTGAGCAGGTAGATCGCATCAGAGCGTCGGGCTGAACATGCATTATGAGTTGTGAACTCATACTGTACGTACAGCGTTAGCTGCTGCTGCGTGCAACGACTGAAAAAAATGGCACACTGTATGCCCGGCTTAAACCAGTCTAGTGCTGTTCCTTTAATTCCAACAAAATATTATATTATAAATATAATATTCTGATCAACTGTATCAAATGCAGCACTGAGATCCAACAGGACGAGCACAGATACAAGTCCATTATCTGAGGCCATGAGAATATCATTAGTGACTTTCACCAGAGCTGTTTCAGTGCTATGATGAGCTTTAAAGCCAGACTGAAACTCTTCAAAAAGTTCATTATGGTGGAAGTGATCGCAAACTTGTTTGGCAACTACTTTCTCAAGAATTTTAGATCAGAAAGGAAGATTGGATATAGGTCTATAATTGACCAAGTCATCTGGATCTAACATCCAAGTTGTAGGCTTAGATGAAGACGATAGTTTTGCTAACTCTGAAAGTTCAACTGGATCAAAGCAGTCTAAACCCGGTTCAGATTCCATGACTAACTCAGTTGCTGCCCCCCCCCACCCCCCCTGCAGAGACAAACCAATGGCGGATAGAGGAGTGCTAATGATCTTATTTTTAATAAGATCAATCCACATAACCTCAAAGTGCTGACGGGAAAACCTCAATCCTACGATCTTCTGTTTTTAACTCTGCATGAAACTTTCTTTTAAATAGATTGTCTTTCCTGTAGGTGTGCCAAAGGTTACTATGGAAACCCAATATTGGACATATCATCCGGTGGCCAATGTCGTCCATGCCCGTGTCCAGATGGTCCCCACAGTGGACGAAACTTTGCCACATCTTGTTACCAGGACAACCGCAACAGACAAATAATCTGCAACTGTAACCAAGGTTACACAGGTAAACCGCATATAAACATGTATGGAAATGTGTGTGTATATATATATATGATTTTATCTGTTGATGGGAAAAAGCTTTTCTATACAAAAGGAGTCAGTTCCCTTTAAAATGATCATTGGTTCTGTCACCAAGGGGAACACTAGGAGATTACAGCCCATAATGTGTTTCTAACGTTGTTTGGGGGAATTTAGATGTTTCCTGGATAAAGTGAAGTTGTGCTTCTCTAAAATCATCTTTTTGTCCTTCGTTCAGAGATGGACTTGCTGCTTTGTTTCTGGATGAGCTCAGTTTGGTCACAAATCAATAGCTGAACATTTTCCTTCATAATGTTTAGGTAAAAGGATAAAAGTTGATAAAAACATACATGCCGCCGTATGGTGGCTGCAGAAAAGCACAGCAGTAGCATCAGAATATCACTATTAAAATCAGGCTGGATCTAACTGGACGCTGGTCTTAATTAATACTCCAGCTTTGTCTCACTTGGCAAGAGGATGTTTTTCCAAATATGGTAAACCTTTGTCACCTTTGAACTCTACCATGGAGACCAATGGTTCCTCTATCTATCCAGCCAGTGGTGTTTCCACTCTTATTAGCAGGTTTTATGATTTCATTCTTTGTCTCTATATGTGTGTCTGTGGAACATAACGTTCAGGTTTCTCGTGACCAAGTGAAGTTAGGTAGCAACAGGAGCGTTTCCCTCTAGGCTCTGGTGAATAGTAATGGTTTTGTTTTCCTTCCTCCCTGTCCTACTGGCACAGGGATTGTTAAACGCTCCGGGGCAACCATTTTTAAGCGTGAGTAGTGAAAGTTGGTCCCCTCCCATCCCTGCTTCCCCCTCTTTTTTTGTTTAGTTTTAATCCACCAAGCCTACCATCCTCCTCACCAGCCTTACCCATGCATGACCTTAGGAGCACCGCTGTGCTAAACACCCTCACAGTTGGACCTGATTCAAAAGTTGCAGAAATTTATTCCAGTGTTTATTTTCTAATCATGCTAATGGGATTATTATTATTACAATAAATAAAAAGTCGCATCACCGAATTAAGTAGATGAATGGATTTAAAACCAAAATTTGAAGCAGGTCAGTGTAAATATTCCCCCAACAGAGACCTGAGCCAGAGTCGTCCTGCTGCAGGTAAACCTGGCTCACCTGGTTCGCTGTCTGCTGTGTGTTTTTGGATTGCCAAGTAGAACACGTGTGACCAAATAATGTCATTACATAAAAGGGTTACAATATTTGTCTTATTTGTGATATTTGTTTAAATGACTTCTATTTTTTCTTGAACGATAAAAATAAGTAGCTGAAGCCCTGCGTCTAACTGCAAGGCCTACGAGAAACAGACTGGAAACCAGCCTTCAGGGTGTTTCCTGGAGCATCTTGTGGACTTGATAAATCAAACAGAAATGAGGTCACTTCCTGTCTGAACATGATGAGAAGATGGCATGACACTACAATAGTCAAAAGAAAGGCGTGGATGGGCTTTCCCACAGCTACTGGGTTATTACAGAACAGCGCAGATGAGAATGAGCCGACGTGAAGCTAAATGGACAGAGATAGACCTGCCTTACAGTCATATACATCTACAATCCTGGCTCCCACATCATTATCTTATTAAACAACAACAAACAGACTCTGACCAAATACCCTGGTGGCTAAAAGTACCGTTGGACAGATGGCAAAAAGTATGAAGCAAATAAAGGTGCTCAAATTTTAAGATGGCCTGCTTATGATAGAGACGTTCTCCCTGCAAGAATGGATAAGAGGTTTACACAGAGGTCACAAAAAGGTATAACAGTAACCCTTCAGGTCTCTAATAGGGTGATAGAATGATTCTATAGGGTATCTGGTCCTTCAGGTCTCTAATAGGTTCATACAATGATTCTATAGGGTATCTGGTCCTTCAGGTCTCTAATAGGGTGATAGAATGATTCTATAGGGTATCTGGTCCTTCAGGTCTCTAATAGGGTGATAGAATGATTCTATAGGGCCGCGGTTCTCAAAGTGTGTGGCGCGACCCACTGGTGGGGAATTGAGACGTGACAGGTGGGGCGCGCCAAGTTCCGGTGTGTGTGTGTGTGTGTGTGTGTGTGTGTGTGTGTGTGTGACTATAAATGTAGAATGTGTGAGAGCAAACTGTCCTTATAGCTGTATGTTGCCGCTTTTTAGACCAATCAAACCCACAAAGTAATCATTACTAGCCTACATGCAGTCTAATTAAAAGAACATTAGATATGAGAAAAATTTCCCCTGGAACTGAAGTGCCAAAATAATGATTGACGTGACGTCGGCATATTATTTGTAACAGAATAAACTTTCGCGCCCCAGTGTTGCCAACTCAGCGACTTTGTCGCTATATTTCAGACCCCTTCAGCGACTCTTTTTCAAAAAAACAAATCTATCGCCTTTTGGAGACTCTTACGTGAAAGCACGTATCGTTCCTTTTCTTGTCCTCCAGCGGCAGGTGCTGCCGTGGGGCGCCTCCTCCCTCCCAACCCCGTTCTCCCCCGCTATTGCAGGAGTCCCTATCAGCGCTGCAGTCAGAGCAGAGACACAGCATGTTTAACTTTTGCGTCCAGACTGCAAATAAAGCGCACATGCGCCGGGATTGACGGCGCAGGTTGATCATAAATAACTGAATTTGAAATATTTTATGTTAAATAAATAACGGCGTTTGATTCACACAGCCACATGTTCATGTTTCTGGTTAGGAGTGGAGAGCGAGTATCCACTCATCGGGCAGAGAGCTGTGTGCATTCTTCTTCCCTTTGCCACATCATAACTCTGTGAGATGGGCTTTTCAGCTGCTGCTTCAATGAAAACAAAATACAGATCTCAGCAGAACATTGAGCATGACTTGAGAGTGGCAGTATCAAGCCTGCAACCCCGTTTTGAGAAACTGCAATGCAAAACAGGCTCATTGCAGCCACTAATGCAGGGATAAATAGACCTGTCTTGCCAGATGGATTTCACTTCTTTTCTTTTATTAACAGATTGCAGAGTGGCACTTTAATTTTTTCTATCTTTGAGCTTGATACAAATTTTGACACAGCTGCATTTTTATTTTCTTTATTTTTGAGCTTGCTGTTATTTGATGTAGATTTGTATTTAGATACTACTTGTTACTTCAATAAAATTGGAACATTTTAAGATTGTTGAATATTTCATTAGCATTGTGTTGGGGCGATGGGGACAGGCGGGGCTTGAAAATTCCCCCTTGTCCAAAGTGGGGAATGACAGAAAAAGTTTGAGAACCACTGCTATAGGGTATCTGGTCCTTCAGGTCTCTAATAGGGTGATAGAATGATTCAATAGGGTATCTGGTCCTTCAGGTCTCTTCATAGGGTGATAGAATGATTCTATAGGGTATCTGGTCCTTCAGGTCTCTAATAGGGTGATAGAATGATTCTATAGGGTATCTGGTCCTTCAGGTCTCTAATAGGGTGATAGAATGATTCTATAGGGTATCTGGTCCTTCAGGTCTCTAATAGGGTGATAGAATGATTCTATAGGGTATCTGGTCCTTCAGGTCTCTAATAGGGTGATAGAATGATTCTATAGGGTATCTGGTCCTTCAGGTCTCTAATGGGGTGATAGAATGATTATATAGGGTATCTGGTCCTTCATGTCTCTAATAGGGTGATAGAATGATTCTATAGGGTATCTGGTCCTTCAGGTCTCTAATAGGGTGATAGAATGATTCTATAGGGTATCAGGTCCTTCAGGTCTCTAATAGGGTGATAGAATGATTCTATAGGGTATCTGGTCCTTCAGGTCTCTAATGGGGTGATAGAATGATTATATAGGGTATCTGGTCCTTCATGTCTCTAATAGGGTGATAGAATGATTCTATAGGGTATCTGGTCCTTCAGGTCTCTAATAGGGTGATAGAATGATTCTATAGGGTATCTGGTCCTTCAGGTCTCTAATAGGGTGATAGAATGATTCTATAGGGTATCTGGTCCTTCAGGTCTCTAATAGGGTGATAGAATGATTCTATCGGGTATCTGGTCCTTCAGGTCTCTAATAGGGTGATAGAATGATTCTATAGGGTATCTGGTCCTTCAGGTCTCTAATAGGGTGATAGAATGATTCTATAGGGTATCTGGTCCTTCAGGTCTCTAATAGGGTGATAGAATGATTCTATAGGGTATCTGGTCCTTCAGGTCTCTAATAGGGTGATAGAATGATTCTATCGGGTATCTGGTCCTTCAGGTCTCTAATAGGGTGATAGAATGATTCTATAGGGTATCTGGTCCTTCAGGTCTCTAATAGGGTGATAGAATGATTCTATAGGGTATCTGGTCCTTCAGGTCTCTAATAGGGTGATAGAATGATTCTATAGGGTATCTGGTCCTTCAGGTCTCTAATAGGGTGATAGAATGATTCTATTGGGTATCTGGTCCTTCAGGTCTCTAATAGGGTGATAGAATGATTCTATCGGGTATCTGGTCCTTCAGGTCTCTAATAGGGTGATAGAATGATTCTATAGGGTATCTGGTCCTTCAGGTCTCTAATAGGGTGATAGAATTATTCTATAGGGTATCTGGTCCTTCAGGTCTCTAATAGGGTGATAGAATGATTCTATAGGGTATCTGGTCCTTCAGGTCTCTAATAGGGTGATAGAATGATTCTATAGGGTATCTGGTCCCTCAGGTCTCTAATAGGGTGATAGAATGATTCTCTAGGGTATCTGGTCCTTCAGGTCTCTAATAGGGTGATAGAATGCTTCTATAGGGTATCTGGTCCTTCAGGTCTCTAATAGGGTGATAGAATGATTCTCTAGGGTATCTGGTCCTTCAGGTCTCTAATAGGGTGATAGAATGATTCTATAGGGTATCTGGTCCTTCAGGTCTCTAATAGGGTGATAGAATGATTCTATAGGGTATCTGGTCCTTCAGGTCTTTAATGGGGTGATAGAATGATTCTCTAGGGTATCTGGTCCTTCAGGTCTCTAATAGGGTGATAGAATTATTCTATAGGGTATCTGGTCCTTCAGGTCTCTAATAGGGTGATAGAATGATTCTATAGGGTATCTGGTCCTTCAGGTCTCTAATAGGGTGATAGAATGATTCTATAGGGTATCTGGCCCTTCAGGTCTCTAATAGGGTGATAGAATGATTCTATAGGGTATCTGGTCCTTCAGGTCTCTAATAGGGTGATAGAATGATTCTATAGGGTATCTGGTCCTTCAGGTCTCTAATAGGGTGATAGAATGATTCTATCGAGTATCTGGTCCTTCAGGTCTCTAATAGGGTGATAGAATGATTCTATAGGGTATCTGGTCCTCCAGGTCTCTAATAGGGTGATAGAATGATTCTATAGGGTATCTGGTCCTTCAGGTCTCTAATAGGGTGATAGAATGATTCTATAGGGTATCTGGTCCTTCAGGTCTCTAATAGGGTCATACAATGATTCTATAGGGTATGTGGTCCTCCAGGTCTCTAATAGGGTGATAGAATGATTCTATCGGGTATCTGGTCCTTCAGGTCTCTAATAGGGTGATAGAATGATTCTATAGGGTATCTGGACCTTCAGGTCTCTAATAGGGTGATAGAATGATTCTATCGGGTATCTGGTCCTTCAGGTCTCTAATAGGGTGATAGAATGATTCTATAGGGTATCTGGACCTTCAGGTCTCTAATAGGGTGATAGAATGATTTAATAGGGTATCTGGTCCTTCAGGTCTCTAATAGGGTGATAGAATGATTCTATAGGGTATCTGGTCCTTCAGGTCTCTAATAGGGTGATAGAATGATTCTATAGGGTATCTGGTCCTTCAGGTCTCTAATGGGGTGATAGAATGATTATCTAGGGTATCTGGTCCTTCAGGTCTCTAATAGGGTGATAGAATGATTCTATAGGGTATCTGGTCCTTCAGGTCTCTAATAGGGTGATAGAATGATTCTATAGGGTATCTGGTCCTTCAGGTCTCTAATAGGGTGATAGAATGATTCTATAGGGTATCTGGTCCTTCAGGTCTCTAATAGGGTGATAGAATGATTCTATAGGGTATCTGGTCCTTCAGGTCTCTAATAGGGTGATAGAATTATTCTATAGGGTATCTGGTCCTTCAGGTCTCTAATAGGGTGATAGAATGATTCTATAGGGTATCTGGTCCTTCAGGTCTCTAATAGGGTGATAGAATGATTCTATAGGGTATCTGGTCCTTCAGGTCTCTAATAGGGTGATAGAATGCTTCTATAGGGTATCTGGTCCTTCAGGTCTCTAATAGGGTGATAGAATGCTTCTATAGGGTATCTGGTCCTTCAGGTCTCTAATAGGGTGATAGAATGATTCTCTGGGGTATCTGGTCCTTCAGGTCTCTAATAGGGTGATAGAATGATTCTATAGGGTATCTGGTCCTTCAGGTCTCTAATAGGGTGATAGAATGATTCTATAGGGTATCTGGTCCTTCAGGTCTCTAATGGGGTGATAGAATGATTCTCTAGGGTATCTGGTCCTTCAGGTCTCTAATAGGGTGATAGAATGATTCTCTAGGGTATCTGGTCCTTCGGGTCTCTAATAGGGTGATAGAATGATTCTATAGGGTATCTGGTCCTTCAGGTCTCTAATAGGGTGATAGAATGATTCTATAGGGTATCTGGTCCTTCAGGTCTCTAATAGGGTGATAGAATGATTCTATAGGGCATCTGGTCCTTCGGGTCTCTAATAGGGTGATAGAATGATTCTATAGGGTATCTGGTCCTTCAGGTCTCTAATAGGGTGATAGAATGATTCTATAGGGTATCTGGTCCTTCAGGTCTCTAATAGGGTGTGTAACATTGGTTGGGCTGAAAATGGCATATTAGCTGTTCTATGAGCCCTAATGCCGCCTGGTTAAAAGCCCTAGAATGAAACCACAGCTTTTCTTCCTTTTATGGTTTGATCATGAATATTTAGATGAGCTGTGCTCTGATTGGTTGGTTTACAACGAGCCAAGCTGCTGAGCAAAGACGCATCATAGCAACAAGCACTCACTTACTGAAACATCAGATTGTTGATATGGTAGGGGGACCAGACGTCCTCTTTTTTCAGGACATGTCCTACTTTTCACTCCTAAAAAAAATGTCCGGGGGGGGGGAATTTAAACATTGTCAGGTATTGTGGTCGACTACAGTGCAGCCGTAGTCAAACGGAGATGGGGGCAGGGAGCCAGCAGGGGATGGAGCGACTGAACCCGACCAGCCTGGACACAGGTGGCCCATGGTTCCCTGCTGAGGTCCGGTCCAGTCAGCGGCCCGGCAGTCTACACTTCATTTTTTTGGGTGACTTACCCAAAGATCGGAGGAAGTCCGATAGATATCTCCTATTAGTATTAATATTAGGTGGAAAGAAAGCTATAACTCGCAGATGACCCGATGTGGAACCTCCATCATGTTTGGACTGGAAATTCACACAATGGAGAGGATGACTTTCCCATTAAGACTTAGAAATACAATAAATAATGGAAAGAATGGAACACTCATCTTGAAATCTACTGTATAAGTAATGTAATTACTTTTTTTGTTGTTATTATTTAACTGCTCCTGTCAAACTAGTTGATCTGTGATTTTTGTTGGAAGAGGGGTCCAATTGTTAATTTGTTCAATGTATGTATTTGTATTTCTAAAACTACTAAAATGAAAAATATAAAGTATAAAAAAAGTTAGAGTTAGAGTTAAAGACCTGAACCTGAGATGGGAATGAAAAGGATTCAGTATTTCCTGACTGACTAAGCAGTGTGTGGTCGCCGTGTCCTTGCTTCATCCGTTCCTTTCACCACAAACTCAACCTCAGCAAATATTCTGTTCTTTTTGTTTTTCTTCCATCCATAAGTTTCATTTTCTCCTGTTGCTTTGTCTACGCAGGAGCCCGGTGTGAGGAATGCGCCCCTGGTTACTATGGCAACCCGTCTCAGCCGGGCGGGCGCTGTCAGCCATGTCAGTGCAGCAACAACATAGACATGTCTGATATGGACGCCTGTGACCGTCGGACCGGACAGTGCAGGAAGTGCCTCTACAACACTGAGGGCCCTAACTGCAGCATCTGCAAGAGCGGGTATTTCGGAGATGGATCCCGTCGCAACTGCAGGAGTCAGTCACACTTTTCTGAGATCATCAAACAAACAATGTGCTTTGTTTTTATCTACGGAGATGGTTGCTAGCATTGCTGTTCTTTTCTCCAGAGTGTACATGCAACTTTTTGGGCACCGAGCACAGTCAGTGCATGGCGCGGGAGGAATGCGTGTGCCAGCGCGCCATGGGCCAGTGTCAGTGTCTGCCCAACGTAGTGGGTCTGACATGTGACCACTGCGCCCCAAACCACTGGAACCTGGCCAGCGGGAAAGGCTGCGAACCATGCAGCTGTGACCCCAACAACTCTGTCACATCCTCCTGCAATGAAGTAAGTCTGGCCTGGATCAGAGGAAAACAAACCTTCAGCAGCGCAGGAGACACAGCTCCAGTATTAGGGAGCTTTTTCTTATTGCCATCATGCATGTGTTTGCTTTGCTTCCTGTCCCCCAGTTTACTGGCCAGTGTCAGTGTCGGGAGGGCTTTGGAGGGAAGACCTGCACAGACTGTGAGGAGAACTTTTGGGGAGACCCCAGGACGCAGTGCAGGGGTCAGACTAAGTGATTTAGTGACTTCCTCGTTGGAGAATTTGTTTTGATTAAGGAAAACATGCCACAAATTCTTTCTCCAAAAGTCTCCCTGTTTTCCCTCTGCAGCTTGCGACTGTGACTGGCGTGGGATCAAGACCTCTCAGTGCAACCGGGTGACGGGCCACTGCGTCTGCCAGCAGGGCGTGTCGGGTGTTCGCTGTGACCAGTGCGCCAGAGGATTTGCCGGCCAGTTTCCTAACTGCCTGCCCTGTCACCAGTGCTTTGGGGACTGGGATCGCATCGTGCAGGTGAAGCGCTGGGGGAGACAGAGTTTCTGCTCGGTCACTAAACCAGTGAACCGTCTGTCCAAAAGCTCTCTTTCTATCATTCCCAGGACTTGGCAGTTCGTACCAAGACTCTTGCAGAGCGGGCCCATGAGATTCAAGAAACCGGGCTGATTGGCCCCTATGAGAAAACCTTCAAAGACCTGGAAGAGAAGCTGGCTCAAGCTCAGGCCATCGTCAATGCACGCAACGCCACGACTGCAGCCGTTTCTACCCTGATGGAGCTTATTGAGGATCTCAGGTACTTCTGGGACAGATGAGAGTAGAACAGTTGATAAAAGCTTCTCCCGTGAGTTATTTAATGTGGCTAAAAGCTTGTTGTGTCTCAAAGGGCGCAGATTGGTGAGACAACTGAGGGTTTGAATCACGTGGAGGGAGATTTAACCATCATCCAGGACCGAAACTCTGATGCCAGCAAGGAGCTGAATGCTCTGGAGCGGGAGGCTCGAGAGCTCAACCTCACATCAGAGCAGCTCCAAAATCAACTGGATGTCCTGAAAAACTCCAACTTCCTAGGTGAGGCCAAAGAAAGTGGAGTTTGCAGTTTCCAGGGACTAGCCCAGCTGAGATCCAACCAGAAGCCTCTTTGTTCTCTAGGAGCTTACGACAGTATCCGCAGCTCCTACAACACGTCTGCAGATGCTGAGCGGCGTGCCAAGGCGTCCACAACCGCCAAGCCCAGCACAGTCAGTCAGTCTGCAGACATCCGCCGCCGAACCGAGCGCCTCATCTCTGCCAAGAAGGACGACTTCAATCGCAAAAACGCCGCAAACAAGCAGTCGCTGGGAGAGCTGAAGACCAGAGCGCAGGGCCTGGACATGAGAAGGCTCAATGAAAAGGTTGGACTGAGCTCCATGTCCTCTGATGATCAAAAGATGGTTTTCATCTAAATAAAAGACAAAATAGAAAAGTGTGATTATCTGGAAGGATCAAAAGTCTGACTCTAGCAGATTATTAAGCATCATCAAAAAGGAAGAAGTTAATAAAAAGGTTCTTTGTGTTTCACTGACAGGTCTGTGGCTCGCTGAGTGATGCGCCATGCACAGAGAGTCCATGTGGGGGCGCTGGCTGCCGAGACGACGAAGGGAAGCCCCACTGCGGAGGCCTGAACTGCAACGGAGCTGTGGCTGCAGCGGACAACGCTTTGGAAAGAGCCAAGCATGCAGAGAAGGAGCTGAACAAGGCCATGGGGGAGATGCAGGAGCTCTATAGCAAGGTGGGCATGGAGGCTGCGTAAAAAAAACACAGAAGTTTGGACGCTGAGTCAAACTGTGGTCCAGCTGCTTCGCTGCTCGGCGCTCTGGATGTTTATCTGCTCTGTTCTGTAGCTTCCAGCTAGAGAGCAGCTCGGCTTTATTTACCTTATGAGCTGGAAAAATAGTTTGAACACGTTTTTAAGCTAGAAAGTCCACCTCCAAACATCCTCTGTTCATTGGGATTATAATCTTTGGCAGGTTTGAACTTTTCTTGTTAATTTGAGTATTATAAACTGTTTCTCCATAGTTCATAAAGTAAATGTTTTAGTGCAGCAAAAATGATCAGAGCTGCTCTCAGTTATTCTGGCTTTTTTTTAACCTTTGGGGTTTAACTCTTTGGTATTTATTTATTTTCCATATGCAGAATGTCTGCAGAAGCGAATGTCAGCTCACAGGTAGAGTCTGTCTGTCTGTCTGTCTCTTTATTTATTTATTTATTTATTTATATACACTACTCAAATAAATGAAAGGAACACTTTGTAATCAGAGTAAAGCATCAAGTTAATTAAACTTGTGGGATATTGATTGGTCAGGTCAGTAGCAGAGGGGGTGTTAATCAGTTTCAGCTGCTTTGGTGTTAATGAAATGAACAACAGGTGAACTAGAGGAGCAACAACCAGACGACCATCAGAACAGGAATGGTTTTACAGGTGGAGGCCGCTGACATTTTATCCCCTCCTCATCTTTTCTGACTCTTTTTCACCAGTTTAGCATTTGGCTAGGGTCACTGTCACTACTGTTAGCATGAGGCGCTACCTGGACCCTACAGAGGTTGCACAGGCAGTCCAATTCCTCCAGGATGGCGCATCAATACGTGCCATTGCCAGAAGGTTTGCTGTGTCTCCCAGCACAATCTCAAGAACATGGAGGAGATTCCAGGAGGCAGGCGGTTACTCCAGGAGAGCTGGACAGGGCCGTAGAAGGTCTACAACCCATCAGCAGGACCGCTATCTGCTCCTTTGTTCAAGGAAGAGCAGGAGGAGCACTGCCAGAGCCCTACAAAATGACCTCCAGCAGGCCACTGGTGTGAATGTCTCTGACCAAACAATCAGAAACAGACTCCACGAGGATGGCCTGAGGGCCCCACGTCCTCTAGTGGGCCCTGTGCTCACTGCCCGGCACCGTGGAGCAGCACTCTGGGAACAGCCTATTGGTTCAGAAATGTCTTTCTGTGTCTGAGCCTCTGGCTGAGGGGGTCAATGATGGCGTTCTGGACAGCAGGCAGGTCGGCAGTCTGACCCATGATTGGGGTCTGAGTGATGAACCAGGCTGGGAGTTTTAAAGGCCTCAGGAATCTTTTGCAGATGTTTAGACTTAATTTGTTGATTCAGATGATTAGGTGCATAGCAGCTCGTTTAGAGACCTTTATCATTATATGCTAATTTGGTAAGATAGGAATGTTGGGTTTTCATGAGCTGGATGCTAAAATCATCCTTATGGAGACAATAAAAGACCTGAAATATGTCAGTGTGCAAAGAATCTAAAATATATGAATGTTCAAGTTTTATCATTACATTATGGAAAATAATGAACTTTATCACAATATGCTAATATTTAGAGAAGGATCTGTAAATCAGATGCTTCGATGCCCAGAAGGCTCCCGTTAGGAACGCAGATTCAGGATGAAGTCCAGGGTTCATTTACAGCCTCATCCTTCAATGAAAGTTTCACTTCCTTCATGTCTATGAACATTTATGCCACCGAGTTTCAGCTCATTGATGATGATGATGATGATGGTGATGATGATGATGAAGGTGATGATGAGGATGGTGATGATGATGAAGAAACAGGCTGTTTTTCTCTGACGCCTGAAGAGCTGCTCATGTTTGTTATGAGAACAGGAACTGGGTTTTCTTTCTGGGGTCACTGGGATGGGAACCAGCATGCATGCCACACTTTTCAGATTCTCTCCTGCTAACTATGCTAAGATGAGTAGAAAATTAATCTGATGACCTTTCACCCCCGACATGTAAGAATATACCTGTTCAGACGGTACTTTAGTAATGAATGCAGGTGATCGTTGGTATTTTGATGAGTAAAATAATCTCCTCTCTGCAGGTGGCAGAAGCTAAGGCCAAGGCAGAGGAGGCTAAGGGTAAAGCCCAAACTGCTCTGGACAAAGCCACCGCCACCAAGAACAAAGTGGAACGCTCCAACAACAACCTCAGAGACCTCATCAAACAGATCCGGGACTTCCTCACCCGTCAGTCTTTGTGTGCTGAATAGGCCTGTTAGCTTAGCCTCCTGTGCTAACCCTTACGACCTGCTGATTTCCCACAGAGGAAGGAGCAGACCCGGACAGCATTGAGGCGGTGGCCAACCAGGTGCTGCAGCTCTCCATCCCTGCCTCCCCCTTCCAGATCAGAGATCTGGCGGATGAGATCAAGGACCGCGTCCACAGCCTTTCAAACGTAGACGCCATTCTGCAGCAGACGCAGGATGATGTCAGAAAGACGGAGAAGCTGCTGCTGGATGCCAAGAGGGCGAGGTAAACGCAGCACAGTTTGACTGTTTGATCCGCTGATAAATGTTGCTCTGCCTGACGGAGAGTCTTTGCTCGTTTAGGCATCGTGCTGAGGGGGTGAAAGACACAGCGGAGGAGGTGAAGCAGGCATTGGTGGATGCAAAGAGCGCCCAGACTTTGGCGGAGAAGGCCATAACCAGAGCCAGGGCCGACATTAGAGAGACCGAGAATCGACTGGCACAGGTAGCCCTTTCTAAAAGTTTTCCACTCCTGGATGAATACAGACTGGGAGACATCAGACATCCAACCTGCACACTTCATTCCTCGGTTGCAGTGGTTTAACCCGAACAGGAAAGCTAAATGGAAAACGGTTCACTGCAAGAACAATCTGAAAATGACTTAATAATTCTTAAAATAAGCGTCCATCCCTACTGGGGTGGCGAGGGGTGCTGGTGCCTATGGGGCGGGGTCCACCATGGACAGGTCTCCAGTCCATCGCAGGGCAACAGAGAGACAAACAACCATTCACACTCACACCTAAGGAGAATCTAGAGAAGCCAATTAACCTAACAGTCATGTTTTTGGACTCTGGGAGGAAGCTGGAGTACCCGGGGAGAACCGACGCATGCTCAGAGAGAACATGCTAACTCCATGCAGAAATACCCCGGGAATTGAACCCGGAACTTTCTTGCTGCAAGGCAACAGTGCTACCCACTGCTCCACTGAGCAGCCTATAAAAATAAAACGTTTCAATAAGCGTATTTACCTTTAATTTGAACTGGCAGCGTTGCGAGGCGAGGGCTCAAAGATGTACGGCTGGAAGCCTTCTACACCAAACCAAGCTTCTGCCGCCCTGGCGTCCTCTTCCACAACATCTTCGTCCCCGCTTTCCTCCTCTAAATAAAAAATGGATGACGGAGGAGACTCATCCACGACCTCCGACACTAAACTCTCCTCCTCTTGCATGTTTCCTCTGTCCATAGCGTTCCTTGACAGCGTCGTTTCTAAGGCACCGATTTACTGCTACTTGGTCCCAATGGAATTTCCCATTGGGAACCTGCTAGCACTAAGATGCTAACTGGTTAGCAAGATGCTTCCGATAAACCGGCCACAACCAAAAGGCTTGCTAACCTTCCGCCACAACAATCCCGCCCCCTTGAAAAACGACCAATCACATTCACTTTATTCACTCGTGTAAAGTCGGGCACCACTGGGAGAATTCGGAAATGCAACGGTTGGAACAGCCGCTTCCCTACAACTTTAAAATTAGATCTTTAGATTATTAGATTAGATTATGCTTTTCAAATAAGAGTCTGCTGTTTGTCTCTTTCTTGTTTTAAATGTAAATAGTCTTGTTTGTTTGAAACACTTTGTTCCATTGGCAAAGTGTCTCACTTACCTCTTCAATTCAAGAACAAATGCACTTCATTTAAGAAAAATTCACTTAGGTTCATTTTTTTGCAGTGTAGAACTCAGTTCCTTTCCAGGATTTCTGCAAGTACCGCCACAGCTGGACAGAAGCTGGTAGCAAGATTAAAAGAGGAGGATGGAGGTGGAGGGGATGGAGGCGGAGAAGATTACCAGAAACTGCTGCAGCGTCTCCAACCATAACCGTCATTAGCTAGCTGCTAATAGCGGATGGCTGATATCCTGATGACTTTTCTCTGTGAGAAAAATACTTCCCACCCCTAAAAGTAATTGATAAATTTGGCTAAGATGCTGTCAAGTTTGGTTTCCCACTTTAAAATAAAAATAGTTTGTAGCTGTTAACAGTTTGTGTTAAATGGATAGACTACCTGTTAGCACTAAAAATGTTTCATCTTGTTTCTATTTTTCTTTAGCCTGACGTAGTCCGACTCAATTCTAGTCAGAATGAGTCTGATGCTGCTCCATAGAGCTGTGATTATGGGGCGTGTTTCGAACGAACCAGGAAAAAAAATGCCTCTGCACTCAATTGGATAGACCTACAACCAATAAGAGCAACGGAGTGCGTGACGTATCTTAAGCGAGGCATAGTTGTTGTCCACAAAAATCAAAGCGTGCAGTTTCACGCCTAGAATAAGAAGATGAGACTTGATCGCGTTTCTCTGTTCCTCTTTTAAAATTAATTTGCTGTCGATATCTTCTAGAACAGACCTAATAGCAGAATCTACTCACCCAAACTCTCCAGCGGCAGCCATTATTGTTGTCACCCAAGCGCGCTTTGGTCACGTGGTTGATAACGTTACTCTTGATCATCTGTCCATCATCGTATAAAGCCCGCCCTGACAATTTGATTGGATCGCCTGACAGTGGGCTATAATACTCGCGCTACTATGGAGCAGAGCCAGACCGAACTTCCCCGAACTCAAACCTTGTGGGCGGGACTAAGTTCGGACTGGCACCCAGGCTAATTTTTCTTTTAACTTAAGATAAAATCTTCCAACACTTCTTAACAACTTTGTTGTTTCCTATCTTTTACTGTAATGCTCCTTTAAATAAAGACTATCTTCCTATTGGCTGTCAACTAAAGTTTCTAGGTGTCTGCTGTCCTCTAGTGGCTACAAGGAGTATCACCAGTGCTTTGAAGAGCGTTTGCTCACCACTGTGCTCAGTATGTCAGCAGTCATCGATACGTGCAGATTACATTTGAAAGAACTGAGCTAAATGCGTTTTAGACTTAAATTAGTCCCACCAAGCTATACTGTTTATGATTAATCAAAGTCATTCTATTTATTTTCATATTTAAGCATCAGACGTCCCCTTCAAAAAAAAAAACGTAAAATTATTCTAAATATAGGTTTAAAGAACAGCCAGAAAAGTAACCGGTCATAAATAGAGGCAGGCTGGGACTGCTAATCTGTGCTAATCTGCCTCTAGGGCCGGTCCTCCTTAAATCATACCAGCCCCAACTCTCCGGCCAAAGCTCCTTCCTGGCAGTAAATAACTGAAGGAGCTCAAAAAGTAATCCAATGTTAACTACCTAAACGATGCATGCAGTATTTATAGCCCTTCCGGGTCGTGTGGGCTGGTGTAGATGGAAAAATGCCAAAGCCAAAAAACGTTCCCAGCCTGAATAGAGATGACAACAATATGAAGCATTACAAAAAAAAGAAGGTGGGGGTGGGGGGGTCAGAACCTGCTAATGATTTTGGAGCAGATGGAAACGAAAGTTACGACTGTAACTACGGTTCTCTGGCGGATGACCGCCAGACGCGGTAAAGCATGAATGATCACTCTTGCTCATGCACAGGAATCTTGTACCAACATAGTCCCGTGTGACCCCCGCCCGGTGACACCGGTGAGCCTTTATAGTCACGTGACAGCGACAGCTCAGTCCCTTAATCTTCTCGCGAAAACACGATGATTCCGAGGGACCGAGCGCTCTGGCGGTCATCCGGGATTCATAGAACCATAGCTACAGTCGTAACTCTCGTTCTATTTCATCCCTGCTGACCACCAGAGGTGGTGCTTAAAGCACGGATGACGATTACCAACAGAGTCCTGAGGAATCGCACACAGAAACAACAAAACATGCCCACCTCACTGGGAAGATGGTGCGCGCTGGGACAGGATCCCCTGCATTGGGTGAATGCCGAATGTACGCCTGTTCCACTAAATCCACAATCCAACGCGCAAGGCGCAGTTTAGAAAGGGCCTGCCCCCTGCGGGGAGCAAACAGACTTTCCGACTGAGAAGCTGTGAGACTGACGTATGCCTTCGGTGCCCGAACAGGGCAGAGAAGCTCATCAGGCCCATCCGCATCAAGGCGGGCAAGCTGGAGGGGCACAGTGTGGCTCCAGGATTAATTGCTTATTTTCTGACTGCTTCTTTGCAGATCGAGTCAGAAACATCCAACAGTGAGCGGAACTTGGACGATGCCATGGGTCGCCTCGGCACACTGGAGCAGGAAATCAATGCCCAGAAGACCAAACGAGCCAAAAACACCATGGCGGCGGCCCGGGCCGAGGAGACGGCAACCATGGCTCGAGACAAGGCGAACGAAGCCAAGCAGGTGGGCGTGGCACTCAACGCATCCCTAAATACAGCGAGGGGGGGGGAAAGCAATTTACCTGCTTTCTGCTCAGATTCTAGAGGGCCAGCTGACAGACAACTTCAATGAGGTGCAGCAACGAGCCGACACCAAGGCCAAGGCTGTCAGGGAGGCCAAGAAGCAGGCAGAGAGCCTGCGAGAGGAGGCCAAGGAGCTCCTCCACGATGCTCGCAAAAAGCTGCAGAAACTTGCAGGTAATGTTCCACTGATGAATATCCTCTGCATTAGAACGCATCCAGGTAGTTAAAGCTGTCTCCATGAACCCCAGTGGGCCTCAGCAGATGGCCGCTCACACTGAGCCTGGTTCTGCTGGAGGTTTCTCCCTGTTCAAAGGGAGTTTTTCCTCTCCACTGTCGCTACAAGCATGCTTAGTGTGAGGGATTGCTGAAGAGTCAATGAGTCGATGCAATCAGCTGGTTTTCCTTAGATAGAAAACTTTGAATCAATCTGACTGGATGATCTGGTGAACTGGAAAGTGACCTGAGATGACATGATGGCGTTATAGAAATAGACTGAATAGAATTGAATGTTAGGCTGAGCTTCTGCTTCGCTCTGTGCAGAGCTGGAGAAAAACTACGAGGAGAACCAGAGGAAGCTGGAGGGGAAAGCTCAGCAGCTGGACGGTTTGGAGGACAAAATGAGGAGCATCCTGAACGACATCAACAGACAGATCCAGATCTACAACACGTGTCAGTGAAGCAGCTCCTACCAGTTCCCTTCAGAGACAAGACAGTCTATGCATCTGCAGCATCTAGTTACTGCTTTTCTCTGTAGCAACCTGTCAGCATGTCACCAAGCACATATTTTACTTCTATTTATCTCTGCACAACTTTGAATGTATGTATTAAGTTTTTAAGTAGATAAACTCAGAGCAGCACAGAAACCCCCCCCCCCCCCCCCCCCCCCCATCCAGCTGTTAACCTTTGCCCCCTGATGGGTCCATCAACCCTGATGCGTGGCTTCATGGCGTCTGGTTTCCAGTCAGTCATGTGACCGATCCAGGAGCTTTTTCTAACTGATTCACTGAACTGGGTTTAAAAACGTTTCCGTCAACATGATGCATCTGCTGAGAAAAAGTCTAATCTTTTATCGTTAAAATGATCCAGGAGGAAAAAATGAATAGGAACCTTTCAGCTGTGGTTTTTATTTTCTCTTTGTTTTATCCTTTTCCTCTCAGTTATCACTCAGCTGATCTGAACTAAAGTTAATTTCAAATTTACTCTTAGTTTATTTACTGTTTTTACTGAACTTATTGTTTTAGAAATATGATTTAAAATCCTAGTCCTCAAGCATCCTCATTCACATTTTACCCTAAATAGTCACTGTATGATAGAAGTTTACATTATTTATCAGATACATCTAAAAATATCAAAGATGTTTTCAATTTAAACTTAGATATAAATAATACAAAATAACCTACAATAACTTAAAATATATCATTGTTTTAGGGCAGAGCTTCCAGATTAGCGCTCCTGATCAGGATCTCTTCAGATCTTTTGCTCGCTGCGTTTTTCCGTTGTCTGACGTTATTTCCTTTAACGCAGAGGTCACAGGTTAACGGACCGCGGTCCGGACCCACCTGCTGGCTAACCTGGACCCAACCTGCTGGCTAACCTGGACCCACCTGCTGGCTAACCTGGACCCAACCTGATATAAAACATTTATAAATTACTGCATTTTTTCCCACAGTGTCTAAATGTCACTTGCGCCGCTTCTCCTGTTAACACGGTAAAGCTCCTCTGGAGCGCCTGGGATTTAAAATAAAAATCAATGTATAACACGGATGCATAAAGCCTTGTTTTATTTCAGTGTTTAATTCTGTTTAACATAACGGATTAGAATTGAAATAGTCTCTGGATCTTAGCTTGTTGATGATTTTCTTTATTTGGACTCCTCTAATTTTTAATTGGTTCCCCCTGTATTAGATCATCAAATCAATTCAGTTCATTCTGTCCCATCAGCTGCCTGCAGTGTCTGCAAAGGTCCAGCAGGTGTCAGTATTCTGTGAGACAGTATCAATGCAGCATTAATACAGTTTGGCTTCATGATGCGTCATGAAGCCATCGTGACCTGACGGGTCGCTGCTTCGGCACCGGATGGTTTCTGTGATGCTCGGCCTGCCCTGCAGGGATGATCACACCGATGAAGGGAAAGTCATAAATGATGGTTTTAATTCAGCCTTTTCCGGCTACATTGCAGACATTTTTATGCATCACAGTTTGTGTTTGACATTATTTGATAAATGAAAATCTAATTTTTTACACATTTCAGCAGAGTCCCAATGATTGGTCATTGCAATGACGTCACCAAAGGAGCCTTTTAATAAAGATGAAGTGATTTCTGACTTTCCTGTGTCTCTGGAGAACTTCTTCATGTTGGACTGTCTCCTGTCCTTGGCTGTTTCTGTGTCGGACCTGCAGGGGGCTTTCAGCTGAGGTGCTCTTAAAGATGTTTCATTTTAAAAAACCACCTCATTTGTAGAGGTAATGACAGACCTGGCTGTAGCATGTGAGCAGAGGAGAAAGTAGCAGCTTTAGCATTGCCTAATATTCAGGAACCCCCCTTCATACTCACACACCACACAAACTGGGGGTATTTTAGGACCCAGGGAGCTGCAGATGGGACAATACTGCTCACTAAATATAGTTCAGGGCTCTGAGGCGGCTGCCCTGTCCTTATGACCATATTGGTCTGAGCCGTTCTGAGCTCTGTTAGCTACATAAACGTTAGCACACGTGTCATTTAAAGAGGCGGCTCAGGTATCTCCACCGTGCTGAAATAAGCTCTATTTTTAGCCACAGACACTGGATTCCATTTGGGTTTACATTTTGATCGGGCCATTTTAAGACATGAATCCTCCAGTGATTCTGTGGTCTGACATAATGCCCTTAAACCAGAGGTCATGGATTAGGGGACCGCGGTCCAGATCCAGACTGACCTGCAGGCTAACCTGGACCCTACCGGATTTAAACCATTTATAAAGTACTGCATGTTGTCTGATGGCAGTGTCTAATTTCCCCTGCTCCTCTTCTCCAGTTAATACGGTAAATCCCTGGGGAGCGTCCGGCTCCAGGCTGCACGTGATCCAAATGAGCCAATGAGCTGTCAGTCTGGGTTGCTGCTGCTGCTACTTTTAGACACAGCAGGCAAACCTGTGGCAAGCCGGGCGATGGGAAAGAAGGAGAAGACCATGAGAAAAAGAGAGCAGAGAAAGTGTGGACTGCTGGAAGAACTGCGGTGAACTGGTGAAAGAAAAGTGAAATGGCGTGCTCAAAGATGACCCTGCACATTTAGAGGATGTTTGGCTCAACCTGCTGCTGTGAAGCAGGATTCTCCACCATGAACAGAATCAACAATAAATCTGGATCCAGGCTCAAAATGAGCTCCTTGATATGTGCTTGAGAATGGCTTAGTCTCCGGTTAAACCCAGGTTTAAAGCCTTGCAGGGCAGCCTAAAGCCCACTGCCAACATTAAGACAGAAAAAAGGAGGAAAATAACAAACCATCAGTTCAGGGGTTTGAGAAAATATGGGAATCAGGAAATTATCTATAAACCAAACCGAACGATTGTTGTTCTCTACTTTAAAAACTATTTAGATTTTAAAATGGAAAAATTTTCTTTTTTTATTTAAAGTGTTAGAATAACACTTGCTTTTTAAATTCTATTTAAAGTAGCGGATTATAATTAAAAATGTCTCCAGACCTTTACTGGTTGCTGATTTTCTTTATTCGGATCCTGCTGAGTTTTAATTGGTTTAAAGTAAACCGATGTAAATGATTTGGATTCAAATAATTTAAAAGATTCTAAACCTCGTTGGGAAAATGTTCTTTTTCAGCTTCAAGCTGAAATGTTGCCCAAACCTTTCCTTATCAATCTGTTAATTATCTTGGCTAAAATGATTTGCATAAATTTAAATTTCTAAAAAAAACAAAGCAGACTTTAATGTTATTTAACTGAACTTAATATTTTAGTACTATTAAACCCTCTTCCCACCAAAAGCCACAAAAAACCAACTATGAATTCTGGACAATTTATCCACATAGTAGAAATATAATATATGTATTAATAAGTGTTTACATTGTCCTTCCTCCTGACTGTTTATTGGATTATATTATTATATCCTTTGGCACATTAGTTTGTTTATCTGTACATTTCATATATTGTTGACTTTAAGTGAGATAAAAAAAACGACTATAGTCTGTGTGTGTGTGGGGGGGGGGGGGTTATTTTTTATTTAATTTAATTTTTTATTTAATTAAATTTTTTATTTTAATATTTTCAAGTGGCGGAAACGGGCTTCCATAAAGGTCCGGTTTTACTCCTGCAGGGGGGGGGGTATGTGGTCACGTGTCTGTCGGCATCCAGGAAGTAGTCTCAGCCCAGCAGTCATTTCAGGTTACGGAGCCTCTAGCAGGTCCGACCCGCTAAGCTAACGATCCAGGCGGATTTAATTCCGCGATGTGTTCCGGTTCGGCGTCGGGCTTCCTGCGTTAGTTGGTTAGAAATGGGTCCCGGTTGAATGAAGAACATTCTGGAAACGCCGCAGAGAAGAAGAAACCCGCAGAGAAACGAACAGCAGCCCGAGGCCCTGAAGCAGCTAGCAGCAGCCGGGGGCTGCGCTCCGGAGGCGGCATCAGGAGACGGTAAAGGTACGGAGGCCTCCGGTTCTACTAGCGGGGCTGAGCTTTAAACAACCGGGGGCCGGTTATCGGTTAGCCGGTTATCGGTTCGCCGGTTGAAGCCTCTCTGTGGTTTCCGCTCCAGTTAGCTCGATGCTAATGACTTTAGCCATGGAGCCTCGCTGCCCTCTGCGGGAACATAGAGCAGGCTGAGCGGCTCCATGGAGCCACCAGGCAGGGAAAGGAGGGCAGCCATGTTTTTACTAACCTAACAGGTAGATATATGGCACATAGAACCTGTTAAATATCACCTACTTATAGATATTGAGAACATAAAAGAACATTTTATTGCTCAGCAGCTCGGGAAGTGATAAAGCTTTCTACATTTATGAGCAGCGATCTGAGCTGAAATGTCTGTTAAGGTTTTATTATTTTTATTTGACCTTTATTCCTCCAGCAATGAAACCTGCTGCCTTCAGTCATCAACTAGCTTCTCTTTTCCTTCATAGGAGAAAATATTGACTGTTTTCCATTTATGTTGACTTCATCATCCATCATTATAATGACTGTATTTTAAAATTCTATTGATTTAAAAACGTATTAAAAGGCCAACTTTGAAACACCAAAGATCAAAACATCCTAATAATTTACTTTATGACAAAACAGAATAGTAATAAAAATTAACTTGTTTATATTAAAAAACATGTTTTAATTGTTTTACTCTGATGCAGCCTATTGCTGTATTTTAATTTCTTTCTTTCTGAGGATAGTGAACAAGCAGCTTTATGAAGCTCTAAAGCAGGTGTGCCTGTTTCCCTCTCACCTGAGCGGGGCAGGTGTGCCTGTTTCCCTCTCACCTGAGCGGGGCAGGTGTGCCTGTTTCCCTCTCACCTGAGCGGGGCAGGTGTGTCTGTTTCCCTCTCACCTGAGCGGGGCAGGTGTGTCTGTTTCCCTCTCACCTGAGCGGGGCAGGTGTGTCTGTTTCCCTCTCACCTGAGCGGGGCAGGTGTGTCTGTTTCCCTCTCACCTGAGCGGGGCAGGTGAGTCTGTTTCCCTCTCACCTGAGCGGGGCAGGTGTGCCTGTTTCCCTCTAACCTGAGCGGGGCAGGTGTGCCTGTTTCCCTCTCACCTGAGCGGGGCAGGTGTGCCTGTTTCCCTCTCACCTGAGCGGGGCAGGTGTGCCTGTTTCCCTCTCACCTGAGCGGGGCAGGTGTGCCTGTTTCCCTCTCACCTGAGCGGGGCAGGTGTGCCTGTTTCCCTCTCACCTGAGCGGGGCAGGTGTGCCTGTTTCCCTCTCACCTGAGCGGGGCAGGTGTGCCTTGTTTCCCTCTCACCTGAGCGGGGCAGGTGTGCCTGTTTCCCTCTCACCTGAGCGGGGCAGGTGTGTCTGTTTCCCTCTCACCTGAGCGGGGCAGGTGTGTCTGTTTCCCTCTCACCTGAGCGGGGCAGGTGTGCCTGTTTCCCTCTCACCTGAGCGGGGCAGGTGTGCCTGTTTCCCTCTCACCTGAGCGGGGCAGGTGTGCCTTGTTTCCCTCTCACCTGAGCGGGGCAGGTGTGCCTGTTTCCCTCTCACCTGAGCGGGGCAGGTGTGCCTTGTTTCCCTCTCACCTGAGCGGGGCAGGTGTGCCTGTTTCCCTCTCACCTGAGCGGGGCAGGTGTGCCTTGTTTCCCTCTCACCTGAGCGGGGCAGGTGTGCCTGTTTCCCTCTAACCTGAGCGGGGCAGGTGTGTCTGTTTCCCTCTAACCTGAGCGGGGCAGGTGTGCCTGTTTCCCTCTAACCTGAGCGGGGCAGGTGTGCCTGTTTCCCTCTAACCTGAGCGGGGCAGGTGTGTCTGTTTCCCTCTAACCTGAGCGGGGCAGGTGTGCCTGTTTCCCTCTAACCTGAGCGGGGCAGGTGTGCCTGTTTCCCTCTAACCTGAGCGGGGCAGGTGTGTCTGTTTCCCTCTAACCTGAGCGGGGCAGGTGTGCCTGTTTCCCTCTAACCTGAGCGGGGCAGGTGTGCCTGTTTCCCTCTAACCTGAGCGGGGCAGGTGTGTCTGTTTCCCTCTAACCTGAGCGGGGCAGGTGTGCCTGTTTCCCTCTCACCTGAGCGGGGCAGGTGTGCCTGTTTCCCTCTCACCTGAGCGGGGCAGGTGTGCCTGTTTCCCTCTCACCTGAGCGGGGCAGGTGTGCCTGTTTCCCTCTCACCTGAGCGGGGCAGGTGTGCCTGTTTCCCTCTCACCTGAGCGGGGCAGGTGTGCCTGTTTCCCTCTCACCTGAGCGGGGCAGGTGTGCCTGTTTCCCTCTCACCTGAGCGGGGCAGGTGTGCCTGTTTCCCTCTCACCTGAGCGGGGCAGGTGTGCCTTGTTTCCCTCTCACCTGAGCGGGGCAGGTGTGCCTGTTTCCCTCTCACCTGAGCGGGGCAGGTGTGTCTGTTTCCCTCTCACCTGAGCGGGGCAGGTGTGCCTGTTTCCCTCTCACCTGAGCGGGGCAGGTGTGCCTGTTTCCCTCTCACCTGAGCGGGGCAGGTGTGCCTGTTTCCCTCTCACCTGAGCGGGGCAGGTGTGCCTTGTTTCCCTCTCACCTGAGCGGGGCAGGTGTGCCTGTTTCCCTCTCACCTGAGCGGGGCAGGTGTGCCTTGTTTCCCTCTCACCTGAGCGGGGCAGGTGTGTCTGTTTCCCTCTCACCTGAGCGGGGCAGGTGTGCCTGTTTCCCTCTCACCTGAGCGGGGCAGGTGTGCCTGTTTCCCTCTCACCTGAGCGGGGCAGGTGTGCCTGTTTCCCTCTCACCTGAGCGGGGCAGGTGTGCCTTGTTTCCCTCTCACCTGAGCGGGGCAGGTGTGCCTGTTTCCCTCTCACCTGAGCGGGGCAGGTGTGCCTGTTTCCCTCTCACCTGAGCGGGGCAGGTGTGCCTGTTTCCCTCTCACCTGAGCGGGGCAGGTGTGTCCTCTCGGGATTTATTGAATGCAGGGCGGTCCTGGAAGGGAAGCTCTGGTAGAGCCTCTAAAAGCCGAACACCACAGCCCCATTCCCACCCCCCTCTGAAAACCCATTCCAGCCCAGTTTAGTTAAAGGGGAACACTGTTTTTTCGATTGGTCCCTTGATTTTCCGTTATTCCATCATGTTCTTCTCTCCCATCTGAGTTTAGTGTCATTTGGAGCCGTTCTGAAGATATTCCGTTAGGTTATATCCAGTAACGTCTTCCTATGGGCAACGACTTGAAGGCACAAACTAAACTGTTCATCATTTATTCTTTATGGTACGCCAGCATTCAGAACATGGAGGCCAATCACTGTCCCCCAGACATCCAGAGTTAGATTTTTATATCTTTTAAAAACAAAGCGGTGCTTGTATGACGTCATTCGCGCGGCGGACGGGAGTTTTTTTTTTTTGTTATTAAAAAATAAAACTTTATTTAACCAATGTACATCACACCAGGCGGCTACGCTCTACCCCTTCTATTCATTCTAGCTCATCTGAATGGTTCATCTGGAGAGCGAGATCATCTGTGGTAGCAGCTCTAGACATCTTCCAGGCATGAGAGGAAAACTAGCAGCAGTTCAGCGGACAGGATGAATGAACGGTAGCCGGCGCACGCTGATGATGTCATACACACGCCGCTTTGTTTTTAAAAAATAAAAATATAAATAATCTAACAGTGGATGTCTGGGGGACAGTGATTGGCCTCCATGTTCTGAATGCTGGCGTACCATAAAGAATAAATGATGAACAGTTTAGTTTGTGCCTTCAAGTCGTTGGTATATTTGATGTGATAAGTGGATAAAAAGTAAAAAATATATTTTTAAGTGAGAAGGTCCAGCTGAAAACATGGTCTGTGCAGTCAGTTAATCCAGATTACCATCCTGCCTTCAAAGATTATTTCTGTCAGATGAGCATACCCCGTCAGACCAGCATACCTACAGTCAACACGCAGGCACAAGACGTCACATTTGCATTTATACCCTCACTTTAAACCACCTCAATGGGCATGTATCCCTTTAGTTATATACTGATCTGTCAGCAAGAAAAATCAAAGCTCACGATGTGGATTGCATCATTAATGATTACATTCTATTCAGTTTATTTCTATAGCTCCAACTCACATCATGTCATCTCAGGTCACTTTCCAGTTCACCAGATCATCCAGTCAGATTGATTCAAAGTTTTCTATCTAAGGAAAACCAGCTGATTGCATCGACTCATTGACTCTTCAGCAATCCCTCACACTAAGCATGCTTGTAGCGACAGTGGAGAGGAAAAACTCCCTTTGAACAGGAAGAAACCTCCAGCAGAACCAGGCTCAGTGTGAGCGGCCATCTGCTGAGGCCCACTGGGGTTCAAGGAGACAGAAGCAGACATAGAAAAAGAAACATAGATACAAAAGGCAACTGTCAACCAGCTCCACAGGCGGCCCCGTCCAGGAAACACACAGCCAGGCAGACGAGCTCCGAGCCAGCTCCCATGTCAGAGGATGAAGAGAGCACATCCAGTTAGTCACAGTCAGAGAAACAGGACTACACTGGAAAACAGGCCAAGCTCCAACATCTAGAAACAAAGGTGTTGATGGCAGCAGCACAGCTGATATTTCTCTCCAGGATGGAGTCACAGCCAAACAGGAACAGACCAGATGAAGCTACTATGAGAAAAAGCAGAGAGAGCAGAACGTTAGAGATTGAACTAACAGATTCTGCAGAGTGGGAGAATAGAGATAGAATGAAGCAGAATGATGAAAAAGGGGTCCCTATGTCCTCCAGCAGTCTAAGCCTATAGCAGCAGAACTATAGAGATAGATCAGGATAACCTGAGCCACTCTAACTAGAAGCTTTATCAAAAAGGAAAGTTTTAAGCCTAGCCTTAAAAGTAGACAGGGTGTCTGCCTCACGGACTAAAACTGGTAGTTGGTTCCACAGGAGAGGAGCCTGAGAACTAAAAGATCTGCCTCCACTAGTAACATCACACGCTTCACTAAAACATGGAGGCTTTCCTTCAGTCTGATTGGTCCAATGCTGTCACCCTATTTACTTTCTGGATTTCCTTTCCTTGTAACGTTGTTCTTAGCGCTCTATCCAGCTAGCACCTCGTAGCCCTGCTACGTACCGAGTGTCGTCGGGATCCTGCTCTGCCGTGCATCAGGACGTTGGTTTTCCATCACATCTGAGCCATTCGGTGTGTTCTGTGGTTAAGGATAAAGGCAAAAAATGTTAGTGCTAAATGTTGGATCCACGATTGCAAGTTTATTCCAGATGGCGTTTTCTTTTTTTTTTATTATTTTTTCAGGAGTTTCCCATGTTTGATTTTTTTTTCCTGCCAGAAGAAATGGTTTCATCCAGTTTCCTTCTGGAAGAAACTTGGACGGTCGTATTTTCTGTAAAGTTTTGTTTCTTTTAGTGAATATTTAGCCTTAAAGGAATAGTACACCCAAAACATGATTAGCCTTCATTTTCTACTCCCCCCCATGCTGAACAACACTCTGGAGTACTTTTTTGATATCTCAAATGCATCTGGAGATCTGGGAGGCTTCTTGCTGTCTGCTGACATTCAAATAATGGAGGTCTATGGCGCCCGAGGCAGAAAGGTCCATAAAAGTCCACAAAAAACATGTCAATATTCCTCCATACTGCTCGTCCAATGTATTCCAAGTGTCCTGAGTGGGTAGCATCCAGAAGTTACTGGAAACGAAGTCATTTAGAATGTTTTTAGAGCATAAACAGTAGTGTATAGGATTTCCTGAAAGCGCGTTCACGAGTCTACGGAAAAAGTACTCCAGAGTGTTGTTCAGCATGGGGGGGAGTAGAAAATGAAGGCTAATCATGTTTTGGGTCTACTATTCCTTTAATCAGGCCCAGATCCAGCAGTAACTGTGAGGTGGGTTCAGTATCTATAAACCGGGGGGGTTTGGGGGCAAGAATACCAGAATAAAAAAGGGGGGGAATAAAACAGCTGGTGTAACAATAAAATAAAATATTAACATGAAAGTGTTTTCCTGCCATTTAAAGGCTGTTGGTAAACAATGTGTTAAATGTGTAATTCCCTGATGGAGTGCTGAGCTGTATAACTAGCCGCTCCGTCCCGCAAGAACCACCCGTCCAGACTACTAAGATCCAGATCCCTGAAAAACTACATAACAGTCCTGAAAATACTTATTTATATACTTAAAACACGGAGGGTGCTTCCGGGACGGACGGAGCGTGCTTACCGGACGGACGGAGGGTGCTTCCGGGACGGACGGAGCGTGCTTCCGGGACGGACGGAGCGTGCTTCCGGGACGGACGGAGCGTGCTTCCGGGACGGACGGAGCGTGCTTACCGGACGGACGGAGGGTGCTTCCGGGACGGACGGAGCGTGCTTCCGGGACGGACGGAGCGTGCTTCCGGGACGGACGGAGCGTGCTTCCGGGACGGACGGAGCGTGCTTCCGGGACGGACGGAGGGCGCTTCTGGGACGGATCGGGTAGTGACGAGCTGTTCCCACTGCCACTGACAGCCCATTGTTCCCTGCTTTAAACGGGTTTTTCGGCCACTGGGAAAGAGGCCAAATGTGTCGTTATCCTTGTCCTTCTCCTAAATGTGATGCAATACCAGGAATTTGTTCTGGAAGAAGCTTAAATCTGGTTGGCGCTATTAGCACTGAGCTAGCAGAGGAGCGCGTACTCCGCTTGTCCTCCGGGTCACGGCTTCGTCCCGCCTTGTGTTTTGGGTTGGAAATATAAAACTTGCGGCGGCTGTAAACGAGAGCAGAGCCACTCGCTGTGGGTTCTAGGGCTCCAACTAAGCGGTGTTATGCAAATCGGTTAATCTGTCAATTATTTTGATGTTTTTTTTTATAACGGATTGATAATCGGATAAGCTTCCTTAAAGAAGACTTTTTATGAAATTAAACTTGAAGGAAAATTTCTGTTCTGGTTAGAGCATTTATTAACACATTTTTAATTTTTTTTATCTTAAATGCAAAATGTTGATATATTTTTAGAATGTTGGTGTAATTCCTGCTCTGAGTGGGTCGGTCTGTCACCTATAGTCATGTTTTAGAGTCTATACTCCATTTAGTGATTAATGGATTACTGGATTAGTTCGTTTCAATAATAGATTAATCCAATTAACTGTTTCAGCCCTAATTGCTTGTCAAGCTTTAATCAAACCTCCCCTGTGCTGCAGGTTCCCATCCCCCGCTCAGCACCCTGATTCTGTTCTGGGAGAGTTCAGACCAGCGTCATCGCCAAGATAGCCGAGCCAGGCAGGAAGAGGCACACCTCAGATCCAGACCCCAGCAGCGGCAGCGATTCTGGAGACGGACGGCCGGTTAGAGCAAAGTGTTTGAAGATGGCCAGCGGCGGAGGCCGCCGAGTTGCAGGCGGTGAGACGGCGGAGCGTCGAGGAGGGGCGCAGCAGAAAGGGGCCGGAGCTCGGGAAAACGGCTCCGAGATAACGACCAGCACCAGTAAGAAGAAGCAGAAAGACAAGGCCAACCAGGAGAGCAGGGAGGCCAAGAGAGCCGCAGCCGCAGCCGCTGACGGGGTTCTTGCTGAGGTCAAGAAAGGTACGACTGCAGCCTGGCCTCCGTTTGGCCCCCTGACCATAGGGGCCCCCTGACCGTGGGGCGTTTGGCCCTCTGACCGTGGGGCGTTTGGCCCTCTGACCGTAGGGGCCCCCTGACCGTGGGGCGTTTGGCCCCCTGACAGTGGGGCGTTTGGCCCTCTGACCGTGGGGAGTTTGGCCCTCTGCTCGTAGGGCGTTTGGCCCTCTGATCGTAGGGGCCCCCTGACCGTAGGACGTTTGGCCCCCTGACCGTGGGGCGTTTGGCCCTCTGACCGTAGGGCGTTTGGCCCCCTGACCGTAGGGGCCCCCTGACCGTGGGGCGTTTGGCCCTCTGACCGTGGGGCGTTTGGCCCCCTGACCGTAGGGGCCCCCTAACCGTAGGGCGTTTGGCCCCCTGACCGTGGGGCGTTTGGCCCCCTGACCGTGGGGCGTTTGGCCCCCTGACCGTAGGGCATTTGGCCCCCTGACCGTGGGGGCCCCCTGACCGTAGGGCGTTTGGCCCCCTGACCGTAGGGCGTTTGGCCCCCTGACCGTGGGGCGTTTGGCCCCCTGACCGTGGGGCGTTTGGCCCCCTGACCGTGGGGCGTTTGACCCCCTGACCGTGGGGCGTTTGGCCCCCTGACCGTGGGGCGTTTGGCCCCCTGACCGTAGGACGTTTGGCCCCCTGACCGTAGGGGCCCCCTGACCGTAGGGCGTTTGGCCCCCTGACCGTGGGGCATTTGGCCCCCTGACCGTGGGGCGTTTGGCCCCCTGACCGTGGGGCCTTTGGCCCTCTGACCGTAGGGCGTTTGGCCCCCTGACCGTAGGGGCCCCCTGACCGTGGGGCGTTTGGCCCTCTGACCGTGGGGCGTTTGGCCCCCTGACCGTAGGGGCCCCCTGACCGTGGGGCGTTTGGCCCCCTGACCGTGGGGCGTTTGGCCCCCTGACCGTGGGGCGTTTGGCCCTCTGACCGTGGGGCGTTTGGCCCTCTGACCGTGGGGCGTTTGGCCCTCTGACCGTGGGGCGTTTGGCCCTCTGCCCGTAGGGGCCCCCTGACCGTGGGGCGTTTGGCCCCCTGACAGTGGGGCGTTTGGCCCTCTGACCGTGGGGCGTTTGGCCCCCTGACCGTGGGGCGTTTGGCCCTCTGACCGTAGGGCGTTTGGCCCCCTGACCGTAGGGGCCCCCTGACCGTAGGGGCCCCCTGACCGTGGGGCGTTTGGCCCTCTGACCGTGGGGCGTTTGGCCCCCTGACCGTAGGGGCCCCCTGACCGTGGGGCGTTTGGCCCTCTGACCGTAGGGGCCCCCTGACCGTGGGGCGTTTGGCCCCCTGACAGTGGGGCGTTTGGCCCTCTGACCGTGGGGCGTTTGGCCCCCTGACAGTGGGGCGTTTGGCCCTCTGACCGTGGGGCGTTTGGCCCCCTGACAGTGGGGCGTTTGGCCCTCTGACCGTAGGGGCCCCCTGACCGTGGGGCGTTTGGCCCCCTGACAGTGGGGCGTTTGGCCCTCTGACCGTGGGGAGTTTGGCCCTCTGACCGTAGGGCGTTTGGCCCTCTGACCGTGGGGCGTTTGGCCCTCTGACCGTAGGGGCCCCCTGACCGTGGGGCGTTTGGCCCCCTGACAGTGGGGCGTTTGGCCCTCTGACCGTGGGGCGTTTGGCCCTCTGACCGTGGGGCGTTTGGCCCTCTGACCGTAGGGGCCCCCTGACCGTGGGGCGTTTGGCCCCCTGACAGTGGGGCGTTTGGCCCTCTGACCGTGGGGTGTTTGGCCCTCTGACCGTGGGGAGTTTGGCCCTCTGATCGTAGGGCGTTTGGCCCTCTGATCGTAGGGGCCCTCTGACCGTAGGGGCCCCCTGACCGTGGGGCGTTTGGCCCCCTGACAGTGGGGCATTTGGCCCTCTGACCGTGGGGCGTTTGGCCCTCTGACCGTGGGGTGTTTTGCCCCCTGACCTAGGGGCGTTTGGCCCTCTGACCGTGGGGTGTTTTGCCCCCTGACCGTGGGGCGTTTGGCCCTCTGACCGTGGGGTGTTTTGCCCCCTGACCGTGGGGCGTTTGGCCCCCTGACAGTGGGGCATCTGGCCCCCTGACCGTGGGGTGTTTGGCCCCCTGACCGTGGGGTGTTTGGCCCCCTGACCGTGGGGTGTTTGGCCCCCTGACAGTGGGGCATTTGGCCCCCTGACCGTGGGGTGTTTGGCCCCCTGACAGTAGGGCGTTTGGCCCCCTGACTGTAGGGGCCCCCTGACCGTGGGGTGTTTGGCCCCCTGAGAGTGGGGCGTTTGGCCCTCTGACTGTAGGGGCCCTCTGACCCTAGGGCGTTTGGCCCCCTGACCGTAGGGGCTCTCTGACTGTAGGGGCCCTCTGACCCTAGGGCGTTTGGCCCCCTGACCGTAGGGGCTCTCTGACCGTAGGGGCCCTCTGACCGTGGGAGGGCTCTCCTTCAGAGAAGCGGCGGGTTAGGCCCGTGGGAAAGTCCGTGTTCAGATTGGGTCTCCATTGGGTCCTATGGGAGTTCTAAATGTCACCTCTCTACTAACGGGAACTGATATTATCAGATGGGGGGGGGACGGGAACTGATATTATCAGATGGGGGTGGATAGTTGGGCCGTCCCGCCTGCAGCTCTGCTCTCTAACCTCAGTTCTTCTGTTCCAGATGTTTTTGTGGACTGGAAGCAGAACGTGAACGAGGTGACGGTCAGGCTGCGCTGTGGAGACGCTGTACAGCGGCTAGAGGACATCAGCACCACTTTCACCGATACGCACTGCAATGTGGCCTTCCCAGGTCGGCACCCCCCAACACCGTCCTGTCCTCTGTCTCTGATGCCGTCCTTTCCTCTGTCTCTGCCGTCTTGTCCTCTGTCTCTGTCTCTCTGCCGTCCTGTCCTCTGCCTCTGTCTCTGCCTCTCTGCCGTCCTGTCCTCTGTCTCTGCCTCTCTGCCGTCCTGTCCTCTGTCTCTGCCGTCCTGTCCTCTGTCTCTGCCGTCCTGTCCTCTGTCTCTGCCGTCCTGTCCTCTGTCTCTGATGCCGTGTTTTTCTGCTCTTCAGACGGACGGCAGTGGAGCTGTCAGCTGCAGGAGGAAATCGAGGCGTCGTGCAGCAAAGCACAGTTCAAGGAAAAGGGAGGATTCCTGCACCTCGTTATGCACAAGAAGATTCCTTTCCACATCTGGCCTTCCCTGAAGGTCAGTCCCACCGTCTCCTGTTCAGAGCTTATCTATCATTATCACAGCTCTACATTTCCTTAGATCAGGGGTCAGCAACCTGCGGCTCCCTTAAAAAAATTATGAAAATAGATTTTTTGTTTATTTATTTGTGCAGGAGGTCAAACCTTCCTTATGTTTCCAATGCTGTAAAGATTTTAAATAATAAGTGTAAACCTCGTCTGTTCCTGTGACTCCATCCTGGAGAGAAATATCAGCTGTGCTGCTGCCATCAACACCTTTGTTTCTAGATGTTGGAGCTTGGCCTGTTTTCCAGTGTAGTCCTGTTTCTCTGACTGTGACTAACTGGATGTGCTCTCTTCATCCTCTGACATGGGAGCTGGCTCGGAGCTCGTCTGCCTGGCTGTGTGTTTCCTGGACGGGGCCGCCTGTGGAGCTGGTTGACAGTTGCCTTTTGTATCTATGCTTCTTTTTCTATGTCTGCTTCTGTCTCCTTGAACCCCAGTGGGCCTCAGCAGATGGCCGCTCACACTGAGCCTGGTTCTGCTGGAGGTTTCTTGCTGTTCAAAGGGAGTTTTTCCTCTCCACTGTCGCTACAAGCATGCTTAGTGTGAGGGATTGCTGAAGAGTCAATGAGTCGATCCAATCAGCTGGTTTTCCTTAGATAGAAAACTTTGAATCAATCTGACTGGATGATCTGGTTGGTCTGGATCTATAAAGTGACCTGAGATAACATGATGTGAATTGGAGATATAGAAATAAACTGAATAGAATTGAAACATTTCTTTCAATGAAAATGAGCGTCATAGCCAGAGAGATCTGTGGTCATATCCTGCTGCAGGTTTCGGCGCGGCGCCAGGCAGGTGGCGGGCGTTTCTCCAAAGGGAAAAAAGGAAAATAACTGATGAGCAAAAAGGATTCAAAGACGAATGGAGCGAATGTTTGCCTTCATTAGCAACGAGGAAGGATTGTCTGCATGTCTGCTTGAACAATAGAAACAGTCATCAGGAAAAGCTGCTGAATATGCAGCCCACCACCAGCTGGGAGGGAGAGAAAAGTTTGATTGCAGAACTTCTGGATAAATTAGATTTAAGAGGTAGATTGCATCTCCAAACTCTTCTGCCGCTGCTAGTTTGGCTGCAAGCATAGAAAACCATTTATAGATAAAATAAAGTTTAAGTTTTTGATGCAGGAATTGGAACTTTCTCAATTTAGTTTTCCCCCAAATCCTCTAAATATCACCAAGGAACGCTGGAGGAGGATGAGGGTTCAGGGTTGGACTTAAACACATTTATTTTGTCATTTTTGTACACAAGTGTAAAAAATAAATTTAGTTTAGAACATCTCTCAGATAATTTAATTTTTAAAGTGCAGCTTTGATCAGGTCAGCAGCAGTTGTTGTAGAGCTGCTGCCTCCAGCTCCTGAAGCGCTCGCTTCTCCTGGCTCTGGGGAGGAAGAGGACGATGATGACGAGGCTTTGGGGGTGGTAGCCCCCCCTGGGTTGAAGAGGCTGACGTGGTTGAAGCAGCAGTGGCGCCATCAGCAGGTTTAGGGGCGACAGACGATGCTGGAGAAGCTGTGGAAGCCGGGGGGGAGGAGGAGCCGGCTGGGGGTGGGGAAGCATCTAGAGTGCTCTCCTCATTTTCACCTGCAGAGGGCAGTACTCTGTGTTTCTATGGGCGCGGTACAGCATCAGCCCCCCCAGGCCAACAGCAGCGTCTGCTGGATGCAGCCATGGCTGTCAGAATGATGGCGCCGCTCTTCCAGTCTAAGATCATCCATTTTGTTTTCCAACCAGCCGACGCTGGAGAGCAGGATTGATCGAAGCGGCGCTCTGAGGGGATTCCTCTTTAGCTTTGCAGTTAGCCCCCCCACCCCCACCCCCGCAGCCTCGCTTTCTCCGTCTCACGCATCTCTTCCTTCGCAGCTTTTTAAACGGTCAGAAATGTCCGCATTTAAAACGCTTAGTGAGCGTAGCTCCAGCAGGCGTTGGCGATCAGAGATGCAGGTTAGATGTTTGTATCGCTTTAAGCGGCAGAGTTATTAGTTAGTAGGTTAGCGAGCTCTGCTCTGATGTCACTTCCTGCTTGGTTCCTCATGACTCAATCGGCTCCTCCCAACAGAAATACGTCCGCCATAGAAACATTCCTTTATCCTGTTTCTAGAATTTTATCAATGCAACAAAACCTAAACCGCGCGGTGAAGCGGCGGTGAAGCGGCGGTGATGCGGCGAGATTTTCCCCTATTCGTTAGCTGCTCTCTGCAGAGGAGCGGCTGGTTTCACCATGATGAGCATAAATAAATGGCCACCTTTCTTTTCAAACTCTGTTTCAGTCAAACAAGAAGGAGAAGGATTCTGGTCAACCACAGACCACAAAAGAAACCAAACCGTCTGCCCTGAAGGCCTCAGATAAACCAGAGCAGCTCCAGCCGCCGCCCCCCCCCTCACCTGGATCCGCCGATCAGAGCCGCATCAGCAGCAAAGCTGAGCGGGGTTACAAGCGCTGCTTCAAAAACAAACCCAGTGACAAGGCCAACGAGGTCGGCAGCGTCTCCAGGGAGGCGCCGAAAGGCCCGCAGCCGCCTCAGGAACACGCCCACACGCACCTGCTCCAGGTAAACCCAGCAGGGGACGCAGCCGCCGCCCCATTTACTGCAGAAAACGGTCAACGGCGCCATCCAAGCTCTGGGCGGAGCAGAAATGACGACAACAAGGATGAGAAGGATGGAGGCGGCGAGGTCCTGAAGCCGCGGGAGGCAGCTGCTGGCGACCCAACTCAGGTGAGACCGGAGAGTCTGGATGGACGTACCTGTCCAACCTGACTGGGCAGCGTTCCTGAAAAAGGCTTGAACTCCTCAATATCAAACTAAGGCTTTCATTTGTATCAGACTTTCATTTTGCTGTCTAGTTCAGCTCTAGAGCTTTTCATTGGTTTTAAAGTGCCGCCTTCATAAAGGGATAAAAACATTTATTAAAACAGACTGGTGAAAATGTCTTAAATCAGTCTTAAATAATCACCACAACATGAATATGATTTTATTTTATAATCCATATCAAACATTGACATATTGTTTCTATTGAGCGTACGCCTCGCTGGAACCTTTACTGGTTCCGTCCCAATAGGGGAACCAATAAACCATCAGGCGGCCGGTTTGGGGCATCCAGTCGTGGGAACACCCATCGCCCTGAACACCCACAAAAATAAAACTTGTTAGTGGCCAAACGGTGAGCAGCCCGGGTTCATTGATGACCTGTGATTTGAGGCTGGATGTAGTCAGATCCTGATCCTGGCCGTGATGCTTCAAAGCTCCAATGACTGCCTGTGTTTCAAGGTGATGGAGCAGAAAACCCCGTCAGACGGGAAAGAAGGCGCCGGCCAGCCAGCAGCTCCTGAAGTCTCCAGCTGCTTCCTGAACCCAATGAGCTCCAACATGGTGGATTCCTCTCCTCTAAAGGACAGAACGGACTCTGAGCCGCAGAGAAAACCCGCCAAGCCCACTGAGACGGCGCCAGACCCGGCCGCCGGCGTGGCTCGCAGGCCGAGCCAATCAGCCGGCCTCCCTCAGAAGGCGGATGATAGAGAGGAGAAACGGGACCAGTCCAAGGAGGAGCCCCCACTGGAAGAAGGTAGGCTCCCATTCTGCTGTTCCTGTCGGTTCCTCTCTGGGGGAGGAGACTGTTACAGCCTCGCTATGTACCGTCAGCAGCCCCAGAGCCCATGGTCAACCTGCAGCTGCTGAAGAACGACTGGTATGAGAAGGGAACCGACCTGATGGTGGTTAACGTCTACATGAAGGCGGTCTGCAGGGACACGGCCAGTGTCCTCTTCAGGGAGCAGGACTTCACCCTCATCTTCCAGACGAGGTACAGAATCCCATCCTGAGAACGCTGCTTTGCTGCTCTCTGCCCATCCGCTGACGCCTCCTCTGATGCTCTTTGCAGCGACGCCAACTTCCTGCGCCTCCACTCGGGCTGTGGGCCCAACTCTGTCTTCAGATGGCAGGTCAAACTCAGGTGAGGCTCCTTCACGCCGTCTGTCCTCCAGGCAAAGTGTGACTGTTGACATGTTTCACCCTGCATGTGTGTCAGGAACCTAATCCAGCCCGAGCAGTGCAGCTACTCCTTCACGCCGTCCCGCCTGGACATCACTCTGAAGAAGAGACACAGCCAGCGCTGGGGTGCTCTGGAGGCGCCGGCCACACAAGGTCTGCTGCCAGGTTTCTGTTGGGACCTTTCTCCTGGTAACGTCTGAATTCGTTGCTCTCCAGCGGTTCTGTGTCTCTTTGCTTATTTAATGGGTTTGTCCTCTAATCCTCCACCTGTTCCACACCTTTCCCTGTGCAGGTTTACATCCCGACTTAAACCATCTGACTGACAGCAGGCAGAGTCTGTGCTTCTCAACCGGTTTAGTCTCTTAAAGTTCCCTTGGTTTCAAACAACCGACCAGGGCCTGATTTTTTACTGTCAGTGCATGAAAATATGAGTGTCCACATAGCAGGCCCACATATCTACAGAAAGCTCTGGTTCTCATATTTCCAATGCTACCAAGCGTGCTGAACCTCCACAAACGCCGCGGCTGTTTTATTGAGAGAAATGTGAGGGACACACAAAACTCAAAAAGTTCATGTTTTACTTGTTCCAAGAGGAAAACTCCGATATTTCCCTCCAAGTTTGGTCTCGTTCTGCTCGAAACAGCCAGAAAAAAGGTAATCGGCTAAAATGATGGCTCCAAACGTCGTATAAAATCCAAAAAAGGCACGAATACTGCAGGATACCTCGCAAATACTCAGATCCCTGCTACAAGAAGCTAAAAACAAGGCATCAACGCTATGACACGCTCCAACAGGAAGTCCTGGCTTGTTTGACCAGTTACAGGACGATGGGGGCGGGCTGGAACAGCGTCAATCGTGTTTGCAGTCTGTGACTTCCTTCTCCGCCCTCCTATTCCGACCAGTAAGAACTCAGCTCCGTGTGAGAGACGTCATTGTGTAGCCAATGAATAGATATCTGCTTTATATGGGTGGAACCTCGATTTCAGAGAAGACTCGCTGCAAGATGATGTTTAGATTTTTATCTGAACAGGTGTTTTTTGTCTAGTATATTTATTTTTTTTCCAATAAAAATGTATTTGAAACGTTTTGACAGTTTAGTCTGATTGAGTTTAGTTATCTTTCAAAGCGGTCTCACTGTTTCTGCGTTGAAGTATGCGATGGCGATGGCGGTGGCATGGCCTCATCCTAGCAGGTTTGCCAGGATATAAGACTTGGTTTCTGTTGTGTCCAGTAGTTCATTCCTGTTCTGCTGGAGGAAAATTCTCAATTATTTTAACAGAAAATACAGGTGAGAATTGTTTTTACATGCAGAGTTGTTTTATGAAGCATACCACATGCTCAACAGTGCACTTTCAGTAAATCAGAATGTACAGGTGAGAACTTTACATGGAGCCCAGAACTTTATTTTTCTCCATGTGGCTCCAGAACTATAAAAGTTTGGATTTGGAGCCTTTTTGAGGCGTTTCCAGCTGAATCCTGGGAACTTTAGGAGACTTTCTGTCATAGAACAAAGCATTTTAACCTAACGGTGACATCGGATGATGGTTCGCCTCATTCCGTCTGTTGTTGATCTTCTAACCTCAAGCTCTGTGGTCCTGTTTAAGGTGCAGTGGGGGGTGCCAAGGTCGCTGTGCCCTCCAGCCCTGCATGCATGGATCAGAACCAGCCAGGCAGCAGTCAGCACAGCCTCCCAGCCAAGGAGGAGGCCTCCAGGGTCGGGGAGGAACCCACCAAGGCATCCCCCAGAGGAGTGGAGGACGGCGGCCTGGACTCCGTCTCTTCTCGCTCGGTCTCTGAGCACGTTAGCATCTCAAAGGCAGAGCCCGCTGTGGCGGCGGTGAGCAGAACCATGGCAGCGCGTCTCTGTTCCCCTCAGCTGGGAGCAGAACCGACCCGGCTGGAGGACCGATGGAAGCTGTCGCTTTACGTGTGTTTGTGTTTTTCCGTTTCAAGCCTCAACCCAAGCCGACCTGTATGGTGCAGCCTATGACCCATACGCCGCCTGCCACCGAGCGCCACGAGGAAGAGGAGGAGAAGAAGGTGTGCCTGCCCGGTTTCACAGGATTGGTTAACCTTGGCAACACCTGCTTCATGAACAGCGTGATCCAGTCCCTGTCCAACACCAGGGAGCTCCGGGATTACTTCCACGGTAAACGGATCCATCTGACGCGGGCGCATCATCGGCGGCGGCGCACCGCGATGAGCTCTGATTTCTGTTTCCTCTCCCCAACAGACCGGGCCTTTGAAGCAGAGATCAACTGCAGTAACCCTCTGGGCACGGGGGGCCGGCTGGCCATCGGCTTCGCCGTTCTGCTCAGGGCTCTCTGGAAAGGCACCCACCACGCCTTCCAACCATCCAAGCTAAAGGTACGAGCAGGACGTCCCTCCTCTGCCCGCCTCCGTGGGCCCGTCTAACGCCTCCGCTGCCCTCTCGCCTTGCAGGCCATTGTTGCCAGTAAAGCCAGTCAGTTTACGGGCTATGCCCAGCACGATGCGCAGGAGTTCATGGCGTTCCTTCTGGATGGACTTCATGAGGACTTGAACAGGATCCAGAACAAACCCTACACCGAGACGGTGGACTCTGACGGGCGGCTTGATGAGGTGGGTGTCACCCTTTGCTCCGTGACCCAAACCAGCCCATCCTGGTGGTCTGGGGTCCATTTGAAGAAGCAGGTTTACTGAAAAATGTCAACTTTTCTATTCCTAAAATCAGAGAAACTGATGCTGTTTCTCAGTATGTGTGTTTGTGCAGCTCTAGTTCTGTACCCATTTATAAGAACAGCAGACCGAGAACGGACAAAGCCCCCCCCCCCCTCTTTACCCTTTACTAAAACGGCCTGCCATAGCCCACGTCATTTAAACCTACAAATTCACTTCTTGAACTGGGGGCTTTGTTTGCGTTTGTTGGTGCAGGTGGTGGCAGAGGAGGCGTGGCAGAGGCACAAGATGAGAAACGACTCCTTCATCGTAGACCTTTTCCAGGGCCAGTTTAAATCCAAGCTGGTGTGCCCCACATGCTCCAAGGTAACGCCCCGCTCTGCCAGCCGTGCTGACGGATCTGAGCTCCTTCTGAAGCTCCTGTTGTTTGTTTCAGGTCTCCATCACGTTCGATCCCTTCCTCTACCTGCCTGTCCCGCTGCCGCAGAAACAGAAAGTGCTCTCCGTCTTCTACTTTGCCAAGGAGCCTCACAAAAAACCAGTGAAGGTGAAGTTCTGCCCGGTGCTGCTCCTCTGGCAGCTGCTGAGGCTTCATGTGCAGCTCAACAGGTCGTCTTTGGGACCTCGGCTGTAACCGCTTCTGTGTGCTTTAGTTTTTGGTCAGTGTGAGCAAGGAGAACTCCAGCACCGCTGAGGTCCTCGAGTCCATCTCCAGGAGCGTGAGGGTCAAGCCTGAGAACCTGCGACTGACAGAGGTTGGTTCTGTTTGATTTCCTGCTCTGACAAACTGCCCGAGTTCTTCAGCAGAAGAAGTTACCCCTCCATCCTCCGTCACCGACCGCCCCTCACATACGTCCTGCTGAGACTTCTACGTCCTCTTTGGAGCCAATATGGAGCCAAGCTTTTTTAGCTCCGCTCTGGTCGGGTCACAAAAACCTCCAAGAGCGCATCTCCCAACTTCAACAAAAACAACGAAGCTGTTATCAAAGGCATGGATGAAGAGTTGCTGATTGAGGATATAGAGAACAAACCAGTTTGGTAGGATCCTAGTCGTCCCAGCATTGGGACTTGATAAGATTTTCACGATTCCGATTCCCTTATTGAATCTGTGAAACGATTCGATTCCGTTTAATGAAAACATTACTGTAGAGAAATATACCTGTCAAGTTCTTTTCTATCTTCTGCAGCCTCCCCATGTGAAAAAGGATGGATGAATTGATGCAGACTTCAACACTTTTACCACACAGTTTTCTTCCTTTTATTTAGTGAGTGTATATATTTACAACTGGTTTAGAAGCAGGTAAAACAAACCCAAAAAAATAAATATAAATGCTAATTTGTATGTTAGTTTACATTAATTAATTTCACTCAAACTACAAAGGAAATGATAAACTGTGAATCTTATCCCCAAAGTAATTAAAGTTAAATGAACAAGTAACTAAATTTAGGTTCCTTGCAGTCTGATTTCATAAACAGTACAGCTTCACTTACCGGCTGCTTCTCCGCCGTCTACAGATTCATCCAGATCTATACAAGGATCTGTGATCACAAGAGTCCCAAACTGTTCCTAAACTCCTCTATTGTCTGTCCCTCTTATAGGTCCGTGTGAAACGGTGCACTGATCCCTTTTTCTTTTTTTTTTTCTTTCTTTTCTCATTCGACTTTACAAAACTCATCTCCCCCTGATTTAAAAAACCGAGCGTCACCTTTCTCTGACTCCCTGAACTGTGAAGTAACTTTGTAGCGTGTATCGTTACATCCATAGCTAGAATCGTGTAAGAATTCAAGCTCCCAGTAGTTCTATTTAAATTAATTCCTACTTGCTTAATGAATGCCGTGTGCGACTTGCGTAAAAAAAAAAACGTGACGCAGGTTGTGCTGCCCAGAACGGCTGTGGTGCTGCCATGGAATCAATAAGAGAATTGTTAAGCGATCTGCCAAACGGTGCCATGGAATTGGAAAACACTGAACCGGTTCTGAACAGGAACCGGTTCTCGCCTTGAACAGAACGGGGCACTTATGGAGGATGTAGGATTTCAGAGTTAGATCATGATGCGTATTAGTGACTCCATCCTTTGACAGAAGGCTCAGCTGTGCTTCTGCCATGAACACCTTGATAGATGATTTAGTCTGGTTTCTGTCCTATAGCTATGGACTGGTGTGACTAACTGGATGTAGAGGCCTGCGCGCATTTTCCAGTCCCGCGCCGCTCGCTCCCGCAGTGTTCAGTCCCGCTCCCTCAAAGAATTATGATTTTCAGTCCCGCTCCCGCCCGCACCTGTAACGGTTAGTCCCGCTCCCGCCCGCACCTGTAACGGTTAGCCCCGCTCCCGCCCGCACCTGTAACGGTTAGTCCCGCTCCCGCCCGCACCCGTAACGGTTAGTCCCGCTCCCGCCCGCACCCGTAACGGTTAGTCCCGCTCCCGCCCGCACCCGTAACGGTTAGTCCCGCTCCCGTAACGGTTAGTCCCGCACCCGTAACGGTTAGTCCCGCACCCGTAACGGTTAGTCCCGCACCCGTAACGGTTAGTCCCGCTCCCGTAACGGTTAGTCCCGCTCCCGCCCGCACCTGTAACGGTTAGTCCCGCTCCCGCCCGCACCTGTAACGGTTAGTCCCGCTCCCGCCCGCACCCGTAACGGTTAGTCCCGCTCCCGTAACGGTTAGTCCCGCACCCGTAACGGTTAGTCCCGCTCCCGTAACGGTTAGTCCCGCACACGTAACGGTTAGTCCCGCACACGTAACGGTTAGTCCCGCACCCGTAACGGTTAGTCCCGCACCCGTAACGGTTAGTCCCGCACCCGTAACGGTTAGTCCCGCACCCGTAACGGTTAGTCCCGCTCCCGTAACGGTTAGTCCCGCACCCGTAACGGTTAGTCCCGCTCCCGTAACGGTTAGTCCCGCTCCCGTAACGGTTAGTCCCGCTCCCGTAACGGTTAGTCCCGCACCCGTAACGGTTAGTCCCGCTCCCGCCCGCACCTGTAACAGTTAGTCCCGCTCCCGCCCGCACCTGTAACGGTTAGTCCCGCACACGTAACGGTTAGTCCCGCACCCGCCCGGTTAGACACGGTAAACTTAACTCCAAAATAATGAAAAAATCATGGAGGCCATGTCCACATCTTCAGTTTATTATATTTATTTCACACCTTCCAAAAATAAGCTCAGAGTAGCAGGAAAAATGTCAAAAATATTATGGAAACAAATGTAGTATTTACATCCTTTCAGAAAATAAATCCCTTTTGTGCTGCACAGCAATGTTACCTTCTCTGTAACCAGGCCAGACTGACCCAGTAAGGCCAGTAGCTCTCCTTAGAAATCCTAAGCCCCGCCCCCTACAGTTAGATCAGCAAACAGTGAGCATTGGTTTTAATAAAAAGAATAAAAAAGAAACACTTATCCCTAGAAAATAATAATAATTACCTGTTTCCATTCTGAAGTTACTTTCTTTAGTTAAAAAAAAAACAATTTGCCAGCAGAAATCACTGAAAAACAAACAGGAAAGAAAAACCCTGGAAGTGCCCCGCCCGCTTTCTGTCAAACAACGCTCCACAGGTAAGTGCTGTCGAGTTAAAAAAATATGAGCGCTGAGAGTTGATATTATACGAAGGAAAGGCTTTATTTTCTCTGCAGAGGAGAACATCACGACCAGCCTGAATGCAGCCCAGTGATGTTCTGAACATTCTCACTCCTGCATAAAAAGGGGAATACACGCATTTAAAGGACAGAGATAACAATTGTTTCCCGTTCACACCAAAGTGCAAACGTGTTTAAGTGTTAAAGTATGAGTTGCGATTAATGAGCATCACCAGGTGTGCATCCTTGGTCGTGCCACATCATACAAGAGGCTGATGTTGAGTAAAGCGATCCGTCTGTAACTGTCATACACAGAAAGGGACTCGCATTTTAATGGGTGTGTGCACGTGTGTTTCTCTGTGTGCGTGTCAGCGGGGGGGGGACCGCCGCCGCCGTCACACTGTCATCAGTTTAAGGAATTAAACACGCTGCGCTTAGCTGAGCTCATCACTGGCTGATTCTTCACCGCATAGAGCCTGACGCGCGTCAGCTGGTACGAGCTGCGGTATTCAGCACATTGTGATGTGTATATATGATAGACAGACTGATAATTTATGACTTTATTTTATATTTAATTTTACGTTTTAAAACATGTTTTTAGTTCACAGGACTGCCGCTCTTGCCTGCAATGAGCGTTCAGTATTTGTCCCGCGATGCTCTGCTCTGCTTTGGGTCCCCCTAACCGGATGTTCATCACTTTGACATGAAAACTTACCGTAGCTTTTCTAAAATAGAAAATGTTTTTATCAGTGCTTCTATGTTGCTTTTCTATATCTGCTTCTGTCTCCTTGAACCCCAGTGGGCCTCAGCAGATGGCCGCTCACACTGAGCCTGGTTCTGCTGGAGGTTTCTTCCTGTTAAAGTTGTTAAAGGTTATCAAGGCGATGCGTGTTTAGCTTCAGCTGTATTGCAGAGCGCTCATCCTGCCGAGGAGCGCCTTCCAGACGACCACCTCGTTCTGTTCCTCTTCCGGCAGATGAAACCCCATGAGGGTAAATAATCCTCTTTTCGTCTGTCAGGTGGCCAGAAACCGCTTTCAGCGCGTCTTCCTGCCGTCACATTCGCTGGACACGGTGTCTCCGTCTGATACGCTGCTCTGCTTCGAGGTGCTGTCTAAAGATCTGGCCAAAGAAAGAGTGGTGCTGCTCAGAGTGCACCAGGTAAAGGAGGAGCTGCCTGTTGATCTGTGATGATGATGATGATGATGACCAGAAGTGAAGAGGTCTGTTATCCTTGCAGAAACTCCAGGTGCCCAACATCCCCATCTCAAAGTGCGCCGCCTGCCTGAAACCCCCGGGGTCAGAGGAGGACAAACTGAAGCGCTGCACCCGCTGCTATCGAGTGGGCTACTGCAACCAGTGGGTGTCTGCGGGACGTTGACCCTCCTGGGAGCCGCTGCGTGTGTCTGAAGCTCACGGCTGTCTCTCTCCTGCAGACACTGTCAGAGGAGCCACTGGCCAAACCACAAGGCTCAGTGCCGCCCCCACTCTGAGAACGTGGGGCTGCCCTTCCTGGTCAGCGTGCCTCGGTCCCGCCTGTCCTACGCCCGCCTGGCCCAGCTGCTGGAGGGTTACTCCAGGTGAAGCATGGGAGGAAACGATGGTTCACTGGTTCCCATGACACCATCCATCTCTAACTGCAAAGTCTCTCTTTTACTGCAGGTTTTCTGTGAACGTGTTCCAGCCGCCGTTCCAGTCGGGCAGAACCTCTCCTGAAACCTGCCCGGCCCGGTCCGACCTGCCTCCCATGGCGGCAACGTCCCCTGGGGCAGTGGGATCGGAGGAGGATGCCGTAGGGGGGGTTGGTACCGTAGAAGGAGCTGATGTGGACCTGGAGAGCCCCTCCCACCTGCCTGAACTCCAGGGAGATTACGCTCCAGCGGCCCGCTCCCTCTCCTCCGTCTCCACCACGTGGACCAAAGACTCCGGGTTCTCTGAGCCTGGCTCCGCCTCCTCAAGCTGCTCCCTGGACCTTCAGGCTGAGAAAGAGACGTCCTGTGAGAAAGCGGTGCGACCAGAAGGTAAACCCACAGCAGAGTCGCCCATCAGGCGTTTCTCAGCCTTTGGTTCCACTAACCCAGCCTTTCCTCTCCAGCCGCGGTGACGGGGTATCAGCAGCCCGGCGACACGCTGTTGGGTCACGCCAGTCAGTTTTACATCGGCATGCTGGACTCCAACAACAAGGAGCAAAGGCTGGATGAGAAAGGTAACAGAACTCTGTTGGAAGTTCTACCTTTTCTGTTGAGTAAATGCCAGAACACAACGAACCCGATTTTATGTTCGATCCCACAGAAGGGCCGCGTTGGCAGCGGCATTTAGCCATCGTCAAAGGTCAATGCAGAGGTCTAGAGAGGTCTGCAGAGGTCTAGAGAGGTCTGCTGGTCCCACTGAGATAGATCCCAGGTCTACAGCCCTGGCCAAATGTTAGAGAATTATTCAAATGTTAATATTTCCAAAGTCTACTGCCTCAGTTTTTATAATGGCAATTTGCATAAACTCCAGAATGTTATAATCAGGGTTCCCATGGGTCCTTGAAAAGTCTTAAAAGGCATTGAATTCTTCAAAATAAAACTAAGGCCTTAATTGGTATGAAAATGTCTTAAATCAGTCTTTCCTAGGTCTTAATTTTTAAAACATCATAAATAGGATTATTTTATTATGATTTATTTTTGTAATCTAAACAAAACATTAAAATTGACCTTTTTTTTTAATTTAAAAAAAATAACGTTTCGCCATTATTGGTTCGTCCCGATAGCGGAACCAATAAAAGCAGCGTTGTTGCGGCCGGGACATTTGGGAGATGCACCATTAACTTTTTGTCTGGAAAATCTGAGCAAGTGTAATGTAACGATAATTGTCTCCAGCCAAGAGTTTCCTCCATGGCTAAAACCAGGGAACAGACATGAGGAACAAGAAGTCCTTCAAGCTGGGAACGATGGGAATTAAGGCAGTGGAGTCGCACATGCGAAGCACGAAACACAAAGCGTCAAAATGGAGTTACAGAGAAACAGCCGGTATTTCTCAGTTTAGTTCCACCCTTGTCTCTGCAACGCCTCCACTTATCACCAAATCAAACATACTAAGAAAACCAAACAAAGAAAAATAGCTGCTAAAAAGACTTAGCACTGGTTATGTTGGGGCTTTAAAACTGATTTGTTTTGTTCCCTGCTAAAACAAAGTTTGTGAATTCAGTTAAATAATTGTTCAAATATATCCATCATTTGTGTGTTTTTAGCTTTCTTCCTGTATGGGAAGTTTTTCAACATTTGAAACATTAGTGCAGTGGTTTATGTTAGAATAAACCTTTGGGTTAAGTTGCTGCAAGCAGGTTTTTCTTCTGTTTCTTGTGAATTTGGTCTTAAATCTTTATTTCAAGTGGCATTAAAAAGTATTAAAAAGTGTTGAATTTAACTCACCTGATGCTGCAGGAACCCTGATAAAGAGTGATCAGCGTAACAGCAATTAATTGCAAAGTCAACATTTGCCTAGAAAATGAACTTTATCCCCTAAACACATTTCATGGTGATTGCAGCGCTGCCTTAAAGGAGCAGCTACCATGGTTTCAGTGATTGGTCCATGAACACAGGTGTGGGTGGTGATGAGGACAGGGCTGCAGATCAATCTGTCAGGATTCAGTCAGAATGACGCCACTGGACACTTTAAAAAGAGGCTGCTGCTCTGCATCATTGGTTCTCTGCTGTGAACCATGGTTATCTCTAAAGAAACACCTGCAGTCATCATTGCACTGCACAAAGATGGCCGAACAGGAAAGAGAATGGCAGCTAGAGAGATTGCAGCTCAGTCAGCAATCTATGGCATCATCAAGAACTTCAAGGAGAGAGGTTCCATTGCTGCCAAAAAGGCTCCAGGGCGCCAAGAAAGACCAGCGAGCGCCAGGACCGTCTCTGAAAGTGTTTCAGCTGCGGGATGGGGCTGCCAGCGGTGCAGAGCTTGCTCAGGAATGGCAGCAGGCAGGTGTGAGTGCATCTGCACTGTGAGGTGGAGACTCTTGGAGCAAGGCCTGGTCTGAAGGAGGGCAGCAAAGAAGCCACTTCTCTCCAGGAAAACCATCAGGGACAGACTGATATTCTGCTAAAGGTCCAGGGAGGGGACTGCTGAGGACTGGGGGAAAGTCATTTCCTCTCAGCAATCCCCTTTCCCATTGTTTGGGACATCTGGAAAACAGCTGGTTGGGAGAAGACCAGGTGAGCGCTACCACCAGTCTCGTCTCATGCCGACTGTAAAGCATCCTGGAACCATTCATGGTGGGGTTGCTTCTCAGCCAAGGGAGGCGGCTCTCTCCCAGTCTGACCTAAAAACAGCCATGAATAAAGAATGGAACCAGAATGTCCTCCCAGAGCAACTTCTCCCAACCGTCCCAGAGCAACTTCTCCCAACCGTCCCAGAGCAACTTCTCCCAACCGTCCCAGAGCAACTTCTCCCAACCGTCCCAGAGCAACTTCTCCCAACCGTCCCAGAGCAGGTTGGTGATGAACGATGCCTTTTCCAGCATGATGGAGCACCTCGCCATAAAGCAAAGCTGATATCTAACTGGCTCAGGGAACAAAACAGAGAGATGTTGGGTCCATGGCCTGGAAACTCCCCTCATCTTAATCCCATTGGAAACTTGTGGTCAATCATCAGGAGACGGCGGACAAATGAAAACCTTCTGACCAAATGAAAGCATTGATTGAGCAGAATGGACGCTATCAGTCAGGATTTGGTCCAGAAGCTGATGGAGAGCAGCCAGGGAGAAATGTCCTGAAGAAGAGGAGTCACACTGCAGATACTGACCTGCTGCATGAACTCATTCTGTCATTAAAAGCTTTGGTTACTCAGAATATGATGCAATCGTATTTCTGGATGTGATGCAACATCTGACATGAACACCAGAGGGCAGCAGATCAGCTGGAAATAGAATATTTCTGTCGTTCTCAGTACGTTTGGCCATGACTGTATTTTAGTTGGACTACACAGGTATTAAGCAGCAACATCATGGGTCAACAGACGGGTCCAAAAATAACGAATGAAAGTAACTAAATAGAAAACTTTACCTATGATAGTTCAGGAGGACAGGAAATGGATAAAGTAGTGATTCTCTTTCAGCCTCACGGAAACCAAAGAAAGAAAAACTGATAAACGTCCCAGATCTGTTAGAATCACCTCTCTGCCTCGGTCACCATAGAAACCATCCCACAGAGTTTACTGCTGCTTTTCTCTTTTCCTTAGACCTAGATCTAAGGAAAAGATAATTCTCTATCTGGTCTAGTTCTAGATGCTTTAAGTGGGGCTTTGCTTTATAGATTTTCATTTTTTACAATAACTTTTCCTAATCTGTTCCAGTCAAATGTTGGACATAGTTTTAATGTGCAGAGACTGAAGTAAATTAGATCACCCCCCCCCCCCCCCCGCCGCCTAGTCAGAGCCTCTCTGTACGCAGTCAGTGTGACGTGGAAGAAAGTCGATCAGAGATTAAAAGGTCGTATTTAACCGGTGTTCATGTGGCTCAGCTGCACTGACTGCAGGTTTATGGCCTGATTTGAGCGTTTCAATCTTCTTACTGAAAAACATGAATGGGAACCAGTGAGACCATCAAAGGTTGGGCATACGCTGTGCGATATTTTCAGTCATCGCACGCAGGTACAGCTCAGACTGTATGAAAGTTCTCACACTATGCGATCCGACGCTCTGATGCCATCTACCTGCTCACGCTGTACGTCTAAATACCAAGTGGGACTCAGCTCCGCAGTGAGGTGGCGCTACTGGGACTCGTCTATCTGAAGCCAAACCAGTAGCAGAGGAACATGAAGCTCACTAGAGTGAAACGCGCTGCCTTGGATATTTGGGCAATTTAGTGCTGAAAGCCCTAAAAAGAAAAGGAGACGACGTATTTGGACAAAGACATGGCTGAGCTAACGTGGCTACTACGGTCTGACAGTTTGACAGGAAGAACTCCATTTCACTCATTGCCCCCCCGCCATGATGCTGGGTTTACATCTGAGAGGAAGAAGAAGAAGAAGAATCCTTGTTTGCCCACTGAGGGATTTGGGCACGACCACCTTACGACGGCCGACTGAATTTTAGACATGTTTGATTTTCTCCCGACCTTAACATTCCTGAAGGGGGGGGGGGGGGGGGGTCGTTAGAGGCTGATCGCCCCTCGTTACGCCCTGTATACTTCACAATGTGCAATCAGGCTGAAAGTCGGCCTGGTCAAAAAGTTCTCGCACGACTGGAGAATCGGCCCGAAAAGGGCTAAAAATTGCACAGTTTAAGCCCGGCTTAAGTCTCTGGGTTTCAGCATTCTAGGCTGTGACAGCAGATTAATACGATCGATTCCCGTCGTGAGTATCGGCCGATCAAAGTGAAGGAAGTCGGTGGGTCGGCTGATCAAGCTGCATTAAAGCTGAGTGTTTGTTCTCTGCAGAGGACGCTGTAGCAGAGCTGCTGGACGAGGCCACCCTGGAGCTGGTGTGGAAGAACAACGAGCGTCTGAAGGAGTACGTGTTGGTCAGCTCCAAGGAGCTGGAGTACGAGGACGACCCCAGCTCCCTGAGTGAGACGGCCAGAGCCGGACACTTCACCCTGGAGCAGTGCCTCAATCTCTTTACCAAGCCAGAGGTGCTGGCGCCGGAGGAGGCCTGGTAGGAACTCCTGCAGACTTCAGGTGGAGGCGGAGTGTCGACCTGCGGCTCACCTCTCTCCGTCTGCTTCCAGGTACTGCCCTAAGTGCCAGCAGCACCGAGAAGCTTCCAAGCAGCTTCTGCTGTGGCGTCTGCCCAACGTCCTGATCATTCAGCTCAAACGCTTCTCCTTCAGGAGCTTCATCTGGAGAGACAAGATCAACGACATGGTGGACTTCCCCATCAGGTAGCCTGGCTGCAGACCGAGCGGCGCCGTTTGTTTTTCTGAGAGCAGACCACTGATTCTTTGACATTTTAGGAATTTGGATCTGAGTAAGTTCTGCATCGGTCAGAAGGACGAGATGCAGCAGCCCCCCATCTACGACCTGTACGCCGTCATCAACCACTACGGCGGGATGATCGGGGGGCACTACACGGCGTACGCTCGCCTGCCCAGCGACAAGAACAGCCAGCGCAGCGACGTGGGTAAGCCTCCCGTTAGGGAACCACGGATCCAGCCCTCCTTTGGTTCTGAGGAGCTGAGTCGGATCAGAACCTTTCTAACATCATTCTTCTCTTCCTCTCTCTCATTGGCTGAAGGCTGGCGTTTGTTTGACGACAGCACTGTGACCACGGTGGAGGAGAGTCAGGTGGTGACCCGTTACGCCTACGTCCTGTTCTACCGCCGCAGGAACTCCCCCGTGGAGAGGCCGCCCCGCTTCCCCTCCCCCGTGGGGGCGGAGTCAGCCGGCTCTGCAGGAGCCGCCGGCGACCAGGTGAGGATTGAAACCGTAAACCCTTTAACCTGACCAAAGTAGCCCAGGTGTTAAACCTGCGGCAGCTTCTCCAGTCGCTTTGCTCCAAGGTTCAGGGTAATCATTCTATCTAAGTTCTGTAGAACCTGGCTGACCCGTGTTCTGTCTGACTCCTCTAATGGGTCAGTAGGAACCGGAACATCCAGCTCTGTCCAAAGCTCCCATTAGTGCTTCTGATGGACCGTAGAGTCCAGCTGATGATGGCGCCGCAGGGTTATCCGTCTGATGCTGGAGCAGCCTCCAGCATGATTCTGCCTCCACCGTGCATGTCTTGTCCAAACCATTAATTTCCCCCAGAAATGGTTCTCTGATCCCCACTCCTCCTTGAAGGTCTCTCTGGTCACCTGAGCTATGGGTCTGTGCAGCTGCCCCAGGGTCGCCTGTCATGGCCGCCCCTGTCATGGCCGCCCCTGTCATGGTGTTTTATTGAAGCTTTTCTCTCCACTTCTGTTTTTCACTTCTCCAGAACTTTTAACTCCCATCATGGATCTAATCAGTAACTGAAACTCGTGCTTTAATCCCAGGTTTTGGGGATGAAGGAAGGATCACAGATGCTTAACACTAATTAATGTAAACCAATCACTGACCTACAGTTAACTGTTGATTAATGTGATCAATGTTATTACATACATACATATATTACAGAATTGGGTCCATCAGATTACCGTATTTTCTGGAATATAAGCCACTACTTTTTTCCCATACTTTGAACCTTGCTGCTTATCAGAAGGTGCAGCTTTTCTCTGCCAGAGGGGGGAGTCAAAGTTGGACATGAAAGAATGAGGGGCCAAAGAAGATGCTAGCAGCAGGAATGACCGAGAACAAATGTCCCAAATTCACACATTTTAACATTTATTTACTGCATTAAAGCTGCTGAACCCATGAAGAGACGTCGCTCAACTGAAATAAAAAGAAGCTCCATCTTTCATTAGAAGCTCTTACTGCTGCAAGCTAACAAGCTAACAGGAGCTAGCATTCTTCTCCTTCCCTACTCCCAAGGGCTATATGTACAGCTCCCCCTACAGGTTTGGTGGGAGAAGGTTCAGTAGATATTGAAGTTGTGGTGAGATGCGCTATATAGTCCAGAAAATATGGTAATGAATAAAAACCACTGAGGATATTTCACTGCTGTAATGCCACCACTGTCCACCAGAGGGCAAATGTTCAGTCTTAAAGGAATAGTACACCCAAAACATGATTAGCCTTCATTTTCTACTCACCCCCATGCTGAACAACACTCTGGAGTACTTTTTTGATATCTCAAATGCATCTGGAGATCTGGGAGGCTTCTTGCTGTCTGCTGACATTCAAATAATGGAGGTCTATGGCGCCCGAGGCAGAAAGGTCCATAAAAGTCCACAAAAAACGTGTCAATATTCTTCCATACTGCTCGTCCAATGTATTCCAAGTGTCCTGAGTGGGTAGCATCCAGAATTTACTCGAAACGAAGTCATTTAGAATGTTTTTAGAGCATAAACAGTAGTGTATAGGATTTCCTAAAAGCGGGATCACGAGTCTACGGAAACCGGCAGACCAAACCAGATGAAAGTGCGCATTCAGCGTCTGCTCTGCCAATAATGCAAGCGTAGAAGAAGAAATGTGCTATTTACCTGTGCAAAGAAAGAAACAACGAAAGAAAAATGTCTGAGGACTTCAGTGTTGAGGAAGAGCATAAGTTCTTTGTCGAGCTGAATGCGCACTTTCATCTGGTTTGGTCTGCCGCGGTTTCCGTAGACTCGTGAACGCGCTTTCAGGAAATCCTATACACTACTGTTTATGCTCTAAAAACATTCTAAATGACTTCGTTTCGAGTAAATTCTGGACGCTACCCACTCAGGACACTTGGAATACATTGGACGAGCAGTATGGAGGAATATTGACACGTTTTTTGTGGACTTTTATGGACCTTTCTGCCTCGGTCGCCATAGACCTCCATTATTTGAATGTCAGCAGACAGCAAGAAGCCTCCCAGATCTCCAGATGCATTTGAGATATCAAAAAAGTACTCCAGAGTGTTGTTCAGCATGGGGGTGAGTAGAAAATGAAGGATAATCATGTTTTGGTTGTACTATTCCTTTAATCCGAGCTCCACTGGTGTTTTAAAGTGATGCCAGAGCGTCCAGAGGCTGCTCCAGATTATCCGCAACAGAAAGCGTCGTCTCCCTATCCGTCCCAGAAGCACATTTCTGCATCCACATATACGTCCCAGTGCTTAAATATAACGTGTAAAAGGTGCGTTTCCTGAGAAATAAATGACTTAGCATCCTTTCTGTTTTATCACTCTGTTCCCGATCTGCACTGGAAATGAGATCTTACTCTACTTTTTCAGTTTTAAACATAAATCTAGTCTTTTTCCAGTTTTTTGTTTTCCTTGTATGTTAACATGATGGTATAGAATGTGTAATTTAAAGAAAGAAACAACTAAAATGTAGATAAACATGTTTTAATCATATTTTGCCGTACTGCTCTGAGCATGTCCAATGATGACATCATAACCTAGAAACTGTAAAATGCTTCAAAATGTCTCAAAGTTAGTTTTTTAGATGAAGTGTATTAGCGTCCTTTAGCGAGTTGAGGATGGAAATTAGTAATTTTAGTAGCATAATTACATTATTTATGGACACCTAGATGTAAATCTGTTTGCTCAGGACGGATCGGGTAGCGACGCAAAGCTCAGCTTTAGGAAAATGGCCGCTCATTGATGAATCGTTAGGCGATTGATGAGATTAATCCTCTTTAGATTGACTGATAGCCTGCCTCTCTACACAACAGATCAATGACGCTGAGGCCCCGTATGGCCCCGGCAGGCCTCTGCTGCGGCCGCTCAGTGGGCGTGGCTAATCAAGTGTACTCGGTGTTTGTTAGAACTCAACCTTTTCCCAGAAGCTGACACGGGTTTCCGCCAATCGCAGGCCTCTCTAATATGGCGGGAATTGGAGGAGGAAGACGAGGGGCTTGATGAAGGGGCCCGCGGACTGTTCCGCTCGGCGCTTCGAAGGCGGCGACCCCTCAGGAACAGAGGCGAGGGAGCCCATAGGAACGGCCCTGAGCGACGGCAGCACAGGCAGATGTGGGACTGTCCCGATGAAGACTGCGTGCGATATCTGGTCGTGGGAACGCTGGCTGCTCTCATGGCTCTATTTGCTAACCTGGTTTATCCTTTTCTGTACAAACTCAGATGGACCTGAGCAGAGACTAACTCTGATTGGCTGGGGGTCAGAGACGCTTCTGAAATAAGATGGACAATGAAAACGCACCAGATGGAGGTTATTCCTGATCTTCTTAGTAACTAAGAGTCCAAACCCAGACGGTTTTACGCTCCGTCTGACTATAGATGTTCCAGCACTACATGGGCCCAGTTCTGACTGTGACCCTGTGGGTCGGCGCCGGCCGCTGCAGGGAGCCCCCCCAGGCGCCTGACGCCGTGAAATGCTCTTTGTTTAGCCGTTAACAGCTCTGAGGGATGATCAGGAAGGCTGTTCCTGGATCATCAGGCTGCTGCTGAAGGACACCTTCTCCAACTCAAAGCAGGAAGCAGGAATGTTGAGAAGCAGCCATGTTTCTGTGGCTTCTTCAGCTGAAACCACCACATGTTCTCCTTACTGCTGATGCAGTATGCAGGCACCGCCAGCTGACTTTAAATGGCTTAGCAGGAGCAGGAGATGCTGCAGCAGTGAATGCCTGTGGGTCGGACCCAGAACCTTCAACTACAGAAGGAGCCTGTTTGATCCACTGTTTGTAGACAAGGAGGCTCAAAGCGCTGCGGGGCCACGCATCACAGCGTGCTGACGTCTGTGATGCGTCTACGCCATCAGCAGGAGGAGGCGGCACCACCCCGTCCCTGCCTGGCAGGAGCTCCCTGGGTCAGTCTGAGGCTCCCATCCAACAAACACTCGGGTCGGATTGGATCCGGTCCAGTCTGATTGGATCCGGTCCGAGCCGGTCGGGTCGGATTGGATCCGGTCCGGTCTGATTGGATCCGGTCGGATTGGATCCGGTCCGGTCGGATTGGATCCGATCCGGTCGGATTGGGTCGGGTCGGATTGGATCCGGTCCGGTCTGATTGGATCCGGTCCAGTCTGATTGGATCCGGTCCGAGCCGGTCGGGTCGGATTGGATCCGGTCCGGTCTGATTGGATCCGGTCCGAGCCTGTCGGGTCGGATTGGATCCGGTCCAGTCTGATTGGATCCGGTGCGAGCCGGTCGGGTCGGATTGGATCCGGTCGGATTGGATCCGGTCCGGTCGGATTGGGTCCGGTCTGATTGGATCCGGTCCGAGCCGGTCGGGTCGGATTGGATCCGGTCCGGTCTGATTGGATCCGGTCCGAGCCGGTTGGGTCGGATTGGATCCGGTCCGGTCTGATTGGATCCGGTCCGAGCCTGTCGGGTCGGATTGGATCCGGTCCAGTCTGATTGGATCCGGTCCGAGCCGGTCGGGTCGGATTGGATGTGGTCCGGTCTGATTGGATCCGGTCCGAGCCGGTCGGGTCGGATTGGATCTGGTCCGGTCTGATTGGATCCGGTCCGAGCCGGTCGGGTCGGATTGGATCTGGTCCGGTCTGATTGGATCCGGTCCGAGCCTGTCGGGTCGGATTGGATCCGGTCCGAGCCTGTCGGATCCGGTCCGGTCGGATTGGATCCGGTCCGAGCCGGTCGGGTCTGATTGGATCCGGTCCGAGCCGGTCGGGTTGGATTGGATCCGGTCCGGTCTGATTGGATCCGAGCCGGTCGGGTTGGATCCGGTCCGGTCTGATTGGATCCGGTTCAGTCTGATTGGATCCGGTCCGAGCCGGTCGGGTCGGATTGGATCCGGTCCGGTCTGATTGGATCCGGTCCGAGCCTGTCGGGTCGGATTGGATCCGGTCCAGTCTGATTGGATCCGGTCCGGTCGGATTGTATCCGGTCCAGTCTGATTGGATCCGGTGCGAGCCGGTCGGGTCGGATTGGATCCGGTCGGATTGGATCCGGTCCGGTCGGATTGGATCCGGTCCAGTCTGATTGGATCCGGTCCGAGCCGGTCGGGTCGGATTGGATCCGGTCCGAGCCGGTCGGGTTGGATTGGATCCGGTCCGGTCTGATTGGATCCGAGCCGGTCGGGTTGGATCCGGTCCGGTCTGATTGGATCCGGTTCAGTCTGATTGGATCCGGTCCGAGCCGGTCGGGTCGGATTGGATCCGGTCCGGTCTGATTGGATCCGGTCCGAGCCTGTCGGGTCGGATTGGATCCGGTCCAGTCTGATTGGATCCGGTCCGGTCGGATTGTATCCGGTCCAGTCTGATTGGATCCGGTGCGAGCCGGTCGGGTCGGATTGGATCCGGTCGGATTGGATCCGGTCCGGTCGGATTGGATCCGGTCCAGTCTGATTGGATCCGGTCCGAGCCGGTCGGGTCGGATTGGATCCGGTCCGGTCTGATTGGATCCGGTCCGAGCCGGTCGGGTCGGATTGGATCCGGTCCAGTCTGATTGGATCCGAGCCGGTCGGGTCGGATTGGATCTGGTCCGGTCTGATTGGATCCGGTCCGAGCCGGTCGGGTCGGATTGGATCTGGTCTGATTGGATCCGGTCCGAGCCTGTCGGGTCGGATTGGATCTGGTCCGGTCTGATTGGATCCGGTCCGAGCCTGTCGGATCCGGTCCGGTCTGATTGGATCCGGTCCGAGCCGGTTGGGTCGGATTGGATCCGGTCCGGTCTGATTGGATCCGGTCCGAGCCTGTCGGGTCGGATTGGATCCGGTCCAGTCTGATTGGATCCGGTCCGAGCCGGTCGGGTCGGATTGGATGTGGTCCGGTCTGATTGGATCCGGTCCGAGCCGGTCGGGTCGGATTGGATCTGGTCCGGTCTGATTGGATCCGGTCCGAGCCGGTCGGGTCGGATTGGATCTGGTCCGGTCTGATTGGATCCGGTCCGAGCCTGTCGGGTCGGATTGGATCCGGTCCGAGCCTGTCGGATCCGGTCCGGTCGGATTGGATCCGGTCCGAGCCGGTCGGGTCTGATTGGATCCGGTCCGAGCCGGTCGGGTTGGATTGGATCCGGTCCGGTCTGATTGGATCCGAGCCGGTCGGGTTGGATCCGGTCCGGTCTGATTGGATCCGGTTCAGTCTGATTGGATCCGGTCCGAGCCGGTCGGGTCGGATTGGATCCGGTCCGGTCTGATTGGATCCGGTCCGAGCCTGTCGGGTCGGATTGGATCCGGTCCAGTCTGATTGGATCCGGTCCGGTCGGATTGTATCCGGTCCAGTCTGATTGGATCCGGTGCGAGCCGGTCGGGTCGGATTGGATCCGGTCGGATTGGATCCGGTCCGGTCGGATTGGATCCGGTCCAGTCTGATTGGATCCGGTCCGAGCCGGTCGGGTCGGATTGGATCCGGTCCGAGCCGGTCGGGTTGGATTGGATCCGGTCCGGTCTGATTGGATCCGAGCCGGTCGGGTTGGATCCGGTCCGGTCTGATTGGATCCGGTTCAGTCTGATTGGATCCGGTCCGAGCCGGTCGGGTCGGATTGGATCCGGTCCGGTCTGATTGGATCCGGTCCGAGCCTGTCGGGTCGGATTGGATCCGGTCCAGTCTGATTGGATCCGGTCCGGTCGGATTGTATCCGGTCCAGTCTGATTGGATCCGGTGCGAGCCGGTCGGGTCGGATTGGATCCGGTCGGATTGGATCCGGTCCGGTCGGATTGGATCCGGTCCAGTCTGATTGGATCCGGTCCGAGCCGGTCGGGTCGGATTGGATCCGGTCCGGTCTGATTGGATCCGGTCCGAGCCGGTCGGGTCGGATTGGATCCGGTCCAGTCTGATTGGATCCGAGCCGGTCGGGTCGGATTGGATCTGGTCCGGTCTGATTGGATCCGGTCCGAGCCGGTCGGGTCGGATTGGATCTGGTCTGATTGGATCCGGTCCGAGCCTGTCGGGTCGGATTGGATCTGGTCCGGTCTGATTGGATCCGGTCCGAGCCTGTCGGATCCGGTCCGGTCTGATTGGATCCGGTCCGAGCCGGTCGGGTCGGATTGGATCCGGTCCGGTCTTATTGGATCCGGTCCGAGCCTGTCGGGTCGGATTGGATCCGGTCCGGTCTGATTGGATCCGGTCCGAGCCGGTCGGGTCGGATTGGATCCGGTCCGGTCTGATTGGATCCGGTTCAGTCTGATTGGATCCGGTCCGAGCCTGTCGGGTCGGATTGGATCCGGTCCAGTCTGATTGGATCCGGTCCGGTCGGATTGGATCCGGTCCAGTCTGATTGGATCCGGTGCGAGCCGGTCGGGTCGGATTGGATCCGGTCGGATTGGATCCGGTCCGGTCGGATTGGATCCGGTCCAGTCTGATTGGATCCGGTCCGAGCCGGTCGGGTCGGATTGGATCCGGTCCGGTCTGATTGGATCCGGTCCGAGCCGGTCGGGTCGGATTGGATCCGGTCCGGTCTGATTGGATCCGAGCCGGTCGGGTCGGATTGGATCTGGTCCGGTCTGATTGGATCCGGTCCGAGCCGGTCGGGTCGGATTGGATCTGGTCCGGTCTGATTGGATCCGGTCCGAGCCGGTCGGGTCGGATTGGATCTGGTCTGGTCTGATTGGATCCGGTCCGAGCCTGTCGGGTCGGATTGGATCCGGTCCGGTCTGATTGGATCCGGTCCGAGCCTGTCGGGTCGGATTGGATCCGATCCGGTCCGGTCTGATTGGATCCGGTCCGAGCCGGTCGGGTCGGATTGGATCCGGTCCGGTCTGATTGGATCCGGTCCGAGCCTGTCGGGTCGGATTGGATCCGGTCCGGTCTGATTGGATCCGGTCCGAGCCGGTCGGGTCGGATTGGATCCGGTCCGGTCTGATTGGATCCGGTCCGAGCCTGTCGGGTCGGATTGGATCCGGTCCGGTCTGATTGGATCCGGTCCGAGCCTGTCGGGTCGGATTGGATCCGGTCCGGTCTGATTGGATCCGGTCCGAGCCGGTCGGGTCGGATTGGATCCGGTCCGGTCTGATTGGATCCGGTTCAGTCTGATTGGATCCGGTCCGAGCCTGTCGGGTCGGATTGGATCCGGTCCAGTCTGATTGGATCCGGTCCGGTCGGATTGGATCCGGTCCAGTCTGATTGGATCCGGTGCGAGCCGGTCGGGTCGGATTGGATCCGGTCGGATTGGATCCGGTCCGGTCGGATTGGATCCGGTCCAGTCTGATTGGATCCGGTCCGAGCCGGTCGGGTCGGATTGGATCCGGTCCGGTCTGATTGGATCCGGTCCGAGCCGGTCGGGTCGGATTGGATCCGGTCCGGTCTGATTGGATCCGAGCCGGTCGGGTCGGATTGGATCTGGTCCGGTCTGATTGGATCCGGTCCGAGCCGGTCGGGTCGGATTGGATCTGGTCCGGTCTGATTGGATCCGGTCCGAGCCGGTCGGGTCGGATTGGATCTGGTCTGGTCTGATTGGATCCGGTCCGAGCCTGTCGGGTCGGATTGGATCCGGTCCGGTCTGATTGGATCCGGTCCGAGCCTGTCGGGTCGGATTGGATCCGGTCCGGTCTGATTGGATCCGGTCCGAGCCGGTCGGGTCGGATTGGATCCGGTCCGGTCTGATTGGATCCGGTCCGAGCCTGTCGGGTCGGATTGGATCCGGTCCGGTCTGATTGGATCCGGTCCGAGCCTGTCGGGTCGGATTGGATCCGGTCCGGTCTGATTGGATCCGGTCCGAGCCGGTCGGGTCGGATTGGATCCGGTCCGGTCTGATTGGATCCGGTCCGAGCCTGTCGGGTCGGATTGGATCCGGTCCGGTCTGATTGGATCCGGTCCGAGCCTGTCGGGTCGGATTGGATCCGGTCCGGTCTGATTGGATCCGGTCCGGTCTGATTGGATCCGGTCCGAGCCGGTCCGGTCTGATTGGATCCGGTCCGAGCCGGTCGGGTCGGATTGGATCCGGTCCGGTCTGATTGG